ATTATTATCGACTAACACTCACATCCCAGTTGTTTCTTCATCACTTGCATAAAAACCGAATAGATTCCGATGTTTGAATAGAAAACGACGTTGTTTTGTAAATAGTTTTAATTTTTGTTTCCTTTTGTAAAGCTTTATCGATTTTAAATAAACACTGAAAACCAAACCTGTTTTCCGCACACCCGTCCTTGGTTCTAGTAATAAGCGGCAAAGGAGCTCGAAGCATTCCAATCAAGTCAAGTGGTCGACTCGTCTTCCTTTAGAGCATTCACATTTTCATAGATTTCAATGCTCCTCTACAAACTTCTCCCCTATTTCCTCTTATATTCCGTCAAAGCAACCGTTTACAAAAACCTTTTTGAAACTCTGCTGTCAAGGTTTAAAAAATTAAAAGGATGACTGTTACAGACAAACAATTCCAGGTACAATAGAATAGCGTTTCCTCCTGGAGGGACCAATAATACGCTTTCCATTGAATTCAAACTAAAACTTGATCAGATCGTGGACGTTCACGAGAAGGATCAAGTGATCACTCTAAAAGGCTCTCTGGTTCACGTGGGCAAAACTCATCGATTCGAAAACTTTTGAGTGTTTCAGCACTGGTATGACTACCGTTTGTCTTGGACGCCCTCCGATTTTGGCAACATTACTCTCATGCACTTCCCCGGGGAAATGCTCTGGCTCCCGGATATCATACTCTACAATAAGTTGATGACCCCTACATCTATCTATTCGCTTCATTCTTTAATTTCAGTGCTCACGGCAGTCCGTGGGTTTCTGAAACCATTCAAGTGCACGTGTTTCATGACGGAAGAGTGACGTGGCAACCGCCAGTTGTCTACGACGCATTCTGCAACATTGACATCGAGTGGTATCCCTACGATCTGCAGATTTGTGAGCTAAAGTTCGGATCGTGGACCTATGGTGGCTCGCAACTCAACCTGATCCATGTTCGCTTCTGATCACTCTCACCTCGCAAAAGTACACTTTGTTTCAGTTGAATGAAGATCAGGCAAATGAAAGCATCGAAGTGAGTGGAGAGAATGTGTGGAAAGTGGAAAGAGGAGTCGATGTGAGCGATTATCAGGAATCGGTCGAATGGGATTTGCTCGCAGTGGAGGGAATCCGCCACAAGAAATGGTATCCTTGCTGCGATTATCCGTAGGAAAACAGAGCACTGCTCATTCACGTTTAGTGAAATTTAGATCCATCGACATAACTTATTATCTGCACATTCGCAGGAAGAAGCTGTTCTACACTATCAACATGATAATCCCATGTGCCTGTCTGGCTTCTCTCACTTTATGGGTATACTGACAACATACCAAGAAACTTTAAATTGTACCAGTTACAGGTATTTTATCTGCCTTGTGAAAGTCACCAAAAGATACAATTGTGTATTTCTGTTCTTGTCGCGTTGACAGTGTACTTCTTGATGCTGATTGACATCATTCCACCGACTAGCATCGTCACTCCGCTTATTCTGAAGTATCTGAGTTTCACGATGGTTATGGTCGCTCTATCGGTTACCTGCACAGTTTTTGTGAGACGCTTCTCGCTTCTCTTTGCATTGCTTCTCATCAGAATTCCTTCAGAATCAGAATATTCACTACCGTGCTTACTACGAGCCAATGCCCCAATTTGTGAAAAAATGGTTCATCGAAAAGCTTGGCAAGAAACTGATGATTTCACGGAAAACAGAAAGAGCACAGTACCACAGAACAGCTCAGCATGTGAAGGTTGTCAGAGAAATACTGTGGAGTTGAACTAAATTCAGCAATTTTTAGCAAGTGAATGCACTGTCGGCTATGAATATTCTGGAAAAACAGTTTCAGAAAAAGTTATTTGAACTTGAGGTAGATTTCTCATTTTTTTCCAAGTTGTAATTTTTATGTAGATTGCGACGATCGCCAAAAAGCAGCCACCGGCAGCCAAAGGTGTCAACTCTCTTTTCCTCGAAATACCCATTCTCAGCCGATCCAAATCGGTGAAAATTCGGAAGCCTTCTGTGAAAGCCGTCAAGTGAAGAATATGGAATTCAGACTGATTTTGAATGCATTTCAGAAACCGCGTTCGTCGTCTCTTGAGCATCGATATGACGGAAGACACTCGAGCGTAACCCGAGTTCAGAACTACACTTAAACTCCTTTTTGAAATTTCAGAAAAGAAGCAGAAGAAATTTCGCCGGAGACAGTGCAAGACACGGATCCGGATCGAGAAAAACTTCGGAAAGCAGAGCGAAATGTTCATTTTATTGCAAAAACGTTGACGGATCAGAGAAGAGGCCAAGAAGTTTATAAGTTCTGAAATAGACCTAAATCTACGGTTTAAGGTGGAAGCAGACTGGCAGTTTGTCAGCTTGGTCATCGACCGAATTCTGCTCATCATTTTCTCGATTACAATTACGGTCGGCACGGTTTTAATAATTTTCTCGTCTCCGAGTATGTACGATACTCGAGAACCGATCACAGCTACCAATAAATGAATAAACATTGTAAAATCTCATTATGTTATATTGTACGTTTAGTGAATCGCTGTTTCCCTGAGCGTTTTCTTCTTTTTACCAGCAAAATGACGTAATTTTTAATTTCCCGGTCTGTCTCTTATTGCCATTCTTTTAATTTCAATTTTTAATGAAAACTTTTTTAAACTGTTTTCGTAGCCATTCGTGCTCAGTTCTCGGTGAAAGTCCCGACCCTTGTGACCTAATAATTCGTCGGCCGGCCGAGAAAAGCGACTGCGGCGGCCATCTCGTCCGGTGTTCTCCGGTGTTTTTCTGAGCGAGATCACGTCGGCCGGCTGTTTTTCGTGCCCGAAGGTCCCATCCAGCTATCTCTTGTTGATCACTGCTGTTCCTTTATCGATTTAATCCGCGGAAGTCATTTACAGGCGCCTCTACCTATGTAATGCTGAAAAGGAGAGTTTTCCACGAGTTCCGCCGGCACAATAAGAGCTCCAGATGGAATGCAGATGCTCATTTGAGGTACGTATTGATTTTTTGTAGGATTTGAACGGACGGAAAATATTTCTAGAGCTCATGAACGATCGGCGAATGTAGAAGACGATGCGATTATGCGAGTGGACACATGCCAATTGGCAGCCAACAATCCCATCGAAGACTTCTATTCGGCAGCAAAGTGTTCGTTTATCAGTTTTACTCTGAAATATACAAAAAAATTTTTAGTTTTCAGGCTTATCAAGCAGAGCCTTTCTTATCAACTTTACTCTGAAATATACAGAAAAAAGTTTATTTTTCAGGTTTATCAAGCAGAGCCTTTCTGTTCGGAGTATTCGACGGACACGGCGGACAGCAGTGCAGTCGGCACATTTCCACAAACTTGTACCCGTACCTGTGTGCGTCTGTTCTGAAAAAACACGAGGTAAATAAACATTAACATTATTCATCTTCTCCAAAATGCTTTCCTTTTCAGATCGCAGACTATCCTCCAGATCAGCGACTTGAATGGCTGTTTAGCAGTTCAGACGGACATCTCCCGAACACGTTCAAGTCTCGAGAGACACGCAACATTGCAGAGTACCACAAAGCTTTCCGGAAGAACGCGAACTGCTACACAGGGACAGTTCGCGAAGCACTGAAGCTGGCGTTCGAAACTTGCGATAAAGATCTTGCGGAGAATGCGTTGCCCAGTTCGAAAGGAGTGATAGACAGACACGCGGCGATGATAGCCGCCTCCGGGTCGTGCTGCACTCTCGCCCACATCCGATCCCGCCACTTGCACGTCGCCAATCTCGGAGACGCAGCAGCCGTTCTGGGAGTCGTCAATCCCAATGGAAGTGTTACTGCACGACAGCTCTCCAGGGCACATTGTGTGGATAACGCGGACGAAGTGCATCGCATCCGCATCGCCCATCCCGCTTCTGAAGCTCAGACAGTGCTCCGCGGCGGTCGATTGCTCGGCGAGCTCTTCCCCCTGCGAGCATTCGGAGACGTCCGCTACAAATGGACGACCGACCTACAGAAAGTGGTGCTGGAACCGCTCGGCCATCCGCCGCCGCAGCATCTCTTCACGCCTCCCTATCTCAGCAGCTCTCCCGAGGTGTTTTACCACAAACTGACACCCAACGACAGGTTTCTGGTGCTCGCCACCGACGGTCTCTGGGAGTGGCTCGATCCAGACACGGTGGTCCGTCTCGTGCACGACCACACCCTCGGAACGATCACACAACAGCCGTACGTTCCGAAATCGGGGACAACGCTGCAACAAGTGAGAGAGCAGCTGAAGGAGAGGGCGAAAGGAGAGCAGAGAACGAAAAAGCCGATCGATGAGAACTGCGCCACGCACATCATCCGGCACGCACTCGGAGGAGTAAGTGGAGGAGCCACGAAGCAGTACGAGAGACTCATCGACATTCTGCAGGTAGGAGAGATTCCCGAGTATTTTAGAAATTTCTTTAATTGCCTTTTCAGGTTCCTCCGGGTCGCGCCCGCAACTACCGGGACGACATCACTGTAATTGTCATACATTTCAACGAGAACTTCCTCGAGGGACACGACGATGACGACGAATGAAATAAAATGTTCAGTTCCGTCTTTTTTTCCAGTTTCCCCTACTTTTCTGCCTGATTTTATAGTTTCTACTGGTATCCTTCTTTTTTTTCGTTTCCCCCGTACTCTGTATTTTCCACAACGCGCCAAAAGACTCTGTTCCGGTCCTTCTCCGTTTAGGTGACTCGTCTTTCCGCTTCTTGTATATAATAGATGCATTTATTAATTATTGGTGCTCAGCAAATAATTTGAAGAAATACTTAGAACCAGCCAACATTTTGCTGTCGTTCAGAAAATAATACATACGTAACACATCAATCGATTTATATATAACTTAGTTAGAATTAGAATAAGCACATCACGGAACGATCATTGGAATCATAGATGTGGATAGGAAGAACGGGATGGAGCGGAAGTGGAAGAAATTTGAGATTTTAGTGGCGAGAAACTGAGTGTGATAAAAATGGTACAAGAACGGAATGGAAGAATGAGATCAGCGCATGTATCCTTGGGGCGGTTGTCCTGGCGGCATCGCTCCCGGATGCGGTGGATATCCTTCGTAGCCGTGTGGCGGTGGCTGTCCTCCTGGGTATCCGGGCATGCCTACATAACATGAAACAATTGATCGTGAGAAATCTCTGCTCAGAATACTTCTTACCTTGATACGGATATGGCATCCTTTGCGGCGGACCGCCCATCTGTGGTGCCGGCTGTCCGAACTGCGGATATCCTTGCGGAGGCAGGCCTTGCTGCTGTTGCTGGGCGCGCATCTGTGCCTGATACGCCTGATGGTTCATCATATCCTGCGGACCGCCCATCGGCGGCGGCGCGAATCCGTGTGGCGGTGGTGGCATTCCGGAATGACCTGGACCTCCAGGACTCGGAGCCGGTTGTTGAGGAACCATTCCGTGTGCCTGCGCGTGGTGGTGAGCGGCCGCGGCAGCCTGTGCAGCGGCATGATGAGCGGCTGCCTGTTGCTGCTGTTGCTGGTACTGAGCGGCCTGCAATGCCTGTGCTTGCGCGTGCTGCTGGGCTTGTGCTTGGGCCTGAGCTTCTGCTTGAAGTGTCGCGTCGTCTTTCAGCTGATTTAGAAGGTGCGGATCAGCAAGATTGGCGAGATGAACGAGATTCCGATGAAGGGTTTGTTGCTGTTTCACCGCTTCGTCTGCTCGATTCTAAAAAAAATTAATCGTTCGAGAAGATGATAAAATGTATGAAAAAACCTGTTTTTGATACTCCTGAATGATATCTATTAGCCTAGAGTTCTCGTCGAGCAGCTTTTGCACTGCCGCTTGTGGATCTTGACCGTTCCGTTGCCCTCCCGGTGCGTGTGGCAAGGACATCTGAATTTTTTTGAGTTGGTAAAAACAAAGAATATATGGCAGAAAAGAATAGTGGAGAGGATTGAAAAACCACATAAACAACCAATAAATATGAAACAACCAGTGAGAAATCTTCATTTTGTACCAGTTGTCTCTGCGAATATTTTAGATGAATTGGCAAAAAGTGTTCAATATGTCATTTTCGTTTTTCAGTCGTTGTCAACCGTCGAACTGCACTTTCTGTGCTCGGAAATCCTGCCGGCAGAGGTTCTTGTTGTGAATGTATCACTCCTTGATCATACGGCTCGTATACGACTGGCGGTGCTCCGGACGTGCCAGGCATATCTGAATACCAATAAACTTTGACAAATTAACAAGAAGCTCGTAGCATATACAGCTCACCTTGGGACTGATACTCATACTGATGCTGCATTTGTGCATCGTTCGAATTACCCACAATTTGCTGGTCGTAGGCGTGAGAAACACCGGGCCGAGCGTCCTGTGAGAGAAGAAAAGAGTCGGCCAAGTTGCCGAGAAGCTTTAGGTTCCGATGCAACGCCGTCTGATACTTGACGGCTTCGTTGGCACGAGCAGCTCTCAGATAATCTTGTATTATATCGATGAGTCTCGAATTTTCATCGAGCAACTTCTGCACCGTCGACGTCTGTTCTTGAGGATTTCCTCTTTTTGATTCCGGCAAATGTACTAACGACATCTGAAGACAAAATTAGAGATGATTTGCCAAAGCGGGGAATGAGAAAAAAAATCGGATTAAGAGCCAATTAGATAATTTTTAACAATACGAGACCAAATACAATCTTTACTTTTCTACACAATAGTCGAGAGGAAAACAAAAGGAAATGTCTAAAAATCGGATTTGATTCGTTTACTTGGTTCCAATTCTGGTTCTTCTGTTCCACGAGAAGTTCTGACCGTAGTTCTTCGCCTTAATCTGTCTCTCGTGAGGCTCCTCGACGTCGAACTCCCAGCGGTTCTTCACGCAAAAAGCAATGGCGTCTTCTTTCGAAGCAAATTTAAGATCCATTCCAACGTTTGAGAGTGGATCAGCGCTAAAAAATTTGTTAGTGAGTGGAAAATCTCAATAGGAAAAAGCCTACGTTCCGGACCATCCCATCAGCGGATTCTCCCATCGTTGGCGATTGTCAAGCTCGATAGTCCACGACTTGGTGTTGCCCCAAGCACTCTGTGTAGCTTCTCTTGCCGGACGGAAGATTCGGGCAGTGCGCGCATCCTGATGCTCAAGTGGGACACCAGCAATTTCCATCGTCTCGTCGGCGGAAACGTTCACTGGCGTCTGCAGAAAAAAAAAGCATTTTCTCTATTTACAAGCTGATAAATAACTCACTTTTTGCGTCGGCTTTTCAAGGATGTCATTGAGCTCAATTTTTTTGGCACCGTGCGTTCTGGTGACCGGCAGATTGTCTTTTCCGGCCGAGAAGCAACGGAGCGCGTTATTTCCGACTGAGAGGCAACGAGAAGCGCTCGCTCGCAGCATCTGAATCTATGACATTATATGAAGGATTTGTCGTTTGAAATAAATGGATATGAGACAAATTTGAATTCATATCAAAACCACTGGAATCAATGAAAACGGAGAAAAAACAAAAGAAATGTCGCGTTTCCAACGACACTCCGAAATTACTGGTTCGCTCCCTGTTTAGCTATGTCGCATGTGATTTTCAGATTTTTTCCCGCTTTTTTTCTGATTTAACATAAGATTCCGCCGCTCATTCGTCAATTTTATTCTATCCTATTCGCTGAGATCACTTTTTTTTTTTTAATAGAAAATGGTCCTTATAAATACACCTTTCTAGCCGCTGCTCATTCTAAATACTTTCGTACAAAGATCTGTGAACACGGACTGTAGAGAAATCAAAGTGGCAATAGTGGGAACAACGTTCTTCACTGTTTCTGACAGATTTCGTAAACCGAAATTATCTTTTCAATTCATGTTCTTTCCAAAACCATAGAAGAACCTAAATACCTATTTCCGTCTTATTTTCGTTTCACAAACTAAGATAATGAAACCCTCAGAATGTCGTCATCAGAAGATACTTTTGAAGCAGAAACTGAAGAATCTGCTGAAGAAACTAGGCACGCGGCGTTAAATCGATTAGAGCCAGAACGTGACCCTGAAGATACCGACGAGGAGTCCAGTGATGAAGGAAGCGAGGAACCTACCTTTGAGGTAGGAAGTTCTAAGACCAAAAACATTCTGTACTTTGATTTCAACAGGTTGAAGAAATCATTGCCGTGGCGTGTACTGACAATGGTAAAGGTTTGAAGTTCGAAACCCGCTGGGTTTCTGATCAGTCGACAACTTGGGAGCCGTTGTCGAGCTTCCACAACGGATTAAATCACGAGGAAATTCAGAGATTTAGAAGAAAAAATCCGGCGAAATTCGACGCAGAGATAGGTGAGCAATACACCAATGGTAAAAAAAGAGCAACAGGTTACAGCCAAACTGAACCTAAAGAAGCGGAAATCGAAAGTACACCGTCATTGGTTGTACGCGCCGCTGGATGGAGATGAAGAAAGACACGAAAAGCCCGATACAAACGCAAAGTCTCGAGAGGTGAAGTCTTTGGCGGATCCGAATCGTCTTCAAGACCCTGACGAAGCGGTAGGTGAACAAGAACAAGTTCAAACTTAAAAAAGAGTTCAGTTCTTCTTAATCTTTTGCCTTTCAGTTCCTGAAAACTTACACTCCTGGTATTCGCAGTTCTCGCAGCAAAACCCGCGAGTTGAAAAGTGTTCTCAATGCCAGCACAACTGTCCCCATCCCGAAACCGTCACCGAAAAAGGAAAAAGAAAAAAAAAAGAGAGCGCCGGGTGGGGGAAGAAAAAGAAAGCAGCCGGAAGAGGTAAGCGAAGACGAAAGGACCCGGGAGGAAGGAAGCAACACACGGATTTGCACCACCTGCCTTTCCCGCGCAAAACCCTTTCTAATTATAATATGAATTGAAACGACGAGCAGTTCCCTACTATTTCTGATTCATATGCATACGAAAGCTTTTCTCAGCTCCCCTTTTTCTTCGGTCACCATTCGAAGAAAATAGGGAAGACTACTCTATCGGTTAATAGATAAGAACAATAGTGCAACTTTTCTTTTCAGCAGCTAAATGTAGTTCGAAAATTGATTTGTGACCCGACTCGATCGCTAGTTTTGAAATCCACATAAATCCATCCTCATATTATTTGCGTTGACTCAGTTCTCATAATTTATGACCCACGAGTAGTATTCAAATTGTTCTTCATAGCCCATAAATTATGGGCGGCGCTAACTACAGTACGCCTCTGTGACTCGGCGCGAAAATAAACAAATCATTCACCTTCACTGTTGTATCATTCTCCTCCTCTTTCTGGCCATTTCTCATCGCTTACGCAGCTTTGGGCCACTCTCCTCGGCTTTTCTAATGTGCGCTATGCGAAATGTTATAGGAGCGATTCTGCTTAGTTAATGTATTCAGCGAGAAAATTACTAACGTTAGGATGAGGTCTTTCTCTATACTTCAGAGAATAATATAGTGAACTCGAAATTCGAATGCACTTTCTTCATGACTTAATGCGCGGTTCTGTCGCCCAAATTAACTTAATCGGTTTACAGGCTCCTTTGGCTTCCACAGCCCCATCGGGATCCTCAACTCCAGTACCACGTAAGTCGAAAAATATTTCCGAGAAAGCTTCGCTAGTGCCATTGACCCAACCGAAACGTTCCTCGTCGCCTGTGAAGCCAGTCAAAAATATGAACACGACGAAGCCAAAACAAAGAGAACGGCAGTTGAATTCGTCAGATGAAGAAATTGACGAAACGAATATGTACGACTCGGACGAGGAAGTTCCGGCGCCGCCACCGAAAAAGGCTGCAACTTCCGCTCGGAAAACCAGAAAACCCACTGACAGCTCTACGTTTTCTCAAACCACATCGACGAACTTGCTCAAGAGAAAAGCAACTGGTCGCTCGCCTTCGCGTTCCTTGACGCCACCACGCCGTGCGGAAACTTCAGCTCCTCCGAGAGGTAGCGAAGAAAATAATTCGGAAAAAGCGTACGAACATGCGGATGGCTGGCAGGTAGTCAATTCAAAAGAAATGCGACTACGCTTTGAGAGGGTGCGTCCCTGCCCACCCCATTTTCTTCATGGTTAACCGTTTTGTAGATGGCAGACGAGGCGGGATTGGGTTTGACCCATGCGACCGAAGTTGAGCGATCCAAACGCCTACGAGAGGAAAGACTGCTGAATATCGACGTGGGGAAAACTGTCGCCGAACTGCTCACTTCTTGGGTACTTTATTTTGGAGTTCGGTTGTTTCTCTTCTGAACATTGTAATTTGCAGATCGATCCTTCTCATGATCAGCTGGAAAATGCAGCCGATCACATTCTTCTCCTGAAAACGAGATGGGAAGAACTGATTGAAAACAAAGGCGATAGGAGAGATTTCCACGAAGTGTTCGAAGCAATTACAGAAGAAACCGGCAACTTTCCACTTCACGCGGTAATCAAAACTTAATCATCCACATAATTTGTTTTCCATTTCAGCTGATCAGAATCGACGCCAACAAGGCGCACTCTCTTGGCGAGGACTACGATAAACCGCGTCTCGATAAAGTGATCTCACTGCTCACTCAGTTGCTGACCACTGTGGTGCCACACAACGTTCTGGCCGCCCAAGACAACTATGACTTCACCCTGCTTCATCATGCGATCGAACGGAAACAGGTAAATTAAATTTTTTTCAATGATGAAAATGGCATTTATTTGTCGTCAGCTGGAACTTTCCCTGAGTCTCATTCAAGCGGGATCTCCACTCCATCTTTTCAACAAGACCCACCGAGTCTCTCCTCTCGAAATGGTTATTTTCACCGATTCGACACACAAAAGCGATCCGGTCAAAAATCGAGAAGTTCTGATTCCGATCTTCGAAGCGATCCTCAGAGCCGGTGGCTCTTGCCATTATATGGTCGAGGGTCCGCCGTACCACAAGGAACTCGGCTTCGTTTGGGACAAGTGAGATTATGATAAAAAGAGCATTTATAAAGTCAATGGTTTACAGTCGACACCATCGCTCTCAACTACAAAAAAGCCCCAACAAAGACGCCATAATCAATGCGGCCAAGGAGTTTTACTTCAGAAGTCTGTCGGTTCAGTTCCGAGGGGCCATGAATGAGCGGGTGCCGAGGCTGCACGATGTGAAGGACGCCGGCCCGATCGTGACTTTCCCACGCGGGCTGATCTATGATACCGGGCACATCCAGGATAACTGGTTCCTATACTCGGAACCGTACAATCAGAGGACCGAAGCGGATCGCTTTTGGCTAGTCGTTATCCCGATGTGCTACAAGGTTAGTGAAGAATACGAATCATCATGCGACGCGGTTATTTCAGGATGAAAAGCTGGTTGCTGGTTTGGAATCGCCCAGAAACACGGTTGTCTATGTTGGAAAAACTAAATGTCCGAGGCTCGAATACGGCGGAAGAAACACAATTTTCTTTGATGCGACGAGAGCAGTCAAGAATCACTTTATTGCCGTCGACAGGGCTCTGGAAAGCCTTCCCGCAGGCCAACGCTTGGCGTCTAGAATTCGGCCGGATCATAGCGTTTTCAACATTCACATCGAAATCGATCCCAGTGAGAGGGAAGCGGTGTTCATCGCGTGTCGGCTCGTGCGTTATGTGAACGCAGAAGAAATGCAGCCGCGAGAGAAATCGCCCCCGATGCCTTCTTTCCGCACTTTGTCCCCCACCAGCTACCCATCTGCTCGTAATTCCCATCCCGGTCCTTCGCGAACTTAGACCCCGGTCCCGATTTGTTCGGTCTGTCCTTTATTTCTTTCATTCCTTTTAAAATCTTGTCCCAAGTTTCCCATGTTAACTTTGATTTTCTTTTTTTTTGTTGTTCGTTTACGTCTTTGCTAATAATCGGCTAGTTTTATTCGTAATAAAACGGTGTTAATCAAAATAGTTAGCAGAGATCTTTGAAAGTTATTAAATTTTTGTTCAAAAATACTTAGTGAGGTACACTTAAAAAGTTGAGCAAGACTCGCGCGGTTCAATCGGCCTTTTCGTGGTCCTCGTCCGTCTCCACTGGCTCCGTTTCGTCCTCTTGTTCATCCATCAGCTCCTCTTCGTCTCCATAGAATTCGTCCCGATCGACAGTGAAATCGGCGGAGCAGATGCTGAAAAATGAGAATTCTAGGCTAAAAATTAAAAAAGATGTACAGACCTGTAGCAGATGATGCTGAGAAAAGCGATGGGAACTCCGAAGAGACATGAGGAGAGGAGCGGCTGAGTGGCGAACATTTGGGCTACGTTCCAATACAATTCGAACGCCATTCTCTTGATTCGCGTCAGCAGATGACGCCCTGAATCGTATTTTTCCATTTCGAACATTTCTCTGACTCTCCCTCACCTCCGAACGCAATCACGGTCCCTTTGTCGATACCCTCTGCGGTTTGAGTCAAGAAAGTGATAATAGACTTTGTGGTCATTTGAGTCGGCTCGTCTTCGCTCAAATAATATTCGTAGCTCGAGTAGTTGAACACGAACAAATGCGGCTCAGAGACGGTCGCCATCTGAATTTGTGTGGCCAAATCAGCGCCGTCGAGCCACGCGAACTGGAAGCGATCCCAGAGAGCCGGCAGTTTTCGCAGTTCTTTCGACGTCTCCTCGGCCATCGAATGGAATTGACGGATCGGATTCGTCGTGTTGAATTTGTGCGTTTCGCTCGAGACGGCCAACACAACCAGCTTGCCGCTTGATCCGATTTCAGCGAGATTTGACGCGGTGGCTTGCACGAATCCGGGCCATCTCTCGCGAGTGACCCATTCAGTCAAAGTGCCGATTTCGCCGGTGAACTCGATTTCGATGTTATCCTTGAGAACAGCAACTCGTTGACGGAAGTTTGCTTCCTTTTCTGGAGGAGCGATGAAATAGAAGCGGGCGACGGAGAATTTCTCGTTGGCGGCCTCGTTGAAAGCCTCGAAAAGCGGGCCGGAGGATTCTCCGAAGAAGACGAAAGAAGGCTGCGAACGGGCGGAGAGCTTCAGCTGCAAAGCAATAGAGAAACGTGTTTAGGCTCATAGTTCGAGATGCTCACCTTCTCCAGCTGATTCTCCTTGGCAGTCTCGATGATTGGAGCCGCGCATCTCTTCGCAAAGTTCACGAGAGCCTCCTTTTCTCTGCCGCCTCTGTAGTCGATGACGTGTCCATTACGGAAGCTGAAATTAGATAACTTTCTGACGGTTTCTGAAAGTTGCTTACAATAAAATAGTAGGATATCCTTGAATGTTCAACTTGTTGGAAACTGCGGTGAATCGCGTGCAGTCCACTTTTCCAACTCTGTCAAATTTTCTGTATAATTCTTTCTAAGCAGAATGACTTCTCACCTGATCGGAAGGTTGCTGTCTGCGAGGGCGTGACCTACTTGATCCCAAATCGGATGAAGCCGCTTGCAATGAGCACACCACGGAGCGTAAAACTGAAAAAAAAAGATATTTCGGTTTTTAAAGTGCTTTCTTGTACTTACTTCGACAAACCACATTCCTTCATCCTTCACATCCAGAAACTTTTCACTTAAATCGAGAACTGCCGTTGGTGGATTTATCGCGTCGTTTAGTACGAATAAGAGCACTAAAACACACAGTGCTCGCTGAATTTGTAGCATTTTAAAGTGCACTTTTCGTTCCGCCTAATCAATATGAACGGAACAGTTGGCGTGCGCTTTACACGGCTCCGTGAGCACGCTCAGTATTGAGGTGAATTGAAGCAGCGGCAAGTGCGCTCTACTGCACACGCTGAGGTACTTCTCGCCGGGCAAAATCAGAAAACAATTCAGATTCCCAGTGTTCTTTTCCAGAATTTTCACGGGTTTCTGCAAGCTTTGTGAAGAATGCGAAAAGCTGCAGTTGTTGAGAAAGACTGGATTCTGCAGAAACCTCTCGAATGCTTCATTGAAGACGAGGTTTTCTAATTTAAATTAGAGCGAAACAACTCAAACTTCAGGTTGATTTGAAAAGAGGACAGTCAGCGCAACTTTGTCACCTTTTCAAGCAAGGATGCGAAAGTGCGTACATTGCCAGATACCGAGGAGATGTGCACGGCGGACTGCCTCCAGAAGAGATCCGAAAAGCGATGGAAGCATATTACAATGCCGTCGATCTGAACAAAAAAGTGAGCTCGGCTCTGACGACACTCACTGCGAAAGTGGAGGGAGTCAGTGAGAAGAAAGTGGTAGCCGAGCGATTGAAAAACTGCGAAGACATGCAAGAAGTCGGAGAAATTTCGAAGGAGTTCTCTACGGGGACACGTAAAACCAAGGCCAGCATTGCCAGGTTTGACTTTGACTGAAGATTTGATCTCGAAAAATACATTTTTGCAGAGAACTGGGACTGGAGCTTCCTGCAAAACTGATTCTAGACCGGCAATTCGTTGATTCCAAATCGTTCATCTCGAACCAAATGAAAAAAGAAAAGGACGTGAAAGAACATCTCAAAATTTGTCTGGCCGATTTGATGAACAGACACGAAGACGTCAAGAAGGTGGCTGCCAAAATGTAAAAAGTTTCGTTAAACTCAGAAACACACTACTCGGTTCTTCAGAGCCAAATTGGAGATTAGAGCTGGAGGGCTAAAAGTGGAGGCGAAGCTCAGCAAAGAGGCAGCGAAAAAGAAGGAAAGTCAAGCGATGGAAGCGCATCTGAACAAGTACAAGGATTACATCGGAAAGAGCTGGAGTGCGCACGGCATCAGAGACCATCAGGTGTCCGCGCTGAACCGAGCTTCCGAGGAAGGCATTCTGACTTGGTCGGCCAGTCTTCCGCTTGGAGATGCGAAGCGATTTCACCCGTTTGCCAACTGCCCAGTGCATCCGGGAATGCTCGGATTTTTCCAGGAATCGCTCACGTATTCCATCAACACTTATTTCATTCCGAAAGTTGAGAGAGCAGCGAAAAAGTTTCTGACTGAAAAGGCGATATCCAGATCCATCATCTTGTTCGGGGAGAACGTCGAACAGCTGTTTGCCCAACAGGGAATCCACGAGAAGTACGTTATTGCTCTCGATCCCGGAAGCGTTGTCAAAACCGCATTTCTGAAGCCGTCTGGAGCAGTTATCGCGATGGACGAATTCGGAATCAATAACAAGAACTTCAACCGAAAAGGCGTCGAACTTTTGAAAAAATGGACTGCACAAACGGAAGGGAAGGGTATCGTGTTCGCCGTCGGAAACGGAAGCAACACTTACAATACACAATGCGCCGTATCCAGTATGATCGAAAACCGAGAGTTTCCCCCTGGGATCGAAGTCACTTTCTGGTGAGACAAGGCTGGCGTACGGTCATTTCCACAAAGTTTCTTTCAGTGTTGTTCCGGAGCACGGCGCCTCAAAGTACAGCTGCACACCGGCTGCTCAGGAGGAATTCGGAGGAAAGGCTGACATTAAGCAGATTTCCGCTGTTTCCATCGGCAGAAGACTCATCGATCCGATGTCGGAATATGTGAAAATCGAACCGCAACATCTGGGAAAAGGACAATACCAATTGTCGGTCGATGAGAAACAACTGAAGCAGAAGTTAGCATTGGTAATCAGAGACCGAGTTTCGCTAATTGGAGCAGACTTGAACCAGGCGAGCAAGCATTTGCTCCAGCACATTTGCGGATTGAAAACGGCGACAGCAGCAGGAATTGTCAAATATCGAGAGGAGCACGGAGAATTCAAAGCGAGAGACGAGCTGAAGAAGGTCAAAGGCATCGGAGCAGTCGCTTTCCAGCAGTGCGCCGGCTTCCTGACCGTCTCGAATCCTTCTCCGGATTCCGCGGAACCGCCTACGAAACGTTCTAAACTGTCGAATGAGAAAGTGAAGTGGTGTCCGTTGGACGGCACCATTGTTCACCCGGAAGACTATGGAACTGCTCAGAAGTAAGTTTGGGTTTGAAATATCTTTACCCTTTGTTCATTGTTTCAGAATGCTGAAGAAGTTAAACATGAGCGTGGAAGAAATTGTAAATGGAAAGTCCGTCCCGTCCGTCACTTTGACTCCCGAAGAAACCAAAATCCTGGAGCTGTTGACGACGAAACCGGATCTGAAACCACCGCCGCCGCAAATGAAAAGAGCCCGCGCCATGAGAGACCTTCAAATTGGTCAACGGTTCACGGGCGTCGTCGCAAACAAAGTGCTACATCGTCTAATTTTCACAATAATAACATTTTTTCAGACTGATTTCGGCGTTTTCGTCGATATCGGCGTTGAAAATGACGGGCTGGTGCACATCAGCTGCTTCCGGAATGGCCATCGTTCGGGACCACCCGAGAGGGATCTTCTTCCGCACGTCGGCGACGTCATTGAAGTAGTCATCGATCGACTCAACAATAATAAGATTGCTCTGAAGCCTGCCCACTAAGTTATTAGTTTTCCAAGTTTTATCGCATTCAATGTATTTCACTTGCCCGAAAAGTGTCATTTTTCGTTTTAAGTATATAAATCTGAATAGAACTCCGACCTTTCCGCGTCAACAAATAAAAATCAAACTATTGAAAAGAAAAAACTAACGTTCCGCTAACCCATTCATTAAACATGTAACACAGGTAGAAACATAACTTTTTAAATCTCGGCTCGTAGTGGTCCGATTTTGACCGTTCAACTTGAAGGTAATCTTTTTCAAAAAAAAAAATGTTCCAAAAGTTCCAAAAGGAGTTGGTGGTTTGAGCTCCAAAAATAGGGGGATTGATTGAGCCTTAGGCTTGGGCAAAGGCAATGCCTTCATCATTTGGTCTTAGCTCCAAAAAGCAAAACTACAAAACCCCTCGAATTATATACCATTCGAAAGCTCGTCAAATTTCACGTCGGATAACTTTGCCAGAATTGCGATAACGGCCTCGGCTCGGGAGTTATGCTCATTTTCAGTCAAATCTGGAAATCACAAAAAACGTCATAACTCGGCTCAACTCGGCTGTTTCGCATGGCAGTTTATTGGTAATGCTGCAATTGTTGTCGGGAATGAAGTTGCATCTCCAAAATAAGTGCTGAAATTTGTTTTATTCCTTTATGTTTTCTTATATCTTTTTCTCTCTCTCTCTCTCTCTCTCTCTCTCTCTGTCTCTCTCTTTTCTGGTTTTGTCTCACTCTCAAAGAGTGAGACAAGGGCCACATTTGGTCTTACCCACATCTCAAAGCACTACGTTTGTTACAACTCAAAGCGGCAACAAAAAAAAATAGAAGTGTTCATTTTGAGCTTCTCAGAAAAACACACAATTTCATCACTCCCACTTCCTGTGAGTGAATTTGGGTCATCCTTGAAAATTGTGAAATCAACACTTAGAGCTTCATCCGCTCTAATGTTCTTGTTGGACTGTGCTTCCAAACCGATACTATTGAAAAGAACGTGCCCGTCTGCTTGTGCATAAGTCTTGTAGTTAATGTGAAAACCACCATGTTTTTGTGCTGGGTGTCTAACTCTGTAGAACAACTTTTAGGAAATATAAAGGCAAAAACTTACTCTATCCAAAACTTTGTGTCTTCAAGAGATCCATCTGTTTTTTGGATAAGGAATCTGATAAACGTGTCAAAAATGTTTGTTAGGTGTATGTGGAGCGGAACATTTTCAGGTAGTTGATCCAGATTTCTCAATTTCAACTGTGATGTTGGCAGTCTCAACGAACCATCGTTGTATCTGACCAACTTTGAATTCTCTGATAATGTTGTGATTCGGAACATGAAATCTTCTTCTTCCTTTGTCGGGAAATCTGTTAGTTTTACCCAATCATCATTATCTGCTTCCCCACCACCATCTAAAAAAGTGGAAAGGTTTTGGCGAAAAATGATTTTTTTTTACATAATTGTAGCTTTTTTGAATCGGTTTGGTCCTCCATGGTTAATTGAAAGACTGAAGTCAATGATGAGTGAGCCAATTAATGTGAATGAGAGTCAATGATGATTGAGCCAATTATGAATGAGCCAATGAGTATACATGTATTCTGGGTAGCCAATGATCAAAAAAGCCAATGATGATTGAGCCAATGATCGTTGGCCCCTTAGAGTCGAGTTTCGACCCATGGGTCCCAGTCTACTATAATAATAATAATGTCAGGTCGTTTACACACAGTAGTCTATCTTTAAATACATCTCAGAAAGGTTGGGACTCTTGTAATGCTAAAGATCCATTAGTCGGGGAGTACTTCGCCGCTCCACAAATTACACACACATTTGTCATTACATGGATGGTAGATTGGGATGCGTATATCTCATTCGACCATTTATGTAACAAATGTCATCAGCAAGAGGGAGAGAATCATCATCAGTCAGTTTATTGAAAATCAACATGAAAAAAATAAAGAGCATGCTTTGGTGGTGACGTCGGGGCAAAGAGCGTGCAGGGACGTCTGAAACTTGAAGATTGGAAGAAATAAATAAAGAAAGAATTCGAGAGGTTCCAAATTTGTCCTAGAAATCGCTGAAGACATTGTCGCTCAGCTTCTTCTTGGGAACAGCCTGCGTGAGACGAGAGTTGCCCTCATTGCTCCAGTCATTGATCTTGAGAATGAGGGCCATCGGCACGTTCATGTATCGAGGGGCGCCCGAGGGGACTCCTCCGTCGACCGACGAGAAGCTCTTGCAATAGTACAAGCGGCCATCATCCAAGGCTGAAAAAGGACAAATAAAAACAGAAATATGAAGTCGATAGCTGTAAATATACAATTTATATGCACATACGGCGCTTGCCAATCGTATTTGTGAGTAAAAGTAGTTGCAGCTTCCAATGTATAACTTATAGTATAAGCACAATAAACATTTTGGTCTCGGTTTAAAATTGCTTACTTGCCACCAGGTAACGATTTCCGGGAACGATCGGATCTTTGGCAGTTCGAAGCTGGGGCGCGTTTACTCCTTTAAAGCGGTGGAACTCGTTGTAGGACACGATAAATGATCCGTCGTTCTGCAGCGCCGTGCTGATCGCGTCCACCACTGCCACTGAGAACGAGAGGGAGGTAAGATGAGGTTTAATATTGCAAAATGAGAATGTACCGAAAGTGGCCTGATTGTAGGTGTCGCGCCAGGCGGTGCTCATGCATTTGGGGAAGGATGTGAACAGGTCGACTGCAAACGGATTGGAGTATTATTAGTATTATTGACTATTTTTAAATCAAAATTTTTGACAGGTTTAAATACGATTTCCATAAAAGACTTACACTCGTCTCCCTTAATGTCTTGAGCTAGGAAGAGCAAACACAGGAGCGTGAAGAATACCATCGTTAAGCACAAAAAGCTCTTTTTAGAACATTCGCACTATATAAGGGAAAGCGGTGCTCATGAGTCTGTATGTTTTGGAATCGGCGGTCGCCGACATTTTTGGTGACATTTTCTTTGTTTTATTGCAAAGGGGAGAAAGAAGAAGAAAGAAGAATTCAAATAATGTTATGACCTAACCCAAGGTATTCACTCACCAAGCGGGGCTCGAGAGGAGGGGGGCTCCGTAGGCTCAGGGAGCTTATGTGCCCCTGTTGCCGAGAATATTGACAGGAGCAATAGCAGGAGTAGATTCACCAGCATGAGAAAAGATTGTGTCTGCGTAGTACGATTCCCCCGGATATGCAGAAGAGTCAGATAACGCGTTCTCTCTCTCTCTCTTCCTCCTGTTCCAAGTATTGCATTCGTTATCGGACATCTTTTGCACCCTCAAGGCCACTTATGGAGAGAAATCGAGAGACGCAATGGAACAATACTCATTAGGATTTGTTGTAGTTGTGGGAGTCGAGAGAAGGGGTTTATTCAGGAGAGAGAATAAGAATAGCCTCCCGGTGGAATAGCGCTAGGGGAACATGTGGATAAAAGATAAATATAATATTTCGCGGGGTGCGGGTAGTTGTAGATCAAAAGATACGGTAAAATATATAATTGTGGGTCTGAACCCAACACCTCCCCTAATAGGATACTATTTAGAGTAAGATTTCTTCGACGGCACCATATCCAACTGTGTCGTTTGTTTGCGCATGCGAGATGAACGGCGAATCGGCGGCGTTGTAGGATACAGCATTCGGCACGATCGGCGATGGCGTAGCAGCATTGTCGGTCACAGCATCCGGCACGATTGACGATGATCTGAGCAAAGCTTGGTTGACGGCATGTGGTTGTTGATCGACGAGAAGTGGCAGTGATGGCAATTTGAAGATGTCGAGAAGAGAGTCGGCTTGATGGCGATGATGATCCCGGCGAAGAAGTTGATTTGCATGACGAGTCCAGACGAGTCCATTGCACTTGACGAGATATGTGACGGTTCGTGAAGTTTGGGGGCAGTTCCGTCCCTTATTATGGTAACTTCTTATCATCGGTCTAGATCTTCACGCTGACCTTCCGTTGTTCCTAATAGCGTGAAGCACTCAATTCGAAAATTGACAGCTATAATTTCCTATTCCTTATTGTCTCCCAAACAAAAGTCACCACGAAAACTGGTAAGCTTCTTGACTTGGATGCCCGCTCGGAGAATCGAGAGTTTCAGATGAGCATCGATTCGAAAATGCAAAGCAAACAAGATTCGAAACGAGGCGTGAAATCGATAGATCAGAGTCTCCGATCGTCGGATCGTCCGACCCGCAAGAAGCACGAAGATATGGACTGGTACCACGGGCTGCTGCCCCGAGCGGACATCAATACGCTTCTGAAGAACGACGGCGACTTTCTAGTGCGCACCTCGCATATAACTGGGCAAGATTCCGCGAAAACGGTGTTGTCTGTGAAATGGAAGGGGAAATGCCATCACTGGCAATTGCAGGAGAAGGAAGACGGTGAGCACACAATTCGAATTCTGATGAAAAGCACAGAACTGCAGGTTCGATCACGATCGAAGAGCGCAAGTTCGAAGACGTGCTGGATATGGTGACGACTCTCCGTCTGAAACGGCTCCCGGTCTCGAGCCAATGCCAGGCGCTTCTTTTGACTCCGATCAACAAACAAGAATGGGAGCTCCGTCACGATCAGATTGTGCTCGGCAAGATGCTCGGAGAAGGCGCGTTCGGAGGAGTCTACAAGGCGACATTCTACTGCAAAGGCGAGATGAAGATGGTGGCGGTCAAAGTGAACAAGGGAAACGAGAAAATCAGCACGAGGAACATGATAGAAGACGTGTGCAAGGAAGCGAGAATCATGAGAGAATACCAACATCCGAACGTCGTCTGCTTCTACGGAGTCTGTGTGGAAAGAGTGAGCATTCTGTGAAGACGCTCGTAAACTTTTCACTTCTTCAGGAGCCAATAATGCTGGTGATGGAGCTGGCCAATCAGGGAGCCCTCGACTCTTTCCTCCAGAATCCCGCCAACAATGTGACGTTGAGGGACAAGCTCAAGTACTCGTTCGACGCCTCCAAAGGTCTCGAGTACCTCCACCAGCACGGATGTATTCATCGTGACGTGGCGGCTCGCAACTTTTTGATGCACAAAAACGTTGTCAAAATCACCGATTTCGGACTGTCCAAGCAACTTTCCGATCTTGCGCATAAGTACAAACTGAAAGATCTTCAAGCGAAACTTCCGATCCGTTGGCTGGCTCCGGAAGTCATCGTTTCGGCTACGTACACTTTCAAATCGGACGTCTACTCGTTCGGAATTCTGTTGTGGGAGGTAAGTAATTACTTTGTTTGCTACTCTTCTGATACTCAGACCATTTTCAGATATTCATGGACGGAGCGATTCCGTATCCTGGAATGAAGCTGGCCGAAGTGAGACAAAAAGTGAAGGCCGGATTTAGAATGGAAGCTCCTGATCGGATGCCGACGTTCGTTCGCAACATCATGGTGAATCAGTGCTGGCCGCAAAACCCGGAAGATCGCGGCAATATGATGGAGATTCGGACGGCCATGGAAAACGTGCTCGACGGAAAAGTGTCGGCAAACAATAACCGTTCCGTATACTACAAAAGCTAATTTTGTAGATGAATGGATATTATGAAGATGTTCTCTGATTTCAAATTGTTTTCAAACTCCGTAAATACAGTAATTCTGTTCTACAGTAATTTGCGACCAAATGTACGCAATTGTGCGTCGCGGTGGTTTTCAAAATTTGAATTTTGTTTTGCCGACAACTTTTCTCAAACGACTTTTCTAAATTGACCGCGCCAGCCAAAAAGGGTTTTCTGACTCACTTATCCCTTTTTTGTCTGTTTTCGTGCAAAGCACTTTGCTGACCACATATTTTTGCCACGTTTCTCTGCGAAGCCACCTGCCGTTGTCTCCGATATCCGCCGTCTGTGTCACCCTGCCGTTTTCCGTCGTCTAAACCCCTTCACTTGTTGACCCGTATCACTATTTGCATTTCTACAACTAGTGACTGACCCCAAAGACTGAGCCGTCGTCCTTCTTTCTCTCGTCTCTCTTTTCTTTTTCCGATGACTCGCCGCCGCGCTGCGCCCTAGCAGTTTCCCCAGAATTTCGCAATCGCTAATGTTCTCTAATTGACCACCACAGTTTTATGTTCATTTCAACGCATTTCCGTTCTTTTTCTCGCTTATTTCAACTGATACGCTGCTTATTTTGAGGTAATGGATAGTGGTAACGAAAGTAGTACTACTACCCAACAAAATGTGAAAACGGCAGCTGAGGGCGATGTGAAAGAATACATCACGCAGGCAGTCACCTCACTGTTCGGACTCAGTCCGCGTGATCAAACGACTCTGGATGTGGAACTCACTTCTCAGTCCACTGTTCTCTCTGATTTTATCAACGAAGCTGACAAGAACGTGATCGTCATCGACAGAATCGTCGCCCGTGAGCAAGGCGATCAACAGCCTGGCGCCGAGAGCGGAGGAGAGGATACCGCGCCTGCGACATTTCAAGTGCACGATGGGCTGTTCGTCGTCGACCGTGGACAGGCAATCGTGTTTGTGAAACAGAGCAACGTCATCGAAGCGGACAAGAAGATTGCGACTCAGATCACGGCGCTGCCGCTGAACGGAGGCAGTGCCTGGGAGCAATTGCATTTCGTGATGAACCGTCTGCTCAACCCTTACTTCAAATCATTCATCAGCCAGAGTGGAAGAGGAGAGCGAGACGGAGATAAGCTGGCTCCGACTGTGCAGAAATGCTTCACGGAGGCCGAAGCGGCGTTGCTTCATTTGCAACAGAACATCGACATTCCAGAGATCAACTTGGTCATCAATCAACATATTCTTGATGCTATTGAAAAGGCGTCGAAAGAGAATCGCCGTGCCAGAGTGAGTATTGACGCTCTTTGAATCGATTTTAAGTTTTTTTTTTTCAGATTGAAGATCTTGGTAATTTGGTAGAAGATGCCAACTTTCTGAATTCTCTTCAAGCTGGCTGTAATAGATGGGTCAAGGAAATTCGCAAAGTTACGCAGCTCGAAAGAGACGCTAGCAGTGGAACTTCCCTTCAAGAAATGACATTTTGGCTCAATTTGGAGCGCTCTCTGCTCAAGATTGCTCAGAAAAGAGACGGAGAAGAGGTCACGCTGACTCTCGAAGCACTGAAGTGCGGAAAGCGTTTCCACGCGACCGTCAGTTTCGACAGTGACACCGGATTGAAACAGAAGCTCGCAATTGTGCAAGACTACAACACTCTGATGAAGGACTTCCCTCTCAGTGAGCTTGTTTCGGCCGTGGATGTTCCGAAGTTGATGCACGCCGTCACTGGTATCTTCCTTCATCTTCGCAAACTTCGATCGACCAAGTATCCGCTGCAACGTGCTCTTCGTCTTGTGGAGGCCATCTCGAGAGATCTCAACTCTCAACTGCTCAAGGTGCTCTCTGCGTACAGTTTGATGCACACGCCAATCGCCGAGTTCAACGACACCATGACGCAGTGCCAGGCGCTGTTCAGCAAATGGGACGACGAATACGACAAGTTCATTGCTCTTCTCCGTGATATCAACAAGAAGAAGAGAGACGATCCGTCGAAACTCTCGTGGAAGGTGACGGCCGTTCACAAAAGACTGGAAGGGCGCCTCACGCAGATTATGCAGTTCAGAAAGTGAGCCACTTTTAGGAGAATTAATTTAAGTTGCCCTTTTTCAGACAACACGAGCAGTTCCGCACTGTCATTGAACGCGTTCTGCGCCCAGTGGGCAACATCTCTTCTCGTGTCAAGGAAGAGTTCATGGTCGAATCGATGGAAGGAGAAAAGTCTCCAGATGAGCAAGTCGACATCGCCTACGAGTTTCTCAAGAATGTCGATTTTCTCGACGTGGACAACCCTGCATGGGAAAACGCCTTCAAAAGATATGAAGATCAGATCGGAGTCGTCGAGACTGCCATCACCACAAGACTGAAGGGCCAGCTGGAGTCGTCGAGAAACTCGAATGAAATGTTCTCTATCTTCAGCCGTTACAACGCACTCTTCATTCGTCCGCGCATCCGTGGAGCCATCTACGAATACCAGACGCGACTGATCAATCGAGTGAAAGATGACATCAATCAACTGCAGGAGAGATTCACGAAGGCTCGAGGAGAACAAGGAGTTCGCATCATGCAGACTGCTGGACTTCCTCCGTTCTCTGCAAAGATTATGTGGATTCGCAACTTTGAGAGGCAACTTCAGAGATACATGAAGCGAGTTGAAGACGTGCTTGGAAAGCAATGGGAGAATCATGTGGATGGAAGACAACTGAAGGCCGACGGAGACAATTTCAAAGTGAAATTGAACACGCAGCCGATGTTTGACGAATGGGTCGAGACTGTGCAGTCACAAAACTGGACACTGCCCAACAAAATATTGGCAGTCGAGAGAATTCAAGTGGAGGGAAAAGTTCAGCTGCAGTTAAAGGTCAATTATCACCGCGACAGCTTCATTCTCTACAAAGAAGTATCGCACTTGAAAGCCATGGGATTCCGTGTGCCGCTCAAGATTGTCAACTGGGCCCATCAGGCCAATCAGATGCATCCGTCGGCCACTGCTCTCATCGAAGCAACCCGAACTTTCTCGTCTGTAAATGCTGCTCTGGCTTCAGTTCAAGGAGTCGACTCGCTGCTGGCTAGCTACAAAAGAGACATTCAAAATCAGTTGCTCGAAGGTTTGCGGCGTTTCGTTTTCCGCCCTTCTAATGTAAATTTCAGGAGCCACACTAAGCTGGGATTCGTACAAAATCGAGCAATACCAATTGAGACTGGCCGAAACTGTCAACACCTATCAAGAGCGATGCGAGGAGCTGCTCAACGTCGTTCGAATTGTGAACGCCGATTTGAATGTGCTCAAATCGTGCCGCTACGATAAAGAGACCATTGAGAACCTGCTCAGCTCCATACAAAAAGGAGTCGACCAACTTTCACTTGGAAACTACTCGAATCTTGCACAATGGGTGGCAGCCCTTGACAGTCAAATCGAGACGATTCTCGCTCGTCGTGTCGAAGATGCAATCCGTGTCTGGAAGGAAGTCTTCTCGCAATCGGAGGCTGTAGAAGAGCTTCGTGAGAGGCAAGTTGTGCTGCCCCAAGTGAAGAACGTCGTTGTCGAGCTGTATATGACTGCTCAAACACTTTATATCAGCCCGAGCATTCACGAAACTCGCGAGAAGATTCTGGAGCAACTCTACGAGTGGCACAGTGTCTGTACTGCACAGAAAAGAATTAGCGGAAGACGATTCCAGGTGAGAACTTCAGAAATTGTATAGACGACTCATAGCAACTTTCAGATGGTTATGAGCGAAGATACTGAGCCAGAAACGTATCATAATGTTCTTAACGTGATGCCGGAAGGACATGCTTGTCTTGAGAAGGCGTACGAATGTGTCAACAAAATCATGTCGGAACTGGAAGAATATCTGAGCGAATGGCTCAGTTATCAGTCTCTCTGGGTTCTGCAAGCCGAACAACTCTTCGAAATGCTCGGCACCTCGCTCTCTAAATGGATGAAGACGTTGATGGAAATCCGTAAAGGAAGAACAGTCTTCGATACGCAGGACACGCGCAAAGCCATTTTCCCAGTGACTGTCGAGTACGGAAAGGCTCAGCAGAAGATTCTTTTCAAATATGACTACTGGCACAAGGAAATGCTCGTCAAGTTCGGCGCCGTTGTTGGAGACGAAATGCAGAAGTTCTTCAATTCTGTATCAAAGTGGAGAAACGTGCTTGAGACGCAATCAGTCGACGGAGGATCTACTTCCGATACTATTGGACTCATCTCTTTTGTTCAAACGTTGAAGAAGCAAACGAAAGCCGGACAGGATGCTGTGGATCTCTACCGCTCCTCGCAACGTCTTCTCAACCAGCAACGCTATCAATTTCCCGCCCAATGGCTCTTTTCGGAGAACGTGGAGGGAGAATGGTCTGCGTTCGCCGAAATTCTCAGTTTGAGAGATGCTTCCATCCAAACGCAGATGATGAATCTGCAGACGAAGTTTGCTCAGGAAGACCAACTTGTCGAAAAGAGAACGGACGAGACGTTGACCGAATGGAACAACCGAAAGCCGGTTGAAGGAGCTCAACGGCCACAAGATGCTCTCAACGTCATCACTGCGTTCGAAGCAAAATTGAACAAACTGACGGAGGAGAGAAACAAGATGCGAAAGGCTCGAGTCGCTCTGGATATGTCGGACAGTGCGCATGCGCCGTCGGAGAACGACAAACTGACGGTGGCGACGGAGGAGTTGGCTGCCATGAAGGATGTGTGGAAGGCGTTGCAACCGGTCTACACGGGAATCGACGAGGCGAAGGAGAAGACGTGGCTGTCTGTGCAACCGCGGAAGATCCGTCAATCGCTTGATGAGCTCATGAACCAGTTGAAACAGTTGCCGGCGAAGTGCAGAACTTACAAGAGTTACGAGCACGTGAAGCAGATGCTGCATACTTACGGAAAGATGAACATGCTGGTGGCCGAGTTGAAGTCGGAGGCGTTGAAGGAAAGGCATTGGCACCAGATGATGAAGGAGATGCGAGTCAACTGGAACCTGTCGGATTTGACGCTCGGACAAGTGTGGGATGCCGACATTCTCCGTCACGAACATACGATAAAAAAGATTCTTCTGGTGGCTCAAGGAGAAATGGCTCTGGAGGAGTTCTTGAGAGAGATGCGCGAGTACTGGCAGAACTATGAAGTGGAATTGGTGAATTATCAGAACAAGACGAGACTTATCAAAGGCTGGGACGATCTGTTCAACAAGCTCAAGGAACATCAGAACTCGTTGTCTGCCATGAAACTTTCTCCTTACTACAAGCAGTTCGAGGAGAGCGCACAGTCTTGGGATGAGAAGCTGAACAAGATCAATGCCATGTTCGATGTTTGGATCGATGTGCAGCGTAGATGGGTCTATCTCGAAGGACTCTTCTCTGGATCCGCCGAGATCGCCACCCTCCTTCCATTCGAAAGTTCTCGCTTCGCCACCATCACCACTGACGTTCTCGCTTTGATGAAGAAAGTCGCTGCTTCCCCACGTATTCTCGACGTCGTTAATATGCAAGGAGCTCAGCGTCTGCTCGAACGACTCGCCGACATGCTCGCGAAGATTCAGAAGGCACTAGGAGAGTATTTGGAGAGAGAGCGATCATCTTTCCCTCGTTTCTACTTCGTGGGTGACGAAGATTTGTTGGAGATTATGGGTAACAGCAAGGACATCACGAGAATCCAGAAGCATCTGAAGAAGATGTTTGCCGGAATCACTGCCATCGACATCAACGAAGACGACAGGAGCGTGAGTTGCTATTAGTTAGAGCCAAAGTTAATTTCCAAAAAGTCGTTTCAGATCACAGCTTTTCACTCTCGCGAAGGAGAGAGGGTCGAACTGGTGAAGATTGTGGCCACAAAAGACGTCCGAATCAACGACTGGCTGCAAGCTCTAGAGGCTGAGATGAAACACACGCTGGCTCGTCAGCTCGCCTCATCGCTGTCTCACTTTTCGAAGATGAACATTCAAACAATGACGACCGACGACTATGTCGAATGGCTCGACAAGTATCCGACGCAAGTGATCACCCTTACTGCCGAGATCTGGTGGTGTGACGAAATGGAGAAGACATTGGCCGACGGAAAAGGAGCTGAAGTCGTCGAGCAAGCTGTAACTAAGACTCTGGAGCTGCTGGCTGACAGTGTGCTCAAGGAGCAGCCACCCATTCGCAGAAAGAAGATGGAGGCGCTGGTGAGTAAACGGCGGGAATATTAGATCGCAATAAAGTCATTTACAGATCACCGAGCTCGTGCACAAGAGAGACACATGTCGTAAGTTGTCTCAGAAGAAGATTCGTGCTGCCAACGACTTTGGGTGGCTGCAGTGCATGAGATTCTACTTCGATCCGAAGCAAGTCGACCCCGTTCGTTGCTGCGTTGTAAAAATGGCCAACGCCCAATTCTACTACGGATTCGAATATTTGGGAATTCAAGAGAGACTCGTGCGAACTCCGCTCACCGATCGATGCTACCTGACAATGACCCAAGCTCTGCACTCTCGCCTCGGAGGATCGCCGTTTGGACCGGCTGGAACCGGAAAGACCGAATCCGTGAAGGCCCTCGGACATCAACTTGGTCGCTTCGTTCTCGTATTCAATTGTGACGAGACATTCGATTTCCAAGCTATGGGACGTATTCTCGTTGGTCTGTGCCAAGTAGGAGCATGGGGATGCTTCGACGAGTTCAATCGTCTCGAGGAACGAATGCTCTCAGCCGTCTCTCAACAGATTCAAACTATTCAAGAGGCTGTTCGTGCTGGCGGAGATATGAGTGTTGATCTTGTCGGAAAGCGTCTGAATGTGAACGGAAACATTGGAATCTTCATCACTATGAATCCTGGATACTCTGGACGGTCCAACCTTCCGGACAACTTGAAGCAGCTCTTCCGAAGCTTGGCTATGACTCAGCCGGACCGACAGCTTATTGCTCAAGTCATGTTGTTCTCGCAAGGATTCCGAACTGCAGAGACTCTCGCCAACAAGATTGTTCCGCTGTTCATTCTGTGCAAAGAACAACTTTCCGCTCAATGCCACTACGATTTCGGACTTCGTGCTCTCAAATACGTGCTCGTTTCTGCCGGTAACATCAAACGAGACAAACTGGACCGCATGGGAGCAGCAGCTCTGGAAGATATTGCCGAGCAGCAGATGCTCATTCAATCCGTTTGCGAAACTCTCGTTCCGAAGCTCGTCAACGAGGATATCGCTCTGCTTTTCTCACTGCTTTCGGACGTCTTCCCAGGAATTCACTACACTGCCAACCAGATGAGAGAGTAAGTCAAGCTTGCCGTTATTCGAGAATGATTATCCGTGTTTTCAGGTTGCGTCAGCAGCTCTCGACTGTCTGTGACGAGCATCTTCTCATCTACTCCGATGTGCAGGGAGAAATGGGATCCATGTGGCTCGACAAAGTGCTCCAACTGTACCAGATCACGAATCTCAACCACGGCCTTATGCTGGTCGGATCTAGCGGAGCTGGAAAAACAATGGCCTGGAAAGTGCTCCTGAAAGCATTGGAAAGATGGGAGAACGTGGAAGGGGTTGCGCATGTGATCGATGCGAAGGCAATGAGCAAAGACTCTCTGTACGGAGTGATGGACCCGAATACCCGTGAATGGACCGACGGACTCTTCACTTCAATCATCAGAAAAATCATTGACAACGTGAGAGGAGAAGCAGATCGCCGCCAATGGATAATCTTCGACGGAGATGTCGATCCGGAATGGGTTGAGAACTTGAACTCTGTTCTCGACGATAACAAGCTTTTGACTCTTCCAAACGGAGAGCGTCTTTCCATTCCACCGAACGTTAGGATCATCTTTGAAGTCGCCGATCTAAAATACGCTACTCTGGCTACCGTTTCCCGTTGTGGAATGGTCTGGTTCAGTGAAGAAGTCGTAACTTCGGAAATGCTCTTTGAACGATACCTCTCAATGCTCCGTCGTGTTCCACTCGATGCTGACTCTGCCGTCAGTTTCTCATCTTCCAATGCGCCAGTCAATTTGGTCGGAGAAGATGCGAAGCCATCTCGTGCCATTGAAATTCAACGGACTGCCGCTCTCGCTCTCCAGAACCATTTCTCACCTGACGGAATTGTTCCGGGAAGTCTCAAATACGCCGTTGCTGAGCTGGAACACATCATGCCACCAACTGCTCAACGCCTCCTTTCTTCGTTCTTCGCAATGATGTCGTACTCGATCCGGAAAATGGTCTCTCATGACGAAGGACTCATCGACGACTCGATGGAACTCGATCAGATTCAAAACTTCGTGCTCCGCTCGATGCTCACCAACTTGGTCTGGGCGTTCAGTGGAGACGGAAAATGGAAGTCGAGAGAGATGATGAGCGACTACATCAGACAGGCCACAACCATAGCTCTTCCTCCCAACCAGCAGGCTTGTCTCATCGATTACGAGGTTCAGCTCACCGGAGAATGGCAACCATGGCTCGCTAAAGTTCCGACGATGGAGATCGAATCGCATCGTGTCGCTGCTGCTGATCTCGTCGTTCCGACCATCGACACGGTTCGTCACGAGATGCTCCTCGCTGCTTGGCTCGCTGAGCACAAGCCACTTGTTCTGTGCGGTCCTCCTGGGTCCGGAAAAACAATGACTCTGCTCGCTGCTCTTCGTTCTCAACAAGAAATGGACGTCGTCAACGTCAACTTCTCGTCTTCTACAACGCCAGAACTGCTTCTTCGCACCTTCGATCACTATTGCGAATATAGGTTTGTGAATGCCAATATTTGGCTTATCCGTTATTAAATCGATTATTTCAGACGTACACCTAATGGAGTTGTGCTTTCTCCAGTTCAAATCTCGCAATGGCTGGTAATCTTCTGCGATGAGATCAATTTGCCGGCTCCTGACAAATACGGAACTCAAAGAGTGATCAGTTTCCTCCGTCAGCTCGTGGAACTCAATGGATTCTACCGTACTTCTGATCACAGTTGGGTCACACTCGAACGCATTCAGTTTGTCGGTGCCTGTAACCCACCAACTGATCCGGGACGTCACCCAATGACTTCTCGCTTCCTTCGCCACGTTCCAATTGTCTACGTTGACTATCCAGGACAGACGTCTCTCCAACAGATCTACGGAACGTTCAACCGTGCAATGCTCAAGATGACTCCGGCTGTGCGCGGATTGGCGGATCAACTGACGAATGCTATGGTGGATGTCTATCTGAAGAGTCAGGAACACTTCACTCAAGACGACCAACCCCATTACGTTTATTCTCCGAGAGAACTGACTCGATGGGTCAGAGGAATTTCCGAAGCAATCACCCCGTTGGAATCTCTGTCTGCTGAGCAGCTCGTTCGTCTCTGGGCTCACGAAGCAATCCGCCTGTTCCAGGACAGATTGGTCACCGAAGAGGAGCGAGAGTGGACTGACAAACTCGTGGATGACGTTGCGGATACTTACTTCGGAAACACCTGCCGATTGGAAGATGCTCTCAAACGACCGCTTCTCTACTCCTGCTGGATGTCGCGCAACTACGTTCCGGTCACTCGCGATGAGCTGCAGGACTACGTATCGGCGAGATTGAAGGGATTCTACGAGGAAGAACTCGATGTGAAGCTGGTTTTGTTCGACCAGATGCTCGACCACGTACTGCGAATCGATCGAATCTACCGACAGTCGCAAGGACATTTGCTCCTCATTGGTACTGCCGGAGCTGGAAAGACCACTCTTTCAAGATTCGTCGCTTGGCTAAACGGACTCAGTGTGTTCCAACTGAAGGTGCACTCGAAATACACTGCCGCTGACTTTGACGAAGACATGCGAACAGTTCTTCGAAGAGCCGGATGCCGAAACGAGAAATTGTGCTTCATCATGGACGAATCAAACATGCTGGATACTGGCTTCCTCGAGAGACTCAACACTCTTCTTGCCAACGGAGAAGTTCCAGGACTGTTCGAAGGAGATGAGCATTCTACTCTGATGACTCAGATCAAGGAGGGAGCTCAGAGACAAGGACTGATCCTCGATAGCCACGACGAACTGTACAAGTGGTTCACTCAACAGGTTATGCGCAATCTTCACGTCGTCTTCACGATGAACCCATCAGGAAGCGGACTTCGGGAACGTGCTTCAACTTCGCCCGCTCTGTTTAACAGATGCGTGCTCAATTGGTTCGGAGACTGGAGCGAAAACGCGTTGTACCAGGTCGGATCGGAACTCACCAAGACAATGGACATCGACAGAACTGACTACGAAGGATCCGTGCGGCTCACTCCGTCCTGCGAACTCGTTCCTCCAGAACCAACATATAGAGATGCTGTCGTCAATACTCTTTGCCTTGTTCACAAGACTGTGCAGAAGTTCAACGAAGTTGAGACGAAGAAGGGACATCGCGTGATGGCCTGCACTCCGAGACACTTCCTCGACTTCATCAAGCAGTTTATGTCACTGTTTCACGAAAAGCGATCAGATTTGGAAGAGGAGAAGATTCATTTGAACATCGGATTGAACAAGATCAGCGAGACGGAGGAGCAAGTGAAGGAATTGCAAAAGAGTCTTCATCTTAAGAGCAGAGAACTCGAAGAGAAAAAGGAGGCTGCAAACCTGAAATTGAAGGAGATGTTGGCGGATCAGCAGAAGGCCGAGGAAGAGAAGAAATTCTCCGAGCAACTGCAAAAGGAGCTCGCCGAGCAACTGAAGCAGATGGCGGAGAAGAAAACCGTTGTCGAGAGCGATTTGGCTCAAGTCGAACCAGCCGTCGCGGATGCTCAGACTGCTGTGCAAGGAATCAAGAAGAGTCAGCTGGTCGAAGTGAAATCCATGTCGAGCCCTCCTGTCGTTGTGAAGCTCACGTTGGAAGCGATTTGCATTCTACTTGGAGAGAACGTCGGAACCGATTGGAAGGCGATCCGTCAAGTGATGATGAAGGAAGATTTCATGACAAGAATCCTGCAGTTCGACACGGAATCTCTGACTGCTGACATTTTGAAGCAGATGGAGAAATACATTCTGAATCCGGATTGGGAGTTCGACAAGGTCAACCGAGCGTCGGTGGCTTGCGGTCCTATGGTCAAATGGGCAAGAGCTCAACTGCTCTACTCTACGATGTTGCACAAGGTGGAACCACTGAGAAACGAACTGAAGAGACTCGAGAAGGAAGCTGCAAAGAAGACGGAGGAAGGCAAAGTGGTCGATGTGAGGATCACCGAGTTGGAGGAGTCCATTGGAAAGTACAAGGAGGAATACGCGCAGCTCATCGGACAAGCCGAAAACATCAAGCAGGACTTGCTGTCTGTGCAAGAGAAAGTCAACCGATCAACCGAACTTCTCTCGTCACTCCGCTCGGAACGCGATCGTTGGTCGAGTGGAAGTGCCGGATTCTCGCAGCAAATGGACTCTCTCGTCGGAGATGCCCTTCTGTCATCCGCCTTCCTCGCCTACGCTGGATACTACGACCAAATGCTTCGTGACGAGATCTTCCACAAATGGTTTAATCACGTCGTCAATGCTGGTCTTCATTTCCGCCACGATCTCGCTCGCATCGAGTATCTGTCCACTGTTGATGACCGTTTGCAATGGCAGCTCAACTCCCTTCCTGTTGACGATCTGTGCACTGAGAATGCAATAATGCTGCATCGCTTCAACCGCTACCCGCTCATCATCGATCCTTCTGGACAGGCAGTCGAGTACATCATGAAACAGTTTGCTGGAAAGAACATTCAAAAGACGTCCTTCCTGGACGAATCGTTCCGCAAGAACCTCGAGTCTGCTCTTCGCTTCGGAAATTCTCTACTCGTTCAAGACGTTGAAGCCTACGATCCGATTCTCAACCCAGTGCTCAATCGGGAAGTGAAGAGAGCCGGAGGACGTGTGCTTATCACTATCGGAGACCAGGACATTGATCTGTCGCCGTCCTTCCAGATCTTCATGATCACTCGTGACTCTACTGTCGAATTCTCCCCCGACATCTGCTCTCGTGTCACCTTCGTCAACTTCACCGTGACCTCGTCTTCGTTGGCCAGCCAGTGTCTCAACCAAGTTCTTCGCAGCGAGAGACCGGATGTGGACAAGAAGAGAAACGACCTTCTCAAGCTTCAAGGAGAGTTCGCTGTTCGACTTCGTCACCTTGAGAAAGCCTTGTTGGCAGCTTTGAACGAGAGCAAGGGCAAGATTCTGGACGACAATTCAGTGATAGAAACACTCGAGAAACTGAAGAATGAGGCAGCTGAAGTGGCTCAAAAGTCAGCGGAGACGGATAAGGTTATGGCAGAGGTGGATGCAGTGTCGGCTCAATATCAAAAACTGGCAAGCGCCTGCTCCCACATCTATCACACGCTGCAGCAGCTCAATGAGATTCACTTTCTTTACCACTACTCTCTTGATTTCCTTGTTGAAATCTTCACTCATGTGCTCAAGACTCCAGAACTCTCGTCGACTACAGACTACATGAAGAGGCTCAGAATTATCACCACTAGTCTTTTTCAGGTAAAAATTTTATCCCAGGACACAATATCAACTTCTTTCAGACTGTTTTCCGTCGTGTTTCTCGTGGAATGTTGCACACTGATAAGGTTCTTCTTGCTCTCCTTCTCATGAGAATTCACATTCGTTCCATTCCAAATGCACCAGGATACGAAAAGCACTTCAATTTGCTGCTCGGTAGAACGGATCTTGTTACAAAGAACGGTAATCTTTCGAAAACCAAACCTTCGCTTCACACTGTTTTTTTCAGATGATGATGACATCCCGCCGGGACTTGATTTCCTCAGCGTGGAAAACAAGAGAGCGATTGCAAAGACACGGAAAATCGACGGATTCGAGAATGTATTCGCTAAGCTGCAAGCCAATTCTGCTGCCGTCACGGCATGGTTCGTTAACGACAATCCGGAGTCGAATGTTCCGGCGATCTGGGAGGATTCGGAAGGAAAACTGGCCCCGTTGTGCATTGCGATGAACTCGTTGATTGTGGTGCACGCCCTTCGTCCGGACAGACTGATGGCTTCTGCTCATCGCGTCGTTTCCACGGCATTCGACGATCACTTCATGCAACAAGACAAAGTGGTCGACATTCTTTCCATCGTTGACAACGAAGTCGCTCCTTCTGAGCCTGTCCTTCTCTGTTCTGCCACTGGATATGATGCATCCGGAAAGATAGAAGATCTTGCGGTGGAGACGAATCGTCAGTTGACTTCCATTGCCATCGGATCGGCCGAAGGATTCAGTCAAGCGGACTCTGCTCTCGGAGCTGCCACCAAATCGGGCCGTTGGGTGCTTCTCAAGAATGTGCACTTGGCGCCGAGCTGGTTGGCTCAACTGGAAAAGAGATTGCATTCAATGAAACCACATGCGCAGTTTCGCCTCTTCCTCACCGCCGAAATCCATCCAAAGTTGCCGTCGTCGATTCTGCGAGCATCGCGTGTGGTTGTGTTCGAACCTGCTACTGGATTGAAAGCCAATCTTTTGCGATCGCTTTCTAGCATTCCTCCACAAAGACTGACGAAGGCACCAACAGAGAGAAGCAGATTGTACCTGCTTGTCTGCTGGCTGCACGCACTTGTTCAAGAAAGACTCAGGTGAGATACTAGAAAGACTCGGGCATGATACTACTTTTTCGTTTTCAGGTACACACCACTGGGATGGTCGACTGCTTACGAATTTTCGGATGCCGATCTTCGTGTAGCCTGTGACACTCTCGACGCTGCCGTTGACGCCGTCGCTCAAGGAAGACCGAACGTGGAACCCGAACGTCTTCCGTGGACTACTCTGCGTACTCTTCTCAGTCAATGCATTTACGGAGGAAAGATAGACAATCAATTTGACCAAGTTCTTCTCGACTGCGTCCTGGAAAACCTGTTTACTGCAAAGAGTTTCGAACAAGATCACGTGCTGATTCCTAAATACGACGGAGACAACGCTCTGTACACTCCGAATATGTCAAAGAAGGATCAAATGGTCGGATGGGTCGAAGAACTGAAAAACGAACAGTTGCCAGCGTGGCTCGGATTGCCGAACAATGCGGAAAAAGTGTTGTTGACTAAGCGAGGAGAGGCGATGCTCCGTAACATGTTGAAGGTGACTGATGAGGAATTGGCGTTCAACGAGGACGGAAAGGAAGAGGCTAAGCCGCAGTGGATGGCACAACTAGGGGAACTGGCCAAACAATGGCTGCAACTGCTGCCCAAAGAGATCGTCAAAATGCGCAGAACCGTCGAGAACATCAAGGATCCGTTGTTCAGATTCTTCGAGAGAGAAGTCAATCTCGGAGCGCAGCTTTTGAAGGACATTCGCCGTGACTTGAATGAGATTACTTCGGTCTGTCGAGCCGAAAAGAAACAGAACAACGAGACGCGTGCTTTGGCTGCCAGTCTTCAGAAGGGAGAAGTTCCGAATGGATGGAAACGGTACACGGTTCCTAGAGAGGTGACCGTCATGGACTGGATGATTGATCTCAATGAAAGACTCAAACAGCTCATTCGCATCGGAGGAGCTGATAATTTGAAGGTATTTTCAATTAATTGTATGTAAAATCGATTGTAATCTTTTCAGCGTGAGACGTTCTGGCTCGGAGGAACATTCTCTCCAGAAGCCTACGTTACTGCTACTCGTCAACAAGTTGCCCAGGCCAACACGTGGTCCCTGGAGCAGCTCAATCTTCACATTCACATCGGACGCACCGACAACACGGACGTCTTCCGCATTTCTGGAGTCGACATTCGTGGAGGCAAGCCTGTCAGTGGAAATAAACTCGAACTGTGCGAACTTGTCAAGAACGAATGTGATATTGTGGAATTCAGCTGGAAACAAGTATGCACTAAATTAACGAGTTTCAATCATAATCATTCATTTCAGGAAGCCGCCGACGGTACTCGACTCCCTCTGTACTTGTACGGAGATCGCCGTCAGCTTATCTCTCCACTGGCCTTCCAACTCTCGTCTGCGACCGTTTTCTATCAGAGAGGAGTGGCTCTTGTCGCTAATTCGTCCCTTTAATTTATTATTTTTATTGTTTTGCCACTTGTGCATAGTAACTTCTCCCCGTTTCATTCATTCTATCGTTATGCAATTCATCTCCACTCAACTATTTTTCAGTGCTTCCCGAATAAATCACTTTGTACCTGATGAGATAAAACGGCCAAACATAAGAATTGTGTTACTTTTCCGATTTGAGCTGCGAACAGAAGCTTCCGAGATTAAGGTATAATATGAACTTTCCCGATTCGTTTTCGTGACCTCCCACTGAACTCATCCTTATAAATTTTAACTCTGGAGATCTAGAGCGAGATAAGAAGTGGCTATAAAAGGACGGAGTGTCCGTCAGTATCTCCATAGAGTTATCCAACAACTCCTTCAACAACCGCCATGGCCCAATCCGTCCCACCAGGAGATATCGCCACTCAACCGAACGCGAAGATCGTGTTCAACGCGCCGTACGACGACAAACACACCTACCACATCAAGGTGATCAACTCGTCGGCCCGTCGCATCGGCTACGGAATCAAGACGACGAACATGAAGCGTCTCGGAGTGGACCCGCCGTGCGGAGTGCTCGATCCCAAGGAGGCTGTGCTTCTGGCCGTCTCGTGCGACGCGTTCGCCTTCGGACAGGAGGACACCAACAACGACCGCATCACGATCGAGTGGACCAACACTCCCGATGGCGCCGCCAAGCAGTTCCGTCGCGAGTGGTTCCAGGGAGACGGAATGGTCCGTCGCAAGAACCTCCCTATCGAATACAACCCATAGAATAAACGATTTTTGTAATTTACTTGTTTTCCTTTTCGCCATCCAGCTAGAATGCAGCTAGAAGGCAAGCAACAAAGCCTTTTTGAGAAACTCGCTGTAATGTATCTCCATGTAGGTGCGCGTTGCGAGACTGTCAAAGGCACCATTTGTCTATCCACTTCTGTGATCTGATAACCTATTATTGTCTAAATTGTCTAAATTGTCTAAATAAATGAATGCAAAAAAAAGTTCTCAAAAGAATTCTACGTGTTGTCGTTATCGGAATCTTGGATAATCAGTTTCCATCCGTTTTCCCCTCATTTCTTTGTATCGGAAACGTGCAGTGAACTCGTTTAAATTCTCTTCATATCGACCGTAAAATGGACATTGAACTGCTCCGTCAGTCGTGTGGTAGGCTCTGCCGTTCGAGAACCTTCCAGAAGTTTCCGACCTTTGCAGCAGTTGGATTGGCCGTCTGCTCGAGTGTTTCGTTGCTTCTTGTCGGTTGCAAAACTGCGGATCGAGCAGTGACTCGAAGGGAACGGATGAAAGAGTCTTCGAGAAGAAAGAAGAAGAGAAGGGATTCGGAACGGTCGAAGCGGCAGAAAAGCAAGAGAAAGAGCGAAAGACAGAAGAAGAGTGCTCGGAGCAGAAAGAGCAAGAGGGAGAAGAGCAAAAGAGAGAAGAGCAAAAGAGAAAAGAGCCGGAGGAGCGCTCGGAGCAAGAAGGAAAAAAAGAACAGTGCTCGGAGCAAGAAGATGCAGAAGAGTGGAAGCACGAGAAAAGGATCGAAGGATGCGGAAGACGGGGACGGAGGCTCGAATCGCTCGAATCGCTCGAAGCGCAGTCGGCAGAGAAAGATTGAGGAGGAGAGGGATCGGAAAGACAGATCGGACTCTTCGGGCAGGAAACGACGGTATGCGGAGGGAGTGTCCGAATGGGAACTAGCATGTTTTCTAGGGAGGAGGAAGGACCGAGTCGACGTGGCAGTAAGAGGGAATCTTCGCGCAGAAACTCTTCCAGAAAGTCCGGCTGTGAAGACGATCGTGAAGGATCTGCTCGCAAATCGAAGTCCCGTCGAAACCAGCGATCAGAAGGAAATCCGAATCGGAGTGAAGACCGTCTACAGAAGAGTTCGAGCAAGAAGAGCAAAAAGAGCGGAAAGAGCAAGAAGTTTGTTATACTTTTCAGATCCTTCACAATTGATCACTTTTCAGATCTGTCACTAGTTCCAACGTCAAGAAGAGTTCGTCGAAAAAGAGCAGAAAGAGCCAGAAGAGTCAGAAAAGTGAGAAGAACGAGTTGAAGACCGCGAGAAGCCAACCCTCTCTGAAAACGGCGAAAAGTCAGAATTCCCTGAAAACGGCGAAAAGTGAGAAGAATCTGGAGACAAAGGGAAGCAAGAAGGGATCCAAAAAGAGTAAAAGAGCCGAATCGGCAAAGAAGATGGTGACGGAAGAAAATGGAAAGAAAGGGTGAGAGGAGTCGAAAATAGATTCAGAAGTGTTTCGACTGTTTTCAGAAAGAAACTGACTTCGAAGAAGAGTCAGAGTCTTCTGGACAAATCTGGAAAGTCAGGAAAGACCGAGAAGTCTCTATACATGTAGAACTCTCCATGATCATCGAACTAATAAAAACACGATGCGTTCTTTCTGTATGAGTAAAAACATGCTATAACAGTTTTCTCTTTCGACGTTTAGTTCACAAAATTGCCACGTGAAACACTTTGCTCTTCTCACAAACTCTTGCTCATTTTCGATTGAAATCCGCTTCGAAGTAAGTTTTCCTTTGAAGAAACATCACAAAAGAGCAGTTCAGAGGATGCAAGACGTCAACAGTATAATAATTGATGTCCTGAGCATTGGCTCTCACGACAAACCGATTTGTAAAGTGATTCAAGAAGATCGCATTCTGAAACTGCTGGACCAAGCAAAGGAGATCGTCAAAATGCAGGGAGCGCTGGTGGAAGTGGAGGCGCCGATTAAAGTGTGCGGAGACGTGCACGGCCAGTTCCCAGACCTCGTCCGGCTCTTCCACCGGGGCGGATGGCCACCGCTCTCCAACTACTTGTTCCTCGGCGACTACGTCGATCGCGGCAGGTTCAACATTGAAACGATCGTTCTGCTATTGGCTTACAAGGTGATTTCTAGTCTTTGAATGCTTCAAAGCATCTTCAATTCAGGTCAGATTCGCGAAGAACTTCTTCCTTTTGCGAGGAAATCACGAGTGTGAGTATATAAACAAAACGTACGGATTTTATGAGGAATGCCAGAAGCGCTACCAGAGCACTCGCCTCTACGAAGCCTTCCAGGTCAGTTCCCTTCTTTCAGGGAGGTAGTTTTCAATTCATTATACTTCTCAGGATCTGTTCAACTGGCTCCCGTTGTCCGGTCTCATTTCCGATCGCATTCTTTGCATGCACGGAGGTCTCTCGCCCGAGCTGAAGTCTCTGAACGATCTGAGAAACATTGCGCGACCGAATCTCGCTCGAACTGGACTCGAAGTAGACCTTCTTTGGGCCGATCCGATCATCGGACTCAACGGATTCATGGCGAATCAGCGAGGAGCGGGATGCGGATTCGGGAAAGACATTGTCCAGAAAACGTGTGCTGACCTCAACCTCGATCTAATTTGCCGTGCTCATCAGGTCGTTCAGGACGGCTACGAATTCTTCGCTGGAAGGAAACTTGTGGTGACTCAGTCCATTGTTTGCATCTCTTAACTTGAAATTCCACTTTCAGACAATCTTCTCGGCTCCTCACTACTGTGGCCAATTCGATAACTGCGCCGCGTTCATGATTTGTGATGAGAAACTTCAGTGCTCGTTCGAGATTCTTCGTCCGACGACCGGCCGTCTCGAGATCCGCGAGAAGACGCTGTTGAAGGATGAAGCCAACTGAGCAGCCGAACGAATTCTGAAAATAAACGTGTCACTCCATCAGCGTATTAAAATTTCCCCAACTATTATCGCTCCCTTCTTCCACTCGGCACCTTGCGATTCCGCCCCGTTTCACTTTGTTGTGTTTGCGTTGATAAAGAATGTCAACTCATGACTTATTCATCGTCACTTGGCCGGCTGTTTTGCGGACCTGAAGTCCTTTTAATGTCCTCTGCGTCTCTCGATCGGCCACGCTCTGTCGTCGATATGCGTGACCGGATTCATGTTTGACAGAAGGGAGAGGACTACTCGAGTTGATGCGGAAAGACCACTTTTAGCAGCAGTTCGCAGCTTTTTAGTTTTTCTTCTGCCTTCCAAGCTACGGTAGCTTTATTTACTCAACTCTGACTTCGTTCCACTACTTCTTCTTCCCCTTGTGCCATTCAGCATCTTCAGAATCGCTTCTATCAAAAGTCGAGTGTCGTCATAAGAGGTCTGTGTTCGCTCCGCCGCCGCCGGCACGCACTTCATTAATCTGAATTCACCCAAATTGGATATATCCTTCTGAACCCTTCTTTCCCGCACTTCTTCTTCTTCTCTTTCTCCTTCTTCTTCTCGCCCTTCGCCCTTCAGAAACATCTCTCCGATCGAAATTCACACAAAACACGCGAAGGAGTCTCCCAAAAATTTATGCATAACCCTCCCGTGCAGCGGCTCTTCGTATTCTCCCTTACTTCTGCGCGTGTGTGTGCATCACGAAATTAGGTAGAAATGTGTCGTGTCGTGGGTTTAAATTCACAAATTGGCTTCCACGTTTTTGTGTGGGGTCTCTCTGCGCGGAGCTCAAAACGAGCAATATCTATGCATTTTTGATGCGATTCGAGAGGGCGGAACCAGAACGGACACTCGAAAATCTCGGCTCTTTGCTTAATTGGATATGCACTTCCAAGATTGCTCACGAAAACAAGGATACTGTACTTTTATCTTTTCACTTGAATTGACCTGAAACCTGCCGACGCGTGCCCGTTTCCACCTCCCTTGCTCCCAACTGCTGCTCCATTCTAATCCTTCACTTTCCCACGAATATATTTCGGAAAAGGAAGGCGTCAGTCTCACTCGTCTAGGCGAGCTACTAGTTCCTCTTATATCCGCCAAAAACAGAAGATTCTTCTGTCGTGTACGTAAGTGGCTCTCCGCGAGGAGTCCGACCGGCTCCGCCCGTCTTCTTCCCGCCACTAAATCAAAAATGCACCCTCCTCCAATGGACATCGTTTTACTCCGCGGGGGCACTCTTTTTGTTCATTCTCAACTCAAGTACTTTTTGCCGCCAAAACAAAACAAAGTGTGTGGAGGGCGGGCGGATAGAAGAAGAGGGGAAGGACGGAAGAATCCAACAAGTTTGGCCGTATCTTGCAACGATATCTGCTTCGTCGTCCGCGCAGCCCAAAAAAAGCCTTCTTTTCTGCCTCACTGCTAATAATCTCCGTGCGTGCGTCCGTCCGACGTCTTCCGTGCCCATTATCTTGTCAATTACACCGCCAATCGAATGCCATTTGACCGCGACGCGGCGGTAACACGTACACAAAAAATGCACTTGAGATTTATGAGTTGGCAGAAGAGAAAGAAGAAGCAGGGAAGAAGTAGGAGAAGAGATGTCATGGACATCTATCAGTGTTTCTGGAGGATACCTGAAGCGATTTAATGGGACATCTACAGTGGCCCATGTCTGCTCCTTCTCCAATTTTCTCTTCCGATTTCATGGTTTCCCATATCAATTCCCATCGGGACACATGTTCTTTTCGGCTCTTCGCGCCCTCATGAGCTCTCACTTTTTCTTTTCTATTTTCTGTCTTTCACTCGCTCTCTCCTTCTGCTTTCATTTTTATTCTGATTCTGTTAATGAAAACAAGTGTGCAAGTGAGCCGACTGCTTTTCCGTTGTACAGCTTCAACTCGTCTCCTCCTAATATTTCATTTATTTTCTCTGTTTGCCCTCATCTCATCCTTTTATGATTTTTCTTTTGGCTCATTTTCCGCGTCGTCGCACAATGTGGAAATTGAGTGAGCTGAAGTGGGGAGGGAAAGGCGAAGAAATATTAGTTGTAAGCAATAAAAGTTTGTTTCGTTTTTTCAGGCAAAGAAAAGAGGAGGAGGAGAAGAAAAAGAAGACGTTGTGTTCGATGATTCAGTGCTTTCAGCTAGTCGGAAAAGGCAGAGAAGAAGAAGAAGACGGTGAGGAAAACATTTGTGACATCACGCTGTACTATCACTTTTCCATCACCGCTATACTCTCGAGTTGCACAAGTCCTTTGGAACCTTGAAGGAGCAGAGAACCGAGTTTATGTGTCTGTTTACTGTCCGAATCCCAATTCTCAGAAATGTCCATAAACGTTACAGCGCGCAGGCAAAGTTGTAGCCTTCTAGTTCTAGAAAGTTCTAGAAAAATCCCCTACCGTCAAATTGGTAACAGTGAAGAGTTCTCACTTCTTCCTTTCCTAGACCACGGCCACAATTTTGAATGGCCGCTGCTCCGTTCATAGGCATTTATGGTTTGGACAGAGCACATATAGAAAAGCTCGGAAGGATCTTGATCGTGTTCATTCTAACAATGACAATAGTCGAACTAAATCAAATGATCGTGACAATTGCACAATACGAGTTTCATCAAAACGTTTGTCTTCAGGGAAAGCATAACAATTCGTAATCCCTTCTCTCTTCTTTCCACATCTCCAAATGAGCCCGTATTATTATAATCCATTAGTACGAATTCAGAGAACATAGCTGACACCTTTTGTAAACGTACTTTTCCCTCCCTTTTAGTCCCTTTCTCTCATTCCTGACACCTCCAGAATGATTTGCATACAGACGACTTGTGCCGTCGCTCGCTTCCCTTCCTCCCTTCCTTTCTCTTCCTGCCACCACACCCCATCCAATCCGTCGGTCGGCCATCATAATAGTCGAACACTGGCCGGCCACCCCTTGTCATGTCCATTGTTTTCCGCCACTCCACCACCCCAATCCCATTTTCAGAACCCTTCATCAAAATCCGAAATTTCCCGCTTGCTCGCGTCACAAATTAAGTGTCTTTGGGGCTCTTTTGATGGTCGGCGAGGGCTCCGCGAGGACCGCTGTGCTCATTTTTCACTTTTGGTGTGAAGCCTTTCCGAAATTTTTGTGTGTGGAAAGCATAATTTAGTGTTTGTTGTTTTGAGAAGCGGATGGGAGAGAGAGAGTGAGAGAGTGAGAGAGGATGAGACCAAATTTGAATTCAAATGAAAATGAGAATGAGGGTGAGACATTTTCAATTTCAAGTCCACCCATATTTGATGAACTCTTCTCACACCCGCCCCCAAATTACTTTTTTGCTCACACTCTTTCATTGTCACTATTTCAGCCCTCCCATCAGCTCGGTGTCCGTTCTGAGCATCTCCGAAGATGGGAGCCCGTCTCTCGTGCTCTTGCTCCCAAACCGAATGCTGGACTAACGACGAATCCACCCTGAGGTCAGTCCTTCATCTTCTTCTTTTTCTTCTTCTTCTTCTTCTTTCGGTTGTCAGTTGTTGTAAGTAGTTTAACTCCCTGAACAGTTTTATAACTTATCGGTTTGATATTAGCACTAGAAGCCACGTCATCAGCGAAAGAAGCAAAAAGAGGAAAGGGGTGTTTTGAATGACAAATGGCCGCGACACAAAAAAGGATGGAAAGTGGCCGGGATGTCATTAATTTTCGTCAACGAGACACTTGCCAAAGGGAGTAGAATGAGCGAGATTTGCGCATAGATTCTCGATGGTTCTGACGTCGCAAACATAAAATTTTGCAAGCGAAACTTTATTGTCAAATCCAATAATCAATCAATCTCTGAAGCTCTTAAACTTTCTGTGCGGATTCATTCCGTGCACTCGGTGATGCACCATCTCCTCGGGCTCCAGCTCGTCGTTGACCGTCTCAATCAGTCGATTCTGCTGGTTCGAGAAGATGAAATCGACGGCGTCCGCGTCGAAATACGACTTCTGACGGATCAGCGAGATGGTCGACTCCATCTTGGTCCGATGACGGAGCGACTCTAGAATTCGCACTTTCTCGTTGAGCGCCATGATCTTCATGATTTCACTGAAGAGCATGAAGAGCATTTGAAGAGAGAAACCGTGAGATTATGAGACCTCGTGAGGGTGTAAACTGCGAACGACCAGAGAATGAGGGTTAAGTTGGCCAAGTAGGCGTTCGCTTCCTCGTCTTCCACTTGTTTCAGCTCCTCCAAAGTGAATATTGCTGAAATTAAAAATAGAATTTGTGAGAGAGCCGAAAAAGTTTAACGAGTCGTTTTGGCGACCGTCGCCGCTTCCAGAACGAACAGAATGCAACAGCAGATGACACAAACCAGCAAGACGATCACTCTAATGGCAATCTAAAAAAACAATGATGGAAAATCTGGGAAGATCCACTTAGCTTGACCTTGAGGATTGATTGAATCCGCGAACGAACGAGCGTGCTTTTCAGTTTGAATCCCTCCCCCTCTTTCTGAAATTATAAAAGAGACATCATAAGCAGTTTCGTTTACTTACCAAGTCTACATTTTTTATGTTAATAGGTTTCGCTTCCATTTGTATTTTCCCCCGGAGATTTGAATTACGAACACGTCGAATCGGAAACCATTCGGTTGTGGAGGAGGTTATCACGTTGAGGTTATCACGTCTACTAGAAAGCGTATCTTTTGCGGTAGAGCGGACGCATCCGAATTAGCATTGAAGCGCATCTTTTTGACGAAGAACTTTCCATTCGAAAGACGTCTCACTTCGGCATGTTTGCCACGTTCTTCCGATGATTTTCCGGCTAATTAGTCTCTGCGATTTGTCCATTTCTGGCGCATATTCATCCGAATCGCGAACACTTTCGGGGGTGTGAATGGGCGGAAAGGGAACCAATTAAAAGAGGACGAAAGGGAACTACTGGAGGAGGAAAGCGACGGGACTAATTACGGCACAGTGTCACTGCCAAGGACAGTAGTCAGAAGACAGACTTCGGCCTGGGAAAACGGCCGTTTGTTTGCCCCCGAATGTCTCGTGGTTCTGCTCTGTAATTAGCTCCACTTGACGTTTCTCATTTCAGAATCGACGCCGAGCTGTTCGAGTTGTCACCAGACGGTCAGCAATGGGATAAGCTCGACGGCCGACTTGCCAAGGTTTGTGCTCTTCATATTTTACAAGTCTTCGAAATAAGAAACAAGTACATCTTCCTAGCCTACCTACAGATCGTTGTAGCTTTTGCGGATTCCTTGACGACGTCATCATCCATCTCATAACTCTCTTCCAGGTACGCGTGTTCAACGCCTTCGACGAGTCTCAGCCACGTCTTCTGGCCACCTCATCGTCCGGTCAGGTACTTCTGGACACTCTCATTCCAATGGGTACGTCTTCCTCTTCTTCTTCTTCTTTCTTTTCTTTCCGCCTTGTTCTGACCACACCCGGTTGTATCTGCAGCGGAAATCTTTCTGAAAAGAGAGAAAGAATGGGGAGTGACTGACTTCATCTTAAAAATGCATAGGTGTGGACTGCGAACGCGTTGAGAAGAGGTGTGACTGGCTGGCCACGAGAGAGAGAGAGAGTGAGAGAGAGAGAGAGTGGAAGAAAGATCTTTTTTGATTTTCCCGGATTCCTTCTCGGTCACTTTTACTCCTACAGTAATCCTCACTGATTTTGCTCTTTCCAACGCCCACCACCTGACTAGTTTTTCGCGCCACAAACCACATTCAATTACCACTCTTCCACCCCCGTCCGCGCGGTTATTAAAAGTGATAAAATATATCATCGCCGATCGGATTTCAAAGTGCTCATCAAACAAATAAGTCTTGTGCCCCCCACTCACTTCGCTCATAATAGTTGGTGGGCTCTGCGCGAGCCCAAGTAATTTCTCTCCCTTGCGCGTGTGCATTTATTTCCAGTCGCTTGGCGACATTCATCTCAGCACAAGAAACAACTTTTCCTCTTTTTAGTCTCTATATTTCGTACATTTCAGGCGAGAAGGTGCACAAAGTCAGCGACTTTTTTGTGTATTTGAAAGCGGACGGACGGACGATCGGATTCAACACTCTGAGCGCCAGGGACACGTCACTCCTCATCTCTCAGGTAGGCAAAACATGTCCGAACCACCCGACAGAAATTGCTGATAAGCTTTTCATTGATCGTAAAAAAGATGATTGGCGTATGCAAAAGAGACAAAAGAAAAGCGTTATCAGTGATTATCACTGATGGACGTCGATCGGACACTAATAACATTAGCAGAAAGAGTTTCCGATGAAAAATTGTACTAAAGTATTCATTGAGTTCTCGTAGTGAGTTTTTATGGACTTATTATGATGGAAACGCGGAAGAAGTCATGGAGGCCCTCGGGCCATTGATGTTGATAGCTCCGAAACATATTCTTTGTGTGGTTTCAGTCGTCGAACACTTCGGCATTCAACATGTTCCAACACTCATTTTCCGCCTCCGTCTCCCGCATTGCCACGTTCGAGGCAGATTCAATTCAACCGTGCGACGAGGAACCGGAGACTTCAAATGTGAGGTTTTCGTGTGATTTTGATTGTATAACTTCACAACTTCAGGTTTCCTTGAACCCACTCAGCATGGTTTTCAACTACAAAGGATCTCCGGTCACTATTGACTTGGTAAGCTCTCACTGACATTGTTTTTTTTTAACTTTTCTGTTTTCAGCTGGAATGTTTTGCGTGCTCCTCGGAAGCCGAGAACTGTGTGGACATCGCTCACGCAAATAACATCTTCCGGGTGATCGTGTCCGCCCACGCACACCTCTTCCTCATCCAGGCTCTCAATGTCTCATCTCTTCTTCTGGCCAGGACGACTTCTCAAGCTGTCGCCATCAATTATCTGGCTCGACAGAATGAGAAGATTCAGCAGAAACTGATTTCCCTTCTGGAGACGTCAGAATCCAGTGAAACAGCGTCAAAGGAAGACGTCAGACAGATGCTTCTCCTCAAAAATGTAGTCGTCACCCAGAGACTTAACTCTCTGCAACAGAGGCCGTTGCCGGGCGTCGAGGTATGTCATTGAAGCTCTTCGTTCTCTCGCTCACTTCCCTTTAATTATCCACTTTCCGAATACTGTAACATGAGCCTCTCCGTCGCTAAATTCGCCATCACCACTCGAATTTCCCCGTCCCGCGCGGCCCCCTCTTCTCAAAAACACCTTCTCTTGCTCCTCCTCTTGCTGCTCGCTTTTATTCGGTTATAGAAAGTGTTCATAATAAAATCGGACGGCTTTTTCTTCTTCTTCTTCTTCTTCTTCCCTCAGACACTACTACTACTACTACTTTTCTTTTTTTATCACTCTTTCTCCTCCTTTTCGTTCTCTTTCTTCCCACTTTCTCGAAACCAACTAAACTAAATAATTGGTTGTCGAGAGATGATTGATTGATGAGATTCCAATTCGGTCAAGTACTTCTTCAAAGCTTCTTCTTTTTCTTCTTCATCTTTTTCCTTCTTTTCTTCACTTTTTCGGTCACTTTTTCATTCCTTGTTTGTTGCAATATTCTCATCGTCAAGTACATGCTTCCGTCGAAAATTAGCCGGATTGGTTGACCACTTCTGTGAACTTTGTTTGCATTCATTTGAATTCGAATAAGAAACTCTCGTCTGGAGTGACCTTTCTTCTTGTTGCAAAAAGGGGGAATGGGTACAAGTTCAGCAAACAGTAGCATGGTTAAAAGAGGGTAGACCGGGCAAACACCGAGCAGTTTTTCTAGCTTCCGAGGTTTGTGTGAATAGGATTTAAATGATTTGAAATTTGAGATTCCATACTTTTTTACTGTTGCCGTTGAGATTTCTATCTATCGTGAATTCAGTCCCCCAGCATCTGTAACATGTACTTTCTTACTTTTCTCCTTTGCTTCTCCACCAACTTCTCATGATTCCTAGATTTCCCATCAAAACAATCGTACATCCTGCCGTTCTGCCCAGCCATTTTTCGTGATCAACATAACAGCAGCGGGCTCTTTGGAGGCTTCCCACTCATCATGGATCTCATCAGAACCAGCTCGTGTAATCCACGTGTGGTCAAGTACATCCTCCCGCCCGTGTACTCCCGCCCGTGTCGCAAAGTTGATCGCTTCTGCTGCTGACAAGATGTTTACTCAACACGTTCCATTTTACAAATGTTGTGTCCCCTCCCGCACCGCCTCACAGATATGTGTATGTGCGAATGTAAATTTGTATACTATAGGTGGGAGGAGGGAAAAGCATGGAAGAAGAAGAAGAAGAAGGAGAAGGGCGTCAAGTGCAAAATACGAGCGAACGAAATGATGATTGTTGACCGGATTTCTCGAGTACCGTCTCTCTCCTCTCGCCTCATCAATCAAGCTTCCACTCATTTCGCATTCATTCATTCGCGTTCTCATTCCGCACTTTTTATTACTGTCAACGAGACAAAATGACTGAATATAACGGTCTAGTGGCAAATAACTTTCGGAATCGTTCGTAGGAACACCAGCCTTGAACCCAAGTATCTTATTTGTATTATAAAAGATCTTAAAGTTTACACAAGTTCCGTACAACCTTTTCTGGCATGGTTCTTACTCCTTTCTCTCTTCCTCTCCCCCTAGCTTCTTCTCATTTCCTGCCGGATGCTCACTTCCTTCCCTTCCTTTTGTTTCTCCGCTTGTTCTTGTCGCGAAACAACAAGATTAGCACCTTCCGCTCCTTTCACAGAAACCGCACGAAAAGTACTTCTCTGCGCCACGTGGCAATCTTCTTCACTTTTCAGCTAATTCAAAACGACATTTCTCCGCAAATCGGACCTATATTACTGGAAAACTGTCGTCTCGCATCGCTATTCCTCTACCATTTCAACATGAATTCATTTCGAATGCAAGTTTCACCCTTTTTTGAATAAAACCAATTATGACGTACTGATTTCAGATGGCGGAAACCGATGGAAGTACGCGACATGAACACGATCAGCACGCTTCCGTCGACCAGCCAGCAATACCATCAGATTCCGATTCAAATCCAGAGCCAGAATCAGAATGCGCTCCCTCTTCCGCAGCAGCAGCAGCAGCCAACTCCCCAAGATCATGTCACTTCTCACAACGGTACAACCACATTCCATTCGACGGTTCGTGCTTTGGCTACTTGATTCTAGATGCTTCTGGCACTCGAACAGTCTAGTGCTTTGAAAGCATTGATTCGTTTTCCAGATTCCTCTGAAACCGAGACTGTGTGAGGGCTCCCTTGCTCCGGGATGCTCTTTGGCCGAGGCTTCCGAACAGCGAAGACGGGAGATGGCCGAGCAGAAGAGGGAATTGACGGGCTCGTCGGCAGAGGATTACTTTGTGAGAAAGACGAATGGCCGATTGGGACTCACCATCTACGCGCACAACGACGACGGAGTCATCCGGGCCGAGGTGCGTGGAGTCACTTCGTTCGCGCCCCGGTGTGCTCAAGTTGGCGACGCCGTCATCGCCGTCGACAGTGAGCTCATTTCCTCGGTCCGGTGCGCATCTGATGTCGAGAAGCTGCTGCGGGTCGGGAAAGTGATTCACCTACGGAGGAAGACGCCGTTACCTCCAAAAGTGAGTTATTGTTTCATCTTTGCAACTTTCTCTCTGTTCTTCTAATCCGCTCTTCCAATAAGTTCAACACTTTTCGGATTTGTTCAGGCGCCCGCTCCGCTAGATGCGACGAATGTCAACAAGAAAACGGGGTGCGCAAAGTTGGCGATGGCACTGCAAGAGCTGTTGGTCACCGAGCGCAAGTATGTCAGTGATCTGAGAGAGGTGAGGTACACGAAATGGATGCGTTTGCTAATAAGGAGAAGTTGCAGATGAATGAGGTGTTTCTGTGTATGAGGGCAGTCAGGGATATCATGCACGCGGCGATCCGGCTGTACAAAATGCAGACGTCGTTCGTGGATTCTCTGGAAGAAGCCATCGGAGACATGAGCAGGCAGGACATTTCTGTGGCTCAGATTAGAGTGAGTTGCAAAGGATTCCACTCCATTTACATACTTATTCTCAGGATTCGGTGATGCGCGTGTGTGCAGTGTTCATCAACAAATGTGCCGATTTCAAGATCTACGCAGAGTACGCAGCTGGCTATCATCTTCTGCAGCACGAAATCAAGAACAAAAAAGAATTGCTGTCGAAGTTGGAGGCAGTGAACAGCACTCGCGAGCAGCACTGTTCCTGGGAGTCGCGGATGATAAAGCCCGTGCAGAGGATAGTACAGTACCCGATGCTGCTCAAGAACATCGCAGACGCACTTCCGAAAGACGCACGGGAACGGATTCAGGTGGAATCCGCTCTTCAGAAGATGCAAACGTCGGCGGAGTACGTGAATGAGATGCAGAGGTTACACGAGGATTACGCGCAGTGTATGGAGACGGTCAGGAAGGCGAACGAGCCGATGTTGGCGGAGAAGGTTTGCAGATTCAGAAAAGGTGGAAAAAAGGGGATGAATGATTTCAGGGATTACGACTGGACACTAGGGAACTGCTCGTGTTCGCTCACATCAAATGGCGGGATGCTCCGGCCGAGCACTACGTCGTTTTCGTCTTCCACTCACTGATTCTTCTTCTTCCATCCTACGCCAGAAAAGAGATAAAAGTGAGTGTCCGAACGAGTGGGAACCGATGAGAAATGACCGGTTTTGCAGATGAAATGGACGAGAGTGCTTCCAATAAACGAAGTGGATATCAATGAAATGCCGAATGACCCACTCAATCTCAAACTGTATCACGCTGCTTTCGAGGGTGCCAACGGGCAATTGAGCCATTGTGAGTACACCGATTCGATCGTTTGCCAATCTCTTTACTGGAAATGCTCTAATATCGCCCATTCAAGACGGTGTATTTTAGCTGCCGGTAGAGATGTCAAGAAGTTGTCAACTGATAAAATGTACACGATATGTTCATGAGTATTTTATCAGTTTACAACTTTTTAATTTCTTTATCGGCGGCTGAGTTATGTTGTCCTGAATAAGTGATATTGAGGTCTCCTGGTGACGGTAATTATGAAATCCTCGTTTCACATAGAATTGCGTTAGAGCTTTAAGACTTTCAGCGAACCCGAACACCGTGTACAACATCGAATGCTGTCAATCCCAACTGAAACAACATCTCATCAAAAACATCAAAAAGGCGAGAACGCTATTCTCTCGCGAATCTCACCGTCCCTTGAGCGGATCGAGTCAATCGGACGGCGGATACGTATCGGAAGTTTCGAAAGAGCATCGAAGTTCCAAGTAGATCTTCTAGATCGTCATATGTGTATATTTCGCCCCCTTATATTTGTTGCCTAATTAACTAGTCCAAAGTGAAACGGGTTTCAGAAAAAAATCTAGCCAAATGATACTGTGAATGAAGAATAATCAAATGTTGAAAATTTTGTTCGATTTTCAATAATATTACATTGAATTATAGTTTTTAGAAAAAAATACCAAATACGAAATCACTAGCGTTGAAAAGAGGAAACAAAAGAGGGACAGAGAGAGAGAGAGAGAGAGAGAGAGAGAGAGCCGGAAAGAAAGATTAGGAAAACACCGAATATACACGGAAAAGTGGGTGGACAAGATGAGGGAACAACCATTGGAGAAGAGAATAAAAGGGGAAAGGAATCAAGATCGGATTCCATTCTTTTCGTAGTTGACGAGCTGCGTGCCCACCAGATACCGGTCATTTTTGATTTTCTCCGCCAGTTCGGCGAATTTGACGACTTGCCAGCGGACGAACACGACGACAGAGGTTATGAGAAGGAAAGCGGGATAGGAGAACCGGAGCAGCAGCATCGTCCATTCCGCGTCGGCTCCTGGAAATGTTCGTATTCGTCTGTTCAAAGAGTTTAACGCTTACCTGCGACGAAGGCGTATGTCTTGACGACGACCACCGGGAATGCAATGAACGAGGAAAGATAGAGAACGCACGGAACGACTATGCGAACGAGCACGTGAAGAGCCGCAAAGTTCTCGACGCCACGTTGAACGAGCAGATCGAGCTCCGACTTGAGCCACCAATCCGGTCCCATCATGGCCACGACTCCGAAGATCTTCATTTGAACCACTCCCATCGCCCAATCCTGGTAGGGGAACATCAACGCCGACTGGAAAAAGTTCGTTTGAATTGGGAGGGAACGGGAGCGGTACCTGTTGATATCCGAGTCGCAATGGAGTGAGGAAGACGAGCTGAAAGTACGTTCCCATCAGAAGAGGCACTACGATCACGACGGGCAGAGCGACGAAGAACAGACGCATTCCCTGCAAACAATTATTTTTGAAACTTTAGACGACATTCAAAATCTTACCAGATATGAATAGTGCATAACTGCCCGTTTGAAGAGATGTGGACCTCCTTGCACGAACTTGTACACCACTGCCACGCCTTTCCCGACCAGCCAGCACACGTACAGCCCCAGAGCCACAGTGTATATTTCGTGGACATTCGAATGATTGGACACTAGAAGTATGATGGTTCTGCCGATGGTCGCCGGAACAATGAACAGAATCACACTGCAGACTGTCGTTGTGGCGGACATCAGAACGAGAAGGACGGAGACGCGGATGGCGAACAAGGACGGGCGGCTGTATGGCTCATAGGCACGTGGCTCGCGGAGCAGAAGAAGAGCCTGATGCTCAGCTGCGAGACCTCCTCCGGCGGCGTTATTCCGGAGAGGATCGTTGTTGTTGTTCTGATTGTTGTTGTTGTTGCTATCCGAGAGAAGGTACTCATCCAGAGCCAGCACGTTTCCAATGACTTTGCACCACAATCGAACAACAACCTTTATGAAAGTTCGCCCGTTTGCGTGCTCCAGAATGGCCGGCATCACCACTTGCAATATGAGCAACTCGAGCGACAACTCCGAAAGCGGTGTCTCGGCGCTCATTGACACGTTGTACGGTAGAAGAGATGGGACAATAGCTGCGATGATGTTGAGTGGAATGTAGAAAATGAGCAGGATTGTGGAGAAGAATAGGGTTGTGGAGACGACAAGTCGACGGAAGTGTCGGGTGAACGGAAGGTCGATCATCTCTTGAATCGGATTGAAATCCGGATCGTTGAGATTCCGCATGAACCACAAGACACCAGGCCGCAGGATCTCGCGTAGCAGTATGACGAAAGAGGCCGAGTAGAAGACGTAGACCATTCCAACCATCCAATGAAGGAAGATCGACATGAACGGAGCACTAGCGAAAGTGGAGACTCTCTGAGAGAGGGTGACGTTGAAGAGCGGAAGTGTGCACACATCCATCCAGCATCCGCACATAACCGGGAAGAATCCTATCTCGAGGAAGACGAGAAGGAACACTTTGATGATGAGGAACATTACACCGAGGAAGCGGTACATCATCTTCATCTTGAAGTAGTGCATCGCCTGATGCACCATAAAAGTGATGCCGGCGATTTGAATATAACCGACGAGCATCGCAACGATCGACGGGAAGTAGGTTATTTTTCCGTGAAGACCCATGAATCCGAGCATCCAGTTTCCGAAGCGATACGGTGCATACGCTGAAAAATAAAAGAACTTGAAGTTGTTGGAATTTTACATACTTACCAAAGATCAGAGTGAACAGAGTGTTCAACGATATGACCCAGAAGACATGCTCCAGAAATATGAGAGAGCCATCGAGACCGAGCAATCTCTGCCATGTGAGCTCATCTCCGAACCTGTCCCATTCTCTCCAGTTGTCGTCCCCATCGGCTGCTTGTTCCATTGCTTCCGCATTCTGTCTTTGACGTCGGATTCGTCGGTTCGCACGGGCGGCCGCTCTTGGAACAATTGGCTCCGGTTCCATCGGAGGAGGCTCCTGGTCAAGAGCATTCGGACGGCGTGGACCACGCGGAGAAGGAGCACGTTCTCTGTCCTGGCGCTCGTATTGATTCTCCACGATTTCGTTCTCATCGTCTCGCATGTCATCATAAGGAGGCCCCACATCAGGCACCCTAGGCCGGAATCCATGCCTAGCTTCGTATTGGTCTCTTCGTCGTTCTTCATAGGCCAAAGCTCCGGGATGTCCTCTGGCAACGGCCTCCCGATGATTCAGAAACTCGTTATCGTCAATGTAAACGACTCGTTCAGGTGGTCCGTCGCTGACTTCCTCGAAGAACTCTTCCGTTCCGTCCGACTCTTCCTCTCCGTCCGATTCGCTCTCCTCGTCGTCCTCTTCGTCGTCATCGTCTTCTTCAGAATCCTCCGACGACTCATCGTCGTTATTCTCGCCATTCTCGCCTTCGTTGTCGGCTTCAATGTTCAAAAAGTGTTGCGGACCTCCGACAATAATTTGTTCGCGAAGCCAAACGAGCGATATGAATGTACAGACAAAGACAGTGAGAAGGAGAGAGCCCTTCAGAATGTCATTGAACACGTGGTCCACTTTGATCAACTGGATCGGCGCAGTGACGATGTCGTGGAACGACAGGTAGAATATGCAGTTATAAATACGGGCGGCCGCGAGGGGAACCAATCCGAGCCACGTGGCCATCACAAGCGTGTACACGATCCACGTTTTAAGCATCTGGAGGCCTGAAGTGATTACGCCTCGAAGTATTTCGACTATCGGAAGTGCTTTCGGCATATCTGGTCGATAAATTGGCTGGAACGAATACTTGTGATTGCAAAGCTCGCACACTTCTTTTTTGCTGAAAAAGTTTCAGATTGAAGAAAGAAGATGAAAGTACGATTTACCTGTATTTTAACCATTCGATGAGACATTCCTGATGCACATATTTGATACTTCCGGTACAAAGACACGGATAATAAAGATTACCGTCGTTGCCGCGACATACTCGACACATTACTGAAAAGGTTTATAATAAGTCCTTGAAAAATTCGAGGAAAAACTCACAGTGATCATCCGGATCGTTGTCGTCTGGTGGTTCTAGAGGCGCGTTCTCTGCCGGCTCATTATGCTGCTCTGCTGACGTCGACGGCTGCTCGTCGCCGCGAGCTTCAGCCGATTCTCCGGCTCCGTCGTCGTCCGGCGGCCGCTGGTGCTCCACTTCCATTCCGTTTGTTAGAGAACTGAAAAGAAAACGCGAATATTATAACTTGCACGCAGTGTACGACTCCTAAAGAGAAAGGAGGAAGAGGCGAGGGGGACCGATAATTACTTTTCAGAGTAAGAAAATTCAACGAGCTTCTTTGGCTCTTTATGAAGATAGGTTCGAGCTCGCAAAGCTTCCGTTTTGCAATTTACTTTTTAGTCAATGCGCCCGGTCTTGGCTGGAAAGAATGCAGAAACGAGCGGAAGCGGGTACGAAAAGGCTTGAACTTTTAAAAGTCGATACTGAAGAGACAATAAAAAAAAGTCCCAATTTCAGTGAATAAAAAGCGCGAAAAATTAGGAATTCGATGCGAGAAACGAGCGCGAAGCCGAGGGTCTGCCAGTCAGCCGCGGCGAGAGAGCGTTCAGAACCAAGAGGCGCAGAGAACGGAAGAGAAATCGGCGAGCGAGCGTGCGGAATGAGGAGGGAGCAGAAAGAGCGACGAAAGTGCATGAGGTGATTATATGGTCGTTTTGTGTGTGATGAAGAATCGGAGGAGGATGGGTTTGGTATGAAGCATTGATGGAAAACAGGAATAAAGCTTTTCAAAGGAGAGTTAAGACTTGTCCAAATTGAAGACTCAGAATGAAACATAGGTGTTTTGAGTTGAGCGCCGTCAGTTCGGGACAGGCGAGTGGGAGGGGCCTGGTTCGGAAAAAAAATTTAGCAGCCAAAATTTTTTTTAAACACAAAAAATAAGGTTTGTTTGTTGGATCACCTCCTCGTGGTGCAAACTGGAAATGCGGTGCTGCCCCGGAACTTCCCGAATCAGAATCGTACATGCAGCTAAGAATCCACCCTATCTTCATATACTTTAAGTTGTGTTTTTTAACCTTATTTGGCACGGAGCCCCAGCCTTCCAATTTGCGGAAAAATTGATGTTTCTGTGCTGCGTATTTTGGTTGCCGCTGGTTCGGAAATTTCAATCCGACCGCCAGGTGGGGAAAATGTTTTGGCGTTTCTTGGACCGAATGATTGGAGCGAGCATGGTCAGAAGTCAGAAACGATCTGATCTTCTAGAAGACTCCGAGCAGAAGAAGTCACGTAGACTCAGATGACTAATATCGATAACGGGTTACTCGTTTCTTTTAACTTTTTTAAATGCTCTCCAGATGATTATGAAAAACAGGGAATGAAAAGCACACGAATCCGGACTATCAACCGGTCAGTCAACAAGAGATAACTTTGAGCAGATCATTTATTTGAGAAACACACGTATATTGTTATCGGTAAAATGATTAATGTATTTTACTCAATTTACCGCTATTGCCCCTCGGTATTTGAATACTCAAGCCTAATGTCAGGAAATTTTGTCTTGAGTCTGCAAACACCGAGGGACAATAACGGTGAATTGAGTTTATAACCTGGAATTTGTTTACATGTTTTTAGGCAAGAAATTCTTCGGGGTATCCCGTGGCAACCGGCAGCCAGATCAGAAGGTGTACAAAACACGGAGAGGAAGAAGACGTCCCTGCTAGAGGCACGTCATTGTTTTGTCGCCGAACATTTCAATGCGATAATGAGGGACTCTGAAGGGACTGAAAAACAAGAAATTTAATTTATTAGAGAGTGCGTACCTAGAATCCGGTGAGGACCTTTCTGACTGTATTTCTGGCACCAATTCCGGGTCTGTTACTGGACGATTTTCTGCCACGTCCTCTTCCTTTTCCCTCGGCTTCTTTTTCGGAGACTTCTCGGGAACTTCCCTCCCCACACTTCTCAAATACTTTTCCGATTTGTGATCTCCTCCTCTTCTTCTGCTCGGAATTCCTCCCCGTTCTGGCGTCGTGTACCTTTTCTGTTTCTTTCGAACCTTTTCGTGTAGTTCAATGCGGTCCTTTCTGACCGCTTTTGAAACTACAACAGACGTGATCTTCTGATAAGTCGGATGATCGCAAAGCCGTCCGTCTAGCAGTTGCACCTGACTCCGTTCCTTTTCTCTCAACAGTGTGAAGTAGGTGATTGCGTACTGCTGATGGCTCGTTTTGGCCGAGTCTTTGGGCACTAGAGACCATGCAGCCGAGCATAGCGTACTGCTTCTGCACAGAAAATCAATTCCACACATTCGGAGAAACTGGCTCATCGGGTAGTTGGCGTCCTTCACAATCGAAGCAGGCGACACGTACGAGCAGAAGAAAGGGGCGGAGTCGTCGGCCATGTGCGTCCAGTTCATCTCCCTCGCTCTCCGCTCTCTCGCCACCTCGAAGATCTCCATGGCTCTCCATATGCGTTCATCGGCACACAAATATTCGACGACTTTCCTCTGAGAGCTTGTCAAAAGAGAGGAGAACGAGAAACAGTGGAGCCCAGAAGCCTCGTCTCTCTTTCCCTTCCGATAGTCTCCCATTGTCATCCGCGAGATCACATTCTGTTTGCTGCCGTTGGCCACTACGAGACAGTACGTAGTGTATCCGAGAAGAAATCCGAATTGTGCCTGATTCAGAACGCATTCCGAATCCCCCGTCATCGCGTCCAGGATACTGTAGAGAGCGTGCTCGACTTCAGTGTGATCCGGAATCGCATTGAGCACACAATACGGAAACGTTTCGTCGGACGGAGTGCTGCATGGGCGTAGTTTGATTCTGGAGGAAGAAGCCGAGACGGAAGAAGACGCCGCACTTGAGTCGCTCTGAATTCACAAACAAATGAGAAAACTAGTGAAATTATTTTGGGAGAAGCTCACCATAATACTGCCCGAACGACTTCTCAAATCACTCGATTCCAAAGAAGAAAACACAGAATGAATTTCATCTTCTATGTTGCCAATCGGATAATCTTCCAAAGGCCCTGGTTTGTCGAGAGAAGGCATCTCTTCAGTCCCTGGATCTAGTGCGACAATCTTCATAGTCTTCCGTTCTTTTCTTCTCATTCCATCACTTTCCCTACCTTCTTCGGAGTCGATCACAAATCCGGCATCCAATAGAAACCCAACAAGTTTCGCCGTCATTTCCGAATTATTACCGCAGACTTCTAATAGTTTTCTGTGTTTCACCGGTTGTGCAGTATAGTAGAGAGCCGTCCGGACAGCCCCAACTCTTTTGAGCACTTCAGTCAAATCGTCCAATGAACAGCCGTTGTTTTCTTCTTTATTCCATTCTTCACGATGTATTTTCATGTGCCTGGCGAAATTGCGGACGGTGTGAATCGTGTCGCAAAGGTAGCAGCACAGCGTCGTCTGCACGGAGGGATCCATCATTCTGGCGCAGCTGACGATGTCGGCGGAGAAGTGCAATTCCTCACGGAAGTTGGCGCTGGGTTTCCGGAGCAAAGGGATCAGTTCGTCAGCCGTCCGTTTCGGAATGCCACGCACTTCCGATTCTTCGTAAATCTTAGAAAAATCAATTATTTTTTTGGGGTGTTTCAAATTCCTCAGATAGATGAACCCGCAATTGGTGAGAAAATTGATCAGGTCAACGCGTGGCACCGAAGAGAACTTCTCGTTGATCGTCCGGTCCGAGAAGTGACTTTTCACGCAGAATCTCGAATATCTGACATCGGAAAGTCTCCGCATTACTTTTGCCATTTCTGACGGCGTCTCCGGATGACAATCGCGAACGTGTGTGGGCAGGAAATCAACAGGTTGCATGCAAATCAAGCACAACTTTTGTTGGGTGACGACCACGTCATTCTCAGCCGACTCCGGAAGACGAAGATCTGAAAACATAGCGTTTTTCTGGATTTGTAAGGTTCTCCATACCGATACTGTGATAACCGGTAACTTTCTCGGCAATTCGGTTGGCCGTTTCAACAGATAAACATCCAATTTTCACGTTGTTCCTCCCCTTGCGCGCGTAGCTTTTCGCCCCTTCCTCAGATGATTCAGATGCGGACCCATCCCTCAATTTCAACCGTTTCGTAGCCGGAGCCATTTCGGTCTCGTCTAAAAGCAATGAAAAGTTTAGAAGATCACTAGATGACGTGGAACTCAAACCGCTGCCTGGAGATCTTCTGGTCGCTTCCGGAGAGATAAGTGCAAGACACGGCGATGTGTCGGAAGCATTCCGATGCTCCACCCTCCGTCACGTCCCAAATAGGAAGCAGACATTGGTGATTCTATTGGGAAGGCAGAAACAGTCAAAAAACTAGATAATAGATAGGAAGAATATGAGTCGGCAACGGAAACCATTGGTGAAATGGCAAAACAGAAAAATTGGGTTTATGTGAACTTCATTTGACAAAATGCTAGAAACGTTTTCAATGAGTTCAATTATGGTTGCGATCGAATATAATCAGGGGGAAGGGGGGGACAGATTAGTGTTAAAATGTAAAATGAGGAACGAATCCATGCACAAATTCAACTTTTTTGGGGTTTTCCATAGGAAGACGGGAGGAATAGATGTGGGAGTCCATATGGGAATTGGGAATTTCTGTGGGTTTCGGGATCAAAGGAGATACTGCTGAATGAGACGGGTAAAAATTAATAAACGAAAAAGTTCGGATGATAATCGAGCATTGAATCAAGCATGGGGATCGATTTCAATCCAAACGACAAATAGGATGGGAAAAAGTGAAATCATCGGTAGAATCAGAAGGCTTCCGTCTACTTTCTGCGCTTGTGGGACGGTCCGCCTCTTCCTCCGTGATGTCTCTTGCGATCACGCTCACGATCACGTCCTCCGTCACGGTCTTCGACTTCGCGTCTGTTGTCAGCGCGCGCAGCCTCCTCCTCAAGATCCGACCAGTCTTTTCCTTCCGACTCATCCGAATCGAGAGATCCTTCCTCGTCATCGTCGTCGGACTCCTCCTCCTCTCCTTCACTCTCATCTTCGTCACTTTCACTTTCCGATCCGGCAGACGCCTCCTCTGGCGAATAGGCATCCGACTCGTCAGAATCGTCTTCAGCCACTTCGTTATCAGACTCCAATTCGAGGAAGTTCCATCCTCCAGTCTCGAAGAAGTTATCCAGGTCGTCAGTGATCGTCTTCATGACCTTGGCCCAATTTAGAGACTGAATTCCTTCGCTGTATTTGATATCGCACGAGTGAAGCCATTCCTTGATCATGTCGATGCTGCTCATCGGAATCTGCGAAACCATCTGCGGCTTTCTTTTGTAGTCTTTGAAAATGAAGACCATATCGAAGTTCTTGAGTTGAAGGGAAACACGTTCGAAGTGAACAAGCTCGACTTCCGAGAGAGTGACAATGAAGACGGGCTGGAAAAGAACAGCGGTCATGTGAAATAGAAGTTACCGCGTGCTTACCCATTCGGTGAGATTGACGACGCACGACGAGGTCGGCTTGAGCATAGTGGAAGAACGGTTCGGAACTCCGTAGAAGCCAAGATCCGAGAACGGCGTGTCAAAGTCGAATTGGTCGTTTGTGAGACGAGAGACTTTCTCGCAGAATCCATTGAAGGCAGCATTCAGACGACGTCGCATTTCACGCTCCTGCTGCTCACTTTGCATGTCATCACGATCTTGCATGTGATGATACTTTCCAAGGTCAGTCGTGATTTCTCCGACTTCGGTGTAGAACTGCACGTCCTGGTACTTCTTCTTGCCCCACATGACAGGATTCTTGAGATGGAAATGGAGCAGAATGATCATTTCGTTATCGCACGGCTGGAAGAAGGCGTGCTTAATATTGTTGTACAGCACATCAATACGATCTCCACGGAGAGAGTTATATCTGAAAAGAAAGGTTGTGGATGACGTTCGAGGAATTGGAAAAATTACCTGAATCCATTAGTGTGTGCCTCGAGCGATCCAGTTATGCGTTTTTGAATAATGTTCGGACGGATCAGAAGATCCTTGAGCTTCGGGTTCAGCTTGTTCTGGCTGAGGATGAGTTTATCCTGCTTGACAGCGCCCTCTTTCTCGCGCTCTTCGGCCTCCTCAGTTCTGAACCGTTTCTGCATCTCCTTGATCAGACGGAACGCAGTGCTCAAATTGGCACTGGGTGGAGCGCTGTCCCGCTCTTTTTGGTTGCTGGCACGGAAGGTGAGCTCCTTCATGTAATCAGCCAACGCATGTGGGAACATGGTGTTGTCCTTTCCAATCTGCGAGCCGGGCGTGTTGAAGTTGATGCGGAGGTAGGTGAACTCGCCTTCGACCGATTGAGAGCAGTTCTTGATCATGGAGATGTGGAATGGAACGGGAACTCCGAAGATCGGGAAAAGGACCGAATCGTACTTGCGATCCACGTATATAAGCATGCTGCTGATGTCACTGTCTTGCGGGAATCTTTCTGCTGTCTTGTACGAGACGTTAGACTTCTTCACTTTCTTCTCATCACTTCCACCGTCCTGCTTCGAAAGACGTGCCTGGGCGGCCTCGTTGACCAACCTTCCAAGCTCCTTCTGTCTCTCTTTTCTCTTCTCCTCGTTCGTCGTTTTGTTTCTAGTTTGATCATTCAAAACCACACTGCGCTGTCCTCTTCCGAGCATTCGGTTCTTCTCATTCTCCTTCTCGGCATCCCGCCCTTGTGCCTCATCTTTGAATCGAATCACATTCGACTTCAGACGCGACTTTGCCTTCTCGGTGAGCAGCTCATTCTCGCCGTCCTCCTTCACAAGCACAGTGTCCGAAATGGCGATCGCTGCCGGCTTGCCCTTTTCTCCCTTGCTATTCTTGTTAGTGATGTTGTCGCATCCAATATAAACGATGAAGACCATTCCCGCTTTGACCTCCTCTTCGCACTTCGCACTGATTGCCAGTCGGCTCTCGCGGAACTCAATTCCAGTAGCGAATCCTAGCTCTTTCTTGTTTAGCGTGTCCAACAACTTTGGATTCTTTTTGGTCAAAGTGTCAATTCCAGTTTTGTAGACTTCGCTGAGTTTGACTCCTGGCTTCAGAGCGGCCATAACAGCCTGCTCAGTGGCCAGAATAGCTTCATAGGCGTTCTCCAAATCGCTAGACGGGAAAATTAGCATAGTCCGCGTGAGATTGGTGCAATAGTCGGCGAATCGTGCCCCAAACGAAGTGACGATAGTTCCAAACTGAGTGTGAAGGTGCGTCTCGGAACTGTCATGGTTCCATTTGAATGAGTAGTTTCCACCGGACATTACGATCGGGTCGTAGCACGAATCAGTGGTGTCTCTGGCCAAATTTCCCTGAACTTTTGGGTCTTTCATGTACCCGTTGAAGTCGCTGGAGAGTTGGGAATGACGGACACGCTGAAAATTAGAATTATTCACTTGTTAAGCTTATACAATTTCTCACTCTTTCTTGATCGATGATTTCGACGTATTTGGTTCTGGCGGCAGTCCACGTGTTTGATGTGACTTGAGCTGATTTGCGAACCAACTCCAGCTCCTTCTCATCTTTGACGGCAAACAAATGAGTGAACGCAAGAGTGACGTCGGTTTTCTTGACGTCCTGCTCCTCGAGGGCCTTATTCCACGAGTCGACGAACACGGCCTCCGAACTGAACTTATCCTTGATAAATGCACCAACTTCGCCACCTGCGTTTTTAATGTGCTCAATGAGTTTTTCGAAATTTGCTGCGTCTTTGTCGGTCTTGTCACGAAGCAGCGTGCTCACTGGAGGCACTTTTCCGTGGAATTGATCGCCAGTGACCGGTCCGAAGTACTCGGCTTTCCGGTTGCTTCCGAGCACATAAATGTGGTCTTTCAGGAAAACTATGACAGTGTCCATGATTTCATGACCAAGAAGCCACGACTGAAACACATTTGAATGAGATACTAATAGTTGTGCCACTCACTTACATGGAAAGCACTGGACTTCGTGTACGGATTGTCGCTGCTTCCAAAAACAACAGCAATGGAATTAACTGCATCGAGGCCATCCTCTCCTTTTTCCTAAAAACAATATATTGGATACTTTGGAACTTGAAATTTCCAGTTACCCAAAGTTGATAAAATCGTTCAGCTCTTTGGTAGAAGAGGTCCTTTTTGAGAACGAGACGTTTGTCGCTCATTGTGATACCTACAAGTAGACACTTTAAGATATTGGTGAAAAGGAGCCGAGAAAAATCAAATGAGAATCGATCAAGTACGTCAATCGATACTGACAGACAGTTATAGGGTCAGGATAAATGAGATTTTAAGAGCAATTTTTCGAAAAAGTTAAAATTTTTGATGGAAAAAATTTAAATTTGGAAAAAATGATTTTGACAAAAAATAACATTTTTCTGAAAAAATGACACAGAGGACGGAAACAGTCTGGAAACCGTTTCGCGCACAAAAAAAATTCAAGATGAAAAGTGGGCGGAGTTGGCGGTCGCAGTTGCCGCACGCGTTTTCGCAAGACCGCCGCACGCAGGTGTGATCTATTTCTCTGGGCTCTCTCCGTCGACATCGAGGAAAATGCTATCTCTCGGAATTTCGGCTAAAACTAAAATTTATCTGGATCCGATAGAGGTGAGCAGACATAATCACAACGTTTGTGCAAAAACCAATTCCTCGAAAAATAATCAAAAAAATTTCAATAACATTCGAGCAGAAATACCATAAAAACCACTGAAAAAAAAGTTTATTGACCGAAGTTTATTGACCGAATTTGGACAGTTTGTTGGAGACATTGTTCAGTTCCAATAAGCTCTTGATGATCTCCTGCTGCTTTTTGACCATCTTCTCCATGAGTCGATGTCTCTTCTCGTAGAAAGATACGCACTCCGAGCTGTTGGTTCTGTGGGACACTCCGGAGCTGCTGGAGCTGCTCGAGCTGGACGAAGTGGACGGGCGACGGCTGATGGTTACTGGCGACGGAATCAGAGTCAACTCTGAAGGGCAAAATTATGTTTTCTTCCAGAATCTCGAAATGTTACCATCATCCGCCATCTCATCAGTGTTCTGGAAGCACTTTCTGTCCTGGTACAGTCGGAGAGAGTCGATCGGAGATCTGACGAACACCGGCAATTGCGGAATCGCCGGGTTCTCCATCGACTTCCACATCTCGCACAACGAGCAGACCGTCAGTTCCGAGCTCATATCCGAAAAGGGAATCGTCGATCCGGATGTGGTGTCCTTTTCGGATTCCTCCTCGAACAATCCTTCGATCTTTCCGAAAATTGTCGGAATGTCAGTCCTCGTGGCTTCGGAAGTCGACGGCGAACTGAAGATGCCCTCGAGCTTCTCGAACAACGACGGCAGCTGCTCCGGCTTCTTCTTGCGCATCGTGACGTGCACCTTCCAGAAGGACATCATCAGCGCGGTGGCGTCGTTCAGCTTCCGCGACTCGACGCTCGTCGGAACCGGCGACTGGATCGGATCGACAATGGCAAAAGCAGGGGCGGTCGTCGAAAGAGCGGAAGCGAGCAGAGCATGCGGGCAACTGACAGTCTTGCGGACACAGACCGGGCCAGCGGGAACCGAGAGATCCGCAGGGCACGACTGCACTTGGATGTCCTGAAATAGCAATGTTTTCGTTTCTGCAGAACATGCAGAAGTTCGTACCGAGATGAGAGCATCCTGATAGTCACTGAGCGGATGGTCAATCGGGTAGCGGTCCGTGTCCTCCTGCTTGCTCAGCTCGAGCTCCTGCTCCGCCTGACGCTCGACCATCTCGAGGAACTGTCCGTAGGCGGTGTAGAAACTGATCTTCTTGACCATGGTGTTAGTAGTGGGGGTGGTTAGTAGGGACGAGTAGAGTTAGTTGTGCGATTATGCGCAATGAAGCCCAACTCCGCCGATTTCGCCCTTTTATGCACTTTCTTATCTTGATGGACTAGTTCGATTAGAATGAAAAACAGAGCACGTCTATGACCACTTCTGGAAAGGACACGTGTACAAATCAGAGTATTGTAGAACTTTATCATTATTTATCAGTCATCAACACGAAATCATAAGTTGGAACCGGCTGGGAATCTGTTCAAATCGATGGGAACACCCGTCATTCTTTGTGCTTTTGTTTGTTGCTAACTAGATGAAATCTGGAAGAATCATGAGATTTAGATTTAGTGCCTCCTCTTCAAATTTACCTTGAGTAGACGTGGATCGGTGCCCGAAGTCTGGCACAGTTTTGAGACAATAACACTCCAAGAGGCGCATCGCCGTCGGCTTCAATTGCTTTTTCATTTGAGGACTGAAATTGCTTTCTTATGTATGCTTCTAGACTTCTTCTAGTTAGAAGAAGTGAGAACTGACCTCCAGAAGATGTACATGTAGAACAAAACGGCGTGATGAAGGTAGTAGATGAGGTAAGTGAGGAAGTGAATGAAATGGAAGAGATGGGAGCTCGGAGCCGTGAGCGCCTGCATGATTCGCATTATGTAACTCGGCACATTCAGCAGGACGAATGTACTGAAACAGAGCTTCAGTTGGGTCTCGAGGTAATCTCGAGGCTTACCTGGTCACAATGATCAGAGTGCGGCTGAGCTGAAGGTCGGAGCTCCGGAGTTTGCCGCAATTCCGAGACTGTGTCGAACTCGTTGGCAAGTTCGAATTGGTATTGTCCGTGCTCAGAAGATACTTCTTCACCGTCGTCTCTTCCTGAAAAAAAAACAGCCAAAGTCACTTTTTCTGCACATACTTTTCTGTATTTGCTCTATGACCATCTACGAAAACGGCACAAAAACAGACATAAATCAAAGCAGAGTGCCTGCCCCTCGTGTTGTGTATTTTCAAAGTCGCGTTTCTGAAAACTTACAAATTGAATCGTATCACTATTCAGTTGCTGCTGCTGTTGTTGAGTGGTGGGCGCGCGCACGAAACGGACGCGGAGCACTCCGGATGAGTAAATCTTCATGCATTGGCGATAGCGATACGTGGAGAACGAGTTGACGATGATGATGAGGACGGCGGGTAGCAGGGTGCAGAGCGCCGTGTCCATGAGAGTGAACATGAAGTAGTGCTGGTTCACTTGGTACCTACAAAACAGGTTGTACACTTTGCAACCTATTCTCATTTGTCTGGTGCTCGCGCAAACTCAGTGCCACCTCGATAGAACGCGGTTGTCAGAATTCTAACTGAAACTAAAGAGCATCATCATGAAATAATTACAATGCTATAACTACTGAAAAAAGGTGTCTAGACAAACTCACCCGAAAAGGTTCACATCCTGATTGAGTCCACAATAGTGCATTTCCATATTATTGGCCATTTTATGCACCTCGAGTCCGGCGAACAGGAACACCCAACTGTACAAAACCATGGAAGTGAGCACGGTTCCGATGGTCATGTTCCGTGCGAATCTCTTTGTACAAACCCACTTCCTGACCCCTAAATCTTTTCGATGTTTTCGTGTGGAGACCCAATCACTCACGCGGTCGGAACAGCACAATCATGCGGTCGCAGGAGATGAGAGAAATCATCCAAACACAGATGAAATCACTGAAATGCGCAAGGAACGTGAAGAATTTGCAGCCGAGATCGGAGACTCCGTAGAGCGGCAGTTTCAGGTAGGTATCCGCCCAGGAAATAATCACTGTGAGCAGGAAGACGCACGAGGAGACCGACAGCGTGCACAGGTAGATGTTCGAAGTGAGTCGCTTCAGCCAGAAGTTTGTTCTGGAACGGATCTCCGTCTTAGTTTCCGGTTCGCTTGACCCCGCTCACGCGTTCAAACAACAGACAACAAAAGACACAGGTGAGGAGTATAAAGTTACCCTGCGGACCTACCTGATCAGGATCAACGCCATCGAGTTGCCGAGGATGCCAACCAGACAGAATATGGGCAGGAGATGTCGCGAGTTCTGACGGAGCCATCTCAGAGAGCTCGAGTACTCGATAGCTTCGAGCACCGAGGTGATCGACATAAACGTCGGCTCTTCTTCCTCTCCTGTCGTCGTGTTCATCTGTCAACGCGAGATCTTTGAGTTCTTATGGGACCGTCAAGAGGTCAAACAATAACAACGGTGGCCCAGAAAAAGCGGAAAAGGGCGAGTCAGGGGCCACTTGGATTGAAAAATGTAGTGGAGTGGAAAAAATTGAAAGGCGTGTAAACACGGAAAGTGGGACGAGTTCTCCAGGGGAAAGCCGGCGAGTGGCTTCTGTCGAGGGCATTGGTGCCACGTCAAAAGTGATGGGCGGTGCCACGTCATGCGGCTGGGTGAGCAATGAGCAATAAATGAGCGTGAAGAACACGAGAAAGCAGTTGAGATGGATGAGGCCAATTTATAGGCTCGGGCTCTTCGAGTGCAGACGAAGCGTCATTGAGTCACTACAGTAGCCCGTCTAGAAAAGGAAGACTACAGTAATCCCCTGGGGTACAAAACGAATCCACCGACCAAAGTACCTAGGCTCTCAATTCTTTGCGTCTTTGTCAACTCATCCCCAGGGAGCCGGGGCGCACACACACACACACAAAAAAGAGATGAAAGAGAAAGTATGCGGGGCGAAAAAAGAAGGATAAGGGGACCGAAATAAACGGGGGACCCAAAGACACGGTGGAGACGCAGAGACAGATGGACGGATTGATGGAAAGTGAGGACAACTGGCCCCCGAGAAGAAGAAGAAGAAGAAGAAGAAGAAGTGGGAATGGGAGGAGAGAAAGAGAATGGGAACTTTTGGGAGAAAAATAAAGAAAGAGGAATGATGTTGCAAAATGGATGGGTCAAGAAGGGATCAGAGAAGAGATTGGGGAATTGAGTGAGAATTGGCGGCTCTAAGGGGGTGGCGGAACTTTTGGCCCGGCGCTTGGCACGATCATCCATCTCTTTCCTGTTTTGTTACAAGTCAATCGGATGGAACTTTCACTGAAGAGAAGTTAGGGCTCAAATGGATAGCTTATACTGTACATAGATACTGTAAGCACACATATCTCAGATTGCAGCTGAATTTCTGTTCCAGGCAAACTGCATCAAAAGAGCGATCTAGACGGGGTGCAAAAGGAAACTACGGGTGGGAAACTTGACACCTAGGAAAGAAAGAGAGAAGTCTAAAAGTCCCATTGATGTTCTGTGTTTCGTTGATCACCTCAACGGCTCATTTCAGGAAGAACCGATTATGGAACGCCAAGTTGGGCCACTTTAAATCCATACTGAGAATCGGTGCTAACAAGTTTTCGAGAAAGCTCCCCGAAGGTCATATCAATCGGTCGTGTGCCTTCCCTCCTCTCGTCATTCATTTCCAGTTCATAACAAACAACACAGAAAGTGGCAGACTCTCGCTCTTTCTCGCCCGTTTCCGAACCTCATAATTACAGCGATGACGGACGAATCACGTTTAAATCTGCGAGGAAAACGAAACGAGCAAAGACAGATGGAGACGGACGAGACGAGCGAGAGATTTTCGCATAATTGGCACATGAATTGACACTCTTTAGCGACGAAAAAGGATCAGAGAGCAGAGAGGTCTGAATTTCGTCTTGCTGGAAAACCAGACTTGCCAGATTTCGGGCCGGCCATGCGGGCCGACCCGGGTCGGCCCGGGCCGGGCCGGGTCGGTGAAGTGCCGGCCCGGTCGGCCCGGTTCAAAAAGGCGGGAATTCAAATTTTTCGCGGAAATTTTTTCGTTATTACAAAAAAATTTTTCGAACTAAAGTTTCAGTGTTTCTTCTTTGTTTTTTTGCTATTATGAATTTTTTTATGAGAAATAAATTTGTTTTTTTCAATGTTCGATGCTTGCAAAAACACCCCTAATTCTACAAAAAATGGCTTCATGCGATCAATAATTCAAATTTTGAATTCCCGCTTTTTGAACCGGGCCGACCGGGCCGGGCCGGAGTTTTGGAAATTTCGGCCCGGCCCGGCCCGTGGCAACTATGTGGAAAACCATTCAAAATACTTCAATTCATGAGATTCGGGTTCTTTTGTTGAGAATTCGGGGAACTGACTCTTTCAAATTGTCGGTCTGGACGTCAGCAATCAATTTTGCCTGAGAATGCATTTTATGAGTTCGGAAAGTAAAATCTTGCGTAGGGAATTCGACCCCTGTTCTCCAATCTAACCGAATTGACCATCTTCCATTACTGTGGTTTGTTAGCCCGCAAATAACCGCCTTTTTGCATTGTTTTCACAATCAAATCTCCGATTTCCAACGAGAGAAAAGACCGAAAAACATTTGGAACGAAATGGCGTACTAATGATGACTAACGAGAGCGAAGAGTTCTTGCTGCGGCCGGCTAAACCTCTCAATTTAATGAGAAAGTATCGGGAGGAACGAAAGAAATAAAATTAGAAAAAAAGGGAAATAAGAAATGGGGGGAGAGAAGAAGGAAGTGAGGAGGGTGTTTTTCGCACGGGGATCGGCCAGAAGGGCAAGAACTTCGGGGCAATCTGGAAATCTCGATCTGAAAATTGGGGAAGAAGAAGAAGAGGAGAAAATGGAGAGATAGTAAACAAATGTGGATTGAGGCGAATAGGGGCGGGTGGGTAGGGGAATATGACGAGCACAAAGCCATAAATCTAATTGTAAAATATATGTGAGTGGGTGAGGCGAAAGCGAATGAGAAAATGGAAAAGATAGGAGCGGTAGCATATCATTAAAGGGGCAAAAACATTAGACGAAGGCCTCTGGGCAGCACGTGATTGGTCGGCGCGTTGGTTTGGGAATGCAGTTTAGTGACTGGGCTGGGTACTCTGAGCGTATGCTCGTTTTTCAACTCTTAAAGGTGAATTCACGTTGAAAAATAAATCTTTGACAAAGAAGCAAGTTGTTGAACAGCAAAAACAGAATTTTGAAATGTATTCATCTACCTCCAAAAGTCAAGGGATTTCCATCTGACGGCCGCAGTTCCACCCCACCCGAAACCAAGCACAGTACTCCGATGACCTTTGACCAAATGCACGGAACGTCATTTCCCTTCCGCCCGAGGCATTTTCGACGTTAATGAGATTCGGAGGAACTTCCCCGATGGACGCAATGACGAAAAAAACGTGTGCGGTAATTAGTTTAGTTGGCACGCGGCACTGCTTTTCCGTGCACATCTCTCTCGGACCTTTTTGTGCATTTCTTTGCGTCTCTTTCGGTGCAAAAAAACGTGTGCCGATTCTCAGAACAAAGGGATACTGTTGGGATCCAGAGAAACTATTTAAGTTGGGTAAATTCGATAAGTATAGGGCGTGAGGTCAAAAAATAAAAAACGCTGAATGAGAGCTCGCCCGCGGGCAATCCAAAATTCGTCGAAAACAAGCACAAAAACAGATTTTGTGGAGCTGCAAACTCGTGTGAAATTCTGAGAGGGAGAAAGAAGGGCGGGAAGAACTCTGGGAAAACGTGTTACTCTTCTGCTTTTGGACGACGAAAGGAAGAGGATGGACGATTCGATTCGAGAAGAGTGCGAAAGGGAAAGAGTTGATTGAATCATCGGACGGAGGAGAAGAAAATGTGGGGACGAAGGCAAAAAATGGGGAACGCTTGACCCGCAGAAGGCCGGCCCAGACTTTTCGAAGGCTTTTTGACACCTGTACATTTGATTCCGATCGGGCCGAAACTTTTCTGGCTTCTTAGAATTGGATTACAGTATATTGGGTCCGAGTTTGGTCAAAGTCTCAAATCTCGAAAAGTCATCGAAAAGCTGGCTCCAAATCGAACTCGGAACGCTATTCTTTTCGGTTTCCGACGACACAATAATACGCGTCTAATCCCCAGATGATCTCCAGCGGAACCTCTTGATCTTCTTCTACTCCTTCGTCTTTTTCTCCTTTTTATCTCCATTTTCCATTCTGAAAACCAGGCGTAAACAGATTCCAGAATCCCCGGGGAAACTGACTGATTCCAGCAGATATACAAACAGACAGAGTGTATCTAGCGAAAAAATGTAGCAAAGGGAAAAAGAAAAGCGGCAAGTAGGAATATTATTATTGGCTCTTTGTTTTTGTGCCGCCGTTACCAAGCCTCTTGGATCGCCCGAATATGACAAATTAGTCGCGTCGTCGTGAGGACGGAAACGGACAAAACACGACGATTTATGACGGTCCGATGCGTGTGACACGTCAAGACGGAAGCCGATGCGATTATCAGAGACACCAAGTCGTCGGTTCATTTGCACGGCTCTATAGTAACCCGAAACGAGAAGAGAACATGTGAACAAGAAGAATAAGAATCGAGAGCGTTTTGTTTCCTCACAAAGCGCCGCCAAAATGTGTTTTTTTTTTCGCTGCTCTTCTTCTCAATTGAATTGGCCATCCGGAGTGGGTCGGGCGCCGCAGAGACAAGAAAAATTTATTCATTTTCCCTATTTTATGAATTTTGGCAACATTTGAGTGGTGAACAAGCCGTTTTCCGATTTATGAGCTCGAGGAGACAATAAAAAGCGGTTATTCTCATATTGGAGGGTTTTTGGCGAAAAAAACAGAAGAAAGGGAGAGAAAGGATTTGAAGAAGAAGAAGAAGAAGAAGAAGGAAACTCGCTCGTTTCCCTTGTTTTTCAGGAGAAAGTTTTTCGAGGGAAAAGCAGAAAAGATGCCCTGGATTTGCTGAAAGAACGAAGTGCCGTAAGTACTGTAATAGAAGTCTACCACACTATTGATCTATTGTCCTGTCAAAGCATTGTATTTCGGCTGGCGGTAGACATATCAAAAAGTTGTCAACTGATAAAATGTACGCAACCTGTTCATGAGCACTTTATCAGTTGAAAAGTTTTTGATATCTCTACCACTAGACGAAATACAATGCTTTGAATGGACAATGTTCCCTTCTATTACAGTATTTACGGTGGTTTATAAATGGAGAATTCTTGCGAACCATTCTCAGAACTTTCCTCTCGAATACCCACAAACACTTATGAATCCTCAACCTGAATACTTCACAATACCGTAATCGGAAAGCGAGTGAAGTGCGGTAGAGCGCACTTCGCTGACTTTTGCGGCGACAGTAAAAGCATCTCGGAAATACTCAACAAACAAAGAGAAAAGTACGTAAAAAGGTGACGTCGTCGTCGTCCGAAAGGCGATAAAACTGCTGCTCGGCGAGCACACGCACACACACACACACACCCGCGCGGCGTAATTGCTGCGAAGACTGCTCGCGGAGCATCACTCGGCAGACGAATCCTAACGAATTCCGCGCCGTCGTCTTGGACAAAATGCAAAACAGTGCACAATCCGGCAGGGAGAATGGCTGACGGAATGGGGCAGAAAAAAAAATAAATTCATTAAAAAAGAACAAGATAGTTCAGAGTTATTATAACAGGGTCAAGGTACTCGTATCGGGGGCGAGGAATACTTGAGTCGGAGAGTCATTATAAGATGATGATTGACACTTCTTCGATAAATTTACAGTCGACGTTAAGAAAAGGGGGTGTTGGCTACTGTAGAACTTGCACCGAGATCATCGAGTTGCGGAAGCTGTGGCCGTCGAGGTCGAGGGAGGCTTGTAGGGCGTCCTGTAATGAAACGAGAGATAGATACCGTCAAAACTAATACGGTACTTACGTCGGCATTGAAGCAGGCGAGCATGCACTCTCCAGTCATCACTCCGTCCTCGCCACGTCGAATTCTGATCGAGTTACGGTCCGGATCGTAGCGACCGAAGAAATCACACTGAAAACATAAAGTTCTGTCTGAATTCTTCCCAATAATCGGGGTGACGCACCACTTCCTCAAGAGTGATATCTCTCGGAAATCCGGTGCACGAGAGCACAGTTCCACGTGGTCCTATCGACTGTACGAGTTCACGGAACTCGTTCTTCGTTGGCGGAAAGTCTTCCCGATAACCTCCTTGCCCGACGTAACCTCCGCGCCCACCCCCTCCCCGACCACCTCTGTACCCTCCGGATCCTTGGAATCCTCCTCGATACATATCTCGTCCTTGTGGTTGTGGAGGAGCATTATTGAATGCCTTCGGTCCGTTGGATGGCGCGTTTTGATAGAACGGCATCGGTGCTCCGACTCCTCGTCCGTTCGGCGGAGGCCCGTTCAGCATCCCTCCTCTCGGCGGGAATGCGCCGTTTCCACGCGGCACGAATCCTCCACGCATCGGAGGCGGCACTTGTGGCCCGTTCGGTTGATTAACCGACGGTGGCAATCCGTTCATTCCGTTCGAAGGAGGCGGCAGACTGTTCGGAGCACGCGGAACCACTGACGGCGTGTTGAAGAACGACGGCGGATTAGCCTTCTCCGCTTGTTCCTGGGCAATCTGAAAACAAAAAGAGTTGATTCATCTGCAGATTTGTCTAGTCCACTCACTCTCGCTTCTTCGTTCAGCTGCCTCTTTTCAGCACCGTATACATCTTCTATTTTCATAATTTCGTCGGCTTTCTCATTGTCGATGTAGCTCATTTTTAGCGTTCTTCCCTGGCAGAGAGATCTGATGGAGAAGGCACGACGCATGAGACTCTCGCTTGAAAACTCGGCCACCCAGCGATCAGAAGCGTTTCCGTCGGAGTAATAGGTGCGGGACAGCTTTGCCGGACGGACTTTCTCAGCGAACCACTCGAAGAGCTCCTCGTCTTTCATTCGAAACGGCACATTTGTCACCTGAATGCACCATCTCGTCGGATCAGTGTGCTCTTCTCGGCGGCGCGGACTCCTCGAACGTCTCCTCTTTCTGATCGGACTTCTCGATCGATCACGCTCGCCTCGTCTCGGATTCTCCTTCTGAGGGCTCTTGTCCCCCCAACGGCTTTTTCGTCTCGGACCGTCATCATCTTTGAGCGACTGCGGAACTGCTGCGCGATCAAGTGCGGGCACTGGTGCTCCATCATCGGCGGTGTCGAACGCTTTTTTGTCGGACTGACGAATCTTGATGAGCTGTTCGCCGTTTCTTCTCATCATCTTAGCATAATCGGCTATCGAATCGAGACGGATGATAGTTTGTATATGAATTCCTCCGGGGCCAAAGACGGTTTTGACGGAAGAAAGAGTCAGCGGAGTGCTCGGATTTATAAATGCTTCAAGAGCGGCTGGACGGAGCAAATCATTCGGAAGTCTCGTCAGTTCAATGTAGAACTTCTCTCCGCCCGCGGCAGGAGCAACTGACGGAATGACTGGCTTGTTTATAGAAGGAAGAGCGGCCATCGAGGGCAGATTGTGGTACATCGGCGGCTGATTCATTCCTCGATTGATGGCCGGCGGAGGCATGAGTGGACGGTTCATGGGCGGCTCATTCTGGAATGGAGCAGGTCCATTTCGAGACGGCAGCTGAGGTGGTCCGTTTTGGAACGGAGCTGGTCCGTTACGCGCTGGCGGTCCGTTCTGGAAAGGTGGCCTTCCGTGTGCTCCGCTGTTGTGCGAAGTGTTCGTGGAAAACGGAGCAGTATTGGGAGTTGGCTGATAGGGACCGTTCGGATTGGACATCAGAGTCTTTCTTCCGTGTGGGCCATCCAAAGCAGGTCCATTTGGGTGGTTGAACTTGTTGACTTCAAAGTCACTTTTCGGCGCTCTGAAAATTTGATAATCTGAACATGTATTTTTTCCAGGGGGCTTTTCGTTGGCCGAGTCTTGATCTGGACTTCTGAACCACTTGCAATATTCCGATTGGACCCAAACTTTGCAGGATTTCTGCACTTGGATTGAGAACCATTAGGACCAAGATTCAGCCCGATCGGATCGTCGGGTCCCGAGATATGTGGATCATTGGCCGATTTTTTCCAAAAGGCCCGGGCTTCCGGCCAATGTCGGTCAACGATCCACATATCTCTGGACCAGATGATCCGATCGGGCTGAAACTTGGTCCCAGTATGCTTCAACCCATGTTCAAAAAGCCTGCAAGCTTGGGTCCGATCGGAAGTGGTTCAAAGGTCCAGGTGCCGTGAAATTGCCCAGCCCTGATTTTTTCATAATTCAGAAAGCCCAATTTGCTCAAATTCTGAGAATCTTACTGTGAATAATTGGACTCTCTCCACGAATCTCCGCCCTGTTGCACTCTTCCGTTCATTCCCTGATTCCTTTCCGGTCCATTATTATTTCCACCTTTGTATCCGCCGTACTTGTTATTCGGGGAAAGTTGAGAATTCAATGACGGGCGTTGGTGCGTCGGTGGTGCGTTCAGAGCATTGGGAGAAGCCTTCGATGGTTCAGGAGCTCTCAGAGGGGGCGGAGCAAATCGGTTGACTGGAGGCTCCTTGTACTGGCTCTTGTATCCATACGAATCGTACTCATCTTCTGGTTCATCTCTCGTAGTGGATGACACGTGTAACTGCTGAAATGTTTTATCTGAAACTTCAGTTCTCCGATGATTCCGAGTCTACCTGTGGAGCGCTTGAACGGTGACCGTAGTTTTTCTGAGAATTGTAATCCGGACGCGGCTTCTGAGCGTTGGAGTTTTGTGGCGGATAAGATGCTTCGTAGCCAGGTCTGGCTGCGTACGGATTTCCTCCGGGCGGCTGAACCCAATTCTGCTGTTGAGGAGGAGCCGACGGAACGAATTCGTCTTGAAGAGGCTTCGGAGAGCCGAATTCGCCTTTTTTGCGAGCAGCAATTATGGCATTTTGCTCCGATTTTGAGGAGAGCAAGAGACGGATCTGAAAAGGAGAACGTCAAGGAAACAGCCTTCTGGACACGAGCAAAACAAATCCGATCTTCACTAAATAGCTTGTTTTCCTTTCCCAATGCATGCAGTCTTGTGGGATACGAACACTTTCGCAGAAAATTTAGAGACCATTTAGAGATCGACAAGACAAGATTGAGCAGCACGACGAAATTTGTAAACATGAAAACAAATTATCCCGCCCGTGGTTTGGAGATGATTGGGAACTAGGACGCCGAGACGAGGGATACAAAATCGAATCAGTATGCTCACAAATGTTCGCCATAGCCCGAGTAAAAATTAATTTTGAGAAAACAGTTATTTTTGGAAAGGCAGCCAAAATTGGAACTCTATTTTCTTTCTTTTTGCTTTTCGAAAAAGGCTCTTTCAGGTTGACAGAGAAAAACTTAGCGACAAGGCGAGCGAGTGCCATCCTGCACTTGTATGCGCCTTGAATTTTTAGCTTGCTGATTGGTTAATCCCTCCTGTTGGAATGCTAATCAGCGTGCTGAAAATTAAAGACGCAGACGCATGCCTTGGCACGCTTCCCGACATTTTTCCTCAATTTGTGTTGAACAATTGTGTGCCGCGAGTTCCATTCTGTCAGCTTGAAAGGGGCGTGGCATAAAATATGCCGCATATTTCGAGCTCCACGCACGATCAGCAAAGGCCAGAAGAGATAAATTGATGATAGCGTCTTGCCGAATCTCACTCCACACTTGATATTTCAGAAATTCGGATTAATCCGCAGAAAAATTGATGTTTCGATGTGATCTACGTCGGTTCAACGATCTTATGGATTCCGATTGTGTTCTTATATTTTTGCTCAGAAGCTCTCATTTTTGAGAAAGCCACATCTGAAACCTGATTTTACGCAAATGTTTGCGCACAAACAAGTAGTATTACGTTCCCGTGTACCAGTTTAGCATTTAGAAATGAAGTTTCAGACACGATTTTCTCGAGAGGTCCGGAGCGCAAACAGATCGCATTTTGAACTGCATAAATCGTTCACCATAGGAATTGTCAGATTCTTCCTATTTCCATATTCTCGGCCAGGAAAAGGTGGAGAAATCATACTGCTTTTTTAACAGAAAATTAAAACTTTGAATGTGGTAATCAACTTTGTAGTGGAAGCTAGCCATTCAGAATTTTCTAATAATCCATTTTAATAGCTTATGTTTGACGTACTGTTCCGTTTTTGTACCAAGCAAGATCTTTACCCCAACTAGTTCAGAAGTGAGATGCTGGCAGCAGAAGGGAATGACATACGTGTCCTTTGTTCGACCGGATACTCGTACACGAAATAATGTATGGGGTCAGTTCTTATTTGCAGAGAACGAGAAGGCACTGATGTGAAAACAGACTAAGCGAACGAATAGAGGTGTTTTGTTTGAAAGTCATCAGCTTTGAGAGATGTTAATGTTCACTGTAAAACATGTGGACACGAAACGTTTCCACAATCCATCTGAAAGCATGATCATTCGAAATAACATTTACACCTTAATGTTTCTAAATATGCCCGCATTTGAACGCATTGTGTCAGAACAAATGAAACATATCTATTAGGGAAGCAGGGTTCAGGAAGGCGAAGTGCTTGAAGAAGTAAAAATGTGCAGACCGCAAGTGCAGTTATGTTCCAGGGCCCATGTCAAGGTGGTAAGGCAGCCGTACTAAACAAGACAGACTGATATTCTGGAGATCGGAAATAGTCTAACACATTCGATGATGAAATGCTGTTTTTGCTCTGAGCTCATAACTCCAATGCAGACCGTCCGCCTCATAGGCTTCATTTGTGATGTTCAGTTCAATATTATCAGAAGATGTGCTGATCTACTGCAGGATATATCGCTTTTAAGGCAATATTTGAGATTTCCAGATGAAGGAGAAACAGGGAAAAAGACGTCTTTATCTGTATAGCCCTGAACACAGCAGGAACGTCGTAACCCTCTCAATTTTCTCTTTCCAGGCCATTTGTATACCGGAGCGTCTGGCGCGACCATATTCGACGGGCTGCCCCTCTTAAACAAGAATCTTGCTGCTGTTTACCCCAAACAGACAAACACCCACTTGACAAGAGTACAAGTAACAAATTAGATGCGATCCATGATGATAAAGTTCAGGAAGTCTGGACACAGGCTATTACCGCCGACAAGTTTTAGAAAAGATTTGACCGTTTGTTTTTCTTGAAACCCCAAACAAACCTCAGCGCCATGAATTCTCTGTCCGTGTCTCGTCATCGCTATTCTTGCGTCTTCGTCCGAGGCAAATCCGACAAATACTTCACCCTCCTCTCCACCGATAATATGTACTGCACCGTCGGGGATTTTCAGACCCGAGAAAAACGTACGGACATCCGAAGACCCTGCCGTAATCGGCAAATTCTTCATTCGTATAATCACTGACATTCTGTTGGACGGAAGGAGACTACGAAAGAGCCTACTTTCTGATGGTTCAAATCTGAAACGAGAGCGTAATGTGAAATTGGAAATCAGTAAAAGAGGAACGATAGGGCGCTACAACGAAGTAGAACTCGCACGGAATGGAACTGCCACGCTTTGGAACTCGCAACGTTAAAACAAAACTATGAGTTCCAAATCGTAGCAGTTCCATTCCGTGTGAGTTCTACTTCGTTGTAGCGCCGAGCGAGATGCTAAAAGTAAGCTAGAAGGGAAACAGAGCCAATCACGGCAGCAAAAAGAGTTGGTTTTGCGATGCGCGGTAAACTAGCGAAAATCGATAAAGCCCAATGGGGTCCAAACGGGCGTCACATTATCGTACCGCTCTCAACAAAAAAATGAATAATCTGAGCGCAACCAAGCAATATGACTTTAATTTAATTTTTCGATATCAGAAAAATGAAGAACAGTTGAGAAAAATTTCTGAAAACCGATGAAAACCAACCGAAAAACGCTGGAAGACGACTCGAAACAAACCAGCTGGGGCGCGCGTTGCGGTCGCGTCGCGGCCGCTCTCCAAGATGCAAACGCGCTCTCTTGATAGTTTTCCGCCCAATTTCGCGGACTGAATCGAAAATCCCATTGAAAAATGCTCGAAACCGCCGGAAAATTTACAGAAAAGCTACTCGAATGCGGTAATGAAACTCCTACGTGTTCAAAAACTTACATATCTGTGCAACTTCTCCTCTTCCACTCAGGCAAATTGCTTGAATATAACTCAAATGGGCAATGTTAAATTTCAGCTTTTCAAAAAACCGTCGAGACTTTTCAAAAAGAAACCCCAAAGCAAAATCTCATTAGCGCCGAAATTTTTAGAAAATGCTCAGTTGTGGCCGAAATCATTGGAAGCGGAGAGAAAAGCTCAATATGAGAAGGTATTTCGGACAAAAGTGACGTAATATCTGGAAATTAAGCTGGACGAGCTGATAGCAGAAAAGAAGAGTTGGCGGTTAATTGAAAGTCGAGGTCTTTGTGTTGGAAACCTTTTGATGGTGGCCATGCACAATGAAGTGGCGAATGGAACCGTTGCGATTCTATCCGGAGACAGTGTGAATGGGGTCAAATGGCTCAAGGCGGGAACTCCGGTGACTTTGAACAAACTCAACGAAGAGGAGCATCTGAAGACGTTGAGTGAGGGACATGTGGTCGAGAGCTCGAATGGAACGGTGAAAGTTTGCATTTACGAAGATAACAACACCGACTTTTCGACTTCCAATTACATTTTGATGCCTTCTTCGAATGGAGGAGCTATTAAGTACCTCCAAACCATTCTCAAGTAAAGAATACTCTTCAAATCATTCACTTCTTGATATTTTTTCAGAAATCCGGCTTCCCTATCGAGTGATAGTGTGCATCTGGTCAACCTCGCCTACAGATCAATTCCGATGCCGTCAATTCATGGTTCATTCAATTCTGACCACTATTTTCGGTGAAACCATGCTATTTTTCAGATAAAAAAGTGTCCAATCTCCCGAAAACTCTAAACGAAAGCCAGATCGCAGCCGTTTCAGCTGCTCTCAACCCTCAAAGAAATCTTCTGTGCATTCAAGGACCGCCCGGAACCGGAAAGACCCGTGTCATCGCGGAAATTGTGCATCATCTGACTTCACGAAAAAAAAAAGTTCTAGTCTGTGCTCCGACCCACGTGGCAGTCAGAAATGCGCTTGAAGCAACGGCCAGGCGGATGAAAGAGGAGGATTCTGATGCGAACAAAGTGGCAGCAAGTATATGAGAAAGTCCAGGAAAGCAAAAAGAAATTGTATAATTTCAGAATTGGCTGTTCTGAACAACCATAAGGAAGAGTTCCAGAACCATCCTATGGCTCAGAAATTGTTCCAAATGTATAAAGAACTGGGGAAGACGAGCAAGTCCGATGCGAGCTATAACAGTCGGAGTTACCAGTGTTATATAAAAAGAATTGAGATTCTAAAAGATATTTATCGCTCTACGCGTGCCATTTTCACCACTCTTGGAACGTCCTCCATTCAAAAACTACCGGAATACGACTGGAACGCCGATGTGATGCTTGTGGACGAAGCAGCACAATGCACAGAACCTGCCACGTGGGTTCCAGTGCTCACGACTCCTCAGTGCAAGAAACTGGTGCTCGTCGGAGATCAGAAGCAACTGCCTGCTGTAGTCCTCTCGACAAAGTAAGTTTTCCTCGATTTTCACGCAAAAATAAACAACTTCTAGAGCCCAGAAAGACGAGCTCAACGTGTCGTTGATGGAGAAGTTGACTGACGAATTCTCGGGAAGTAACATAAATATTCTGCTCAAAGAGCAATACCGAATGAACGAAAAGATAATGAGATGGTCGAATGAAGTGTTCTATGAGAACCAGTTGACCGCCCATCCAAGTGTTGCCAGCATCACTCTTAACGACGTTTGCCCTAATGTGCCGAAAGATCATGTTCTAAACAATCCGATCTTCATGATTGACATGGACAGAAACCGGGAGAGAACTCACGAATCATTCGAAGGACATTCGTTCACCAATTTGGATGAAACGGCAGTTGTGAGAGATTACGTGGAAAGACTCGTCGTAGACGTGGGTCTCGATGCGAAGGAAATCGCCGTCATTGCTCCTTATTATGCTCAGGTGAATCTGCTATTTTAAATGTTCAAACATTCAGTCAAAAGTTCAGATTGAAAAAATTCGCGAAGCGATTCGTTTTCCGATCGGCGTGAACACAGTGGACGCTTTCCAAGGTCACGAACGACAAGTCGTCATCTTTTGCCTCGTCAGGGACAACAAAGAAGGTGAGCGAGAAGTAATATATGTTTACAATGGTATCTTCCAAAGGTTTTATTGGTTTTCTGAATGAGACTCGTCGACTGAACGTTGCAATTACGCGCGCGAAACGTCAGTTCGTGCTCATCGGAAGCGGGCGGATGATGCAGAAGAACAGGCATTTGAAGAGACTTTATAAGTGAGCAGTTCTTGCTGAAAACTGAGAGCGATTACTCGTTTTCAGGCATTTGCACGACGAGAAAATGATCTTCGGAGCGAGTGTTCTGAATGACTGCGATGAGATCGAACTTCCGCAAAAGAGCCCATTCTGAATGGGCTCCACAGAATTGTTGCTTTTTACGGGTCATGTTATCTTGCTAATAGGATTTAGAATTAATAAAATGTCTGATTAGGCTCCTTTTCTCATTTCAAATTCTTATTTCAGTCACCACGTCACATCGCTGACGGTGTGAGTAATGAAAAAGTTGACAGATCAGAAGACGTGACACTAGAATGATAAGGAGAAGAAGAAGAAGAAAAAGATACTTGGTCAGAAGACAAACAAAGAAATAATCGGTCAATTTTCCGTTTCCGTCACCCCAGTTCGCTTCCTTCTCCCTTCCCAGATGAATCGACCGATTCTCCTCGTCTTCTGTTTGGCTCTTCCATTCTCGGAGGCCGTTCTCAAGTGCTACACCGGTTATTCCATTATGAAAGGTAGGCGGGCGGGCAAATGGAAGTGCGCTCTATCGCGAATTCAGGTAGCACGATCGGAACAGAAACGAAGGATTGCGGCAAGGAAACTGACTACTGCTACAACGGCACCGCCGACATTTCGAGCTTCAGCAAGTTCCAGAAGGCCGGCTGCAACACTGTTATTTGCCAGGTCTGAAAGTCTGGAAGTGGGGAAAAAGTTGTCAGCATTCGATTTCAGTTCCACGCGAACAAGTGCTTCGAGCAGCTGGTTTCGGGCCAGATGCTCACGTTCTGCTGCTGCAACACGGGCGATCTGTGCAACGGCGGAGCGGTTACGGTATGCGCCCGTGTTTACGCAAAAAGTCGGACTTTCTGATGTTTCAGGATTCCGGATCTTTGTTCGATCGTGGTCTGTCGGTTCTCAAGGGTATCGTGTCGGCAGGCAAAAAGTGATCAAATTCTGTTTTTTTTACATACACCATCCAAAAAGCAGTTAAATATCATCATACTGAACGAATAAAGAATTTATCCCTTGAGCATGTCCAAAAAGTCCTTTCCTCTCTGCTTCGTCTTCTCGAAGAAAGTCATATTCTGAAAAAGAAAGCGATAATATGGGCAATATTTCAAATTTTGGGGGTCTTACAGTGAGTTTGGAGTTGCAGAGATCTCCGGTGTTGCAGCAGCAAAACTGAATTTGGGTTCCACCGAGTGACTGCGTCACGCACTTGTTACGAGCGATCTGAAGTCACTTTTTATGAATTCGAATGGAAAATCGGTTGTTTAGCATTGAAAATTTTCACTTTTGACCAGTTGTTAATCTACAAGATGCGGATCTCTGTTGGAACTCACAAAGCATCTCGTGGAAGAGCATCCGCCCTTTTTGACGTTGTTCAGCGAGCTCAGATCGGCAGTCATGTTGTAGCAGTAATCATTTGGCGAGGAGCACGTTTCTTTGGAAGTACCTGAAGTTCGTTCACTATTCGAAGAGCTGTGCCTTTTCTCACCGACAGATTGAGCCTTGAGGTACGTGAATCCGGTGTAGCACTCCAAAGAGAACGCGCCGATTATTAGGGAGAGAAGTGCGAGAGTACGGTAGGAAAAGAGCATTCTTCTGGAAGAAATGTGACGATGAAATGGAAAACCGATTATTATATATTCTGTGTTATGAAAGAATCATGAATCATAAGCGCGGGAGGAAGGAGTGAGTGGGACGCAGAGGAAAGAGGCGTACTGTTTCTGTGTTTACCTGGGTCTCGAGACGAAATAGACACGAAATTGTAATGAGAAAAAGAAAGAAACACACGCGTTTTCAAGGACAATAGTGACGTGGCACCGGGAATCGATTTGAAATGCGGCGTTCTGGCTGAACTTGAGTATACATTCCGAGTTTGTTTGCTCAAGAACCCATCGAAGCAAAGTGCTCGACCTATTTCGAGATCAAACATTTTCAAGTTTTTGAACCGCTTCATTCTTGAGACAATCTAGGTAAGTCTAGCGAGATCTAAACAGCTTATTAAAATGTGTGGGAGTCCATATTGATCAGTCTTTTCTTTGCTTGTTCTCGACGGTGATGAAACTCGCTTAGCATGCCTGAAAATTCAAAGTTCGATATTTTCCTGTTTCAGACTCACTATGATCGAGTTGACTTCTCGCGATGCGATTCCTGAATAGCCGTTCGGCACGATGGAATATCCAGGGGAAAAAGTCCTTCTCGAGTTCTGGAACGTCCGAGATTACTGTAACCGTCTACAGTAATCAGCTCAAACCTGCAGTCACCAGTGTCATTTTCTGCGCCAATTGGACCATATCTCGAGTGTCCAAACCTATTGACCTTTTTGAGTTCTTCTCGATTATTCGAATGTTTTCCCAAGTTTTCCTGGCGATCTAAATGATGCTGGTGAAACATTTCGGATTACTGTTCGTGTACCTCATCGCAAGTAATCTGTGCGAGTTTCTGTGCTTTCCGGGCCTCTGCTTCTTGCTGTTTCCACGTCGCCAACTCGAGATTCTGAAACAAGGCGTCATTTTGGCCGCAAATCTTCCTATACAACTGGTCACCTTCTGGTGAATCTGGCGTCTCCAGTCCGCCGACTCGATATTCTGTTTCCGCGTGACCGCGCGGAGCTCATGCTCCGTCGCTTGCGCCGTCTTCCGCACCTCCCGTAGCGTGTTCTCCGCCTGAAACAACGACGAATTCGAGGAGCCGGATTCAATCGGAAACAATGCTCACTTCCAGATTTATTAGCGCCATTTCTATGGCCGAGTTGGCGAGCTCCTTCACCATTCCTTCGAACTTTTGATCGAAATTCTGAAAGAAACTGCTTGACTTTTGATTTTTGCCGGTTTTCGGGTACATCGTCCGTCTGCACTCCACTATCAACAATCTGGTAAACTGGTCGGGAAGAGGGCGGCGGAGTGGCCGTCTGCGAGAGTGCCACGTGGCGACTGTGTCTTCTGCCCGAAGGTCCGTCCGGCTGAATGGCGCTCTCAAAGTTCACCACGACTTTGACGGGAAATTGAGAAGACGCAGAGGGGTCGGGCTCTTTTTCGACTGCCGTCCGCCCAAAAATGTCTCCATTTCCAGATTTGGTCGTTGAACTTTTGACCGGAACGAATCTGGCAGTGGCGAACGAACGGGCTCCGCGCGATTTATCAACGCTGAGCGCGGCGCCGTTTCCAGAAGTGATATCCGGCAGAAATGTGGAGAAACGGCTGAAATACAAATGTACAAAGAATTAAATCGAACTTTCTATGCAAATCCATTGTGTTTGACACAATCAAAGTAACTTTGTTTTCTCATTTTCTCTGTCCGCACTGATTTCCCGTCGTCATCACCACTTCCGTTGTCTAATACTTAACACACCTGTTCGTTTTCCCTCTCTTCCTCTCTCTCTCTCTCTCTCTCTCCCTCTCTCTCCGTCTTCGGCATGTTAGTCATAAAATATTGTCCGGAAATGCGAGTTGCGTGTCGGCACTCGATGAATTTGCATGCAACTCAACACACACTCACGGCTTGGTGGTCTGCGGAAGAAGCGGCGTGGCACGACGGACTTTTCGGGCGGCCGACGGCTGTGGGACACGTGGCAAAAGGGTGCTCAGTTGCTCGCGGATCACGCCCACGCGGTAGCGCTTCTCTTTGGATTCCACCTGCTCTGCTTGACGTGCCTGGAAACAATGAGGACTAGAAGGGACGCAAATTGGACACTCACTCTATCATGAGCCAACCGCCGATTGGCGAACACGGAGCCCCTGTAAACGCGGGGGTCCGCGGTGATCTGCACGGGTCTCCGGTACGCCGTCTCCGACATCACTGACGCATTCGACGAGGGGAGCATTTCGCGGCTCGAGGAGCTGCTCGTGGCCGAGCTCGTCGGCTCGCGGCCGATGGGCGGGGCCGAGGTGTGTCGGAGCGGCAGCAGTTGGAGTGTTCCGTGGGCGGGCGCGACGACTAGAGGCGGGCATTGGACCGCCCGTCGACTGCGTGAAAACGTCTCAGTGTGCGACGAGGACGAAGACGAAGACGACGGGCAGATGCGGTCCGTTCTGTCGATTCTTCTCATCATCTGTCTTGGAAAGGGCGAAGCGTCGTCGTTCCTGGCATGGAACAAGGCAAGCGGTCAGCAGATCGATGCCGCTAGAACCATCGGAGTGCAAGGTGAGTTCTGGAAGACGTATTTAGTTCGTGTACTCACAGAAATTGTGTCGTTTCGCTTCAGAGAGTTCACTGAACTCTCGCCTTTCCGATCACCTGATTGGCGATTTTCAAAGAATCTCATTCTGCCACGTCATTGATTTTTAATCTATCATTCTCCAATTTCGCTTCTATCTCTCATTGAGAAAAGATTGAAGAAAAGGAATGAATGATAGGAGGTTGTCAGTGAAACCACTGATCTACTTGGAACCGTGTCACGTCATGACGTTACTCGATGTATAGTGGAAAAAGAGCCAAATGCGGGAAAACGGGAGGAGAAGAAGATAACGTTTATGAAGAAGAAGAAGTGATAAATAGACTAGGAGGATGGGGGAGAGAGTGAGAGTAGAAGAGAAAGAGAGCAACACTCAACGACTACACGGAAAAGCCTCCGCCGCCTGATTGCTCGTCTTTCTTATCCGCGCGAATATGAGATTTCGATGAAAAGCTGCTGATTGCATAGGCTCCACTACAGTAATCCTTCCCGTTTTCAGCCCGTCGTGAGTACTCGCAATCGGTGAAATTGAACGGACTGTCGAGAAGAGATCGGTATGTATTTCGTCATCTTTTCTAAAAACATCGCCATCGAATCGAAAGATGAAGTACCAAAGTTCGAGTGAAACGCGTGACGACGATCGAGAATTGATTCGGCGAGAATGTGACGCGAGAAAGTGTGAAGTGTTACAACACACACACATTCTTTCGACGGAACGGTCACCGAGGTTCAGAATTCAAAGAAAGGGGGGGCTGATGATGTTGACGATGATAGGAATCTAGTTGTGTGGGCGGAAGAAGAAGAAGAAGCAGAAGCAGAAGCAGAACAATAAGTAAAAGTGTCGAACGATGACCAACTTTTTATAGCCTTCCATTCGTCAAATGCTTGTTAGATTTATCTGTGACCAAGGTTCAATGAGATCACGGTATTCGCGGAATATATAAAAGTTGTATCATAAAACTAGCAGCTCAAAAACAACATTTTCGGATGAGCCGGAAGTATATTCGGAAGCAAGCGGGAAAGAGAGAAAGAGAGATCGCGCGTTTAGATGATGAATGATCACATTCCGCATGAATCATTCATTCATTTCAGACAACTTCTCTACCTGGACGGACTTCAGAAGTGCAACTCGATCGACGACGAGCTCATTGCTGATATCGATCGGAATGTGGTGAGGAGGAACTACCGCAAATTGGATGCCGACGCTCTCGAAAGGATCGGACTCAACAGGTTTTTTGCCGCGTTCGTCACTCTTCCAGCTATCGAAATGAAGAAAGTTGTGAACTTTGTGAGTTAATCTGGAAGTGAAGAGGTTAGAATGGAACGGAATGATTGCAGGCGTGTGCTAAGCACGAGCAGCAGTTGGAGTGCGGAGTTCAGTACGAGGGAGAAGCGAAGACGAATCAGAGAATTGCCGAGCTGATGCAAGACGGAGGCAATCGACAAATGTTCGAGCACGAATGTGTCGAAGAAGACTACGCAACTACCGTATACCCGTGTCTCGGCAGAACCGGGCAATGGATCGGCGCGTGCGAAAAGGAAATCTCCGAGTATACGGTGCTCCGTCGGAAAGTGAACAACAAGATCGAGAGCGTGTACAATGCTGCCATCCAAACCGTCAAATCACTGAAAGAGGACCAAGAGCAAGTGTTCTCCGAAACCATGCGGTTCATCAATTACGCCGAAGGCTCCAAATGTCTCGCATTCAAGAAGGTCTGACCCCGTTTCCTTTTAATTCTGAATTCCAGTCTTCCAGATGCGCGTCTGTCTCCTTCAACAACTAGTTTCTGCGTGCGGAGTTGAGACGGCTCGAGCCCTCAACACATCCATTTCGGTCGGATATTTGGCTTCCGAACGGTCGGATCGCCTTCAATCCGACTTCGACACATTCGCATATCCATCTCATCCGTTCTGTGAAAAACTGTAAATCTGTACGCGGCTGGAAAATTGTCTGTAAGGTGCTTTCCGACGGGTTTCCCAAGGTGTGAAACAAAACTTTGATCATGTAAAGAAAATAAAGAATTTCTCAAACCCCCGTGCTCTAATTCTCTCTGATTCATTGTTTTTGTGTTTTTGTAATCAATTTGCCTATAGACGCCCAATTTTCATGTCTATTTTCAAGCGAAGATTCGATTGAAAATGTTCGGTGAGTCAGCTGGTTCTATTCCGTTTCGGCTGCCCAGCCATCTAGCCGAGCACTTTCAGATAAATGCGTTTTCGATATTTTACTCGCAATTTTCATATTCGCGTCAACGGCATTTTGCGGGAAAAACAGGGATACGGTGAGGATTCCGAACAAGAAATCGAATGGCAAATGGGAGAAACGGATGGACGAGATGGCGCCGAAAGTGGTGGGAAATCAGCCGACGAGAGAGGACGAGGGCGGAGAGACGCAGTCGTCCAGCGATGAGCACCAAAAAAAGACAGAGGAGCACAGTCAGAAAACTCGTGAGTTCGGAAGGAAGAGGAAGAAGAAAAAGAAGATTATTATTGTTTTTCCAATTTGCAGAGCGCTCGGAGAAAAGTAGCAAAGAGAGAAGTCTGAAATCGAGTGCAAATCGGCGGACAGCGGTTGCAATTAAGAGAAAAGACGCAGAAGACTCGGCGCGGAAGAGGCGGAATCGATCGGTGACCGAGAGCTCCGACGAATCGGATGAGAAGAGGTCGGAGATGTCGATTCGGAAGAAAAGAGGGAGGAAGATCGAGAAGAGCGTGTCAACGACGATGACTGAAGAGGAGGAGGAGAAGAGCGCCGATTAGCAATCCGACTTTTAGAATAAAATGTTAACGGAGTCAGCGGCCACGTGATCAGTTTAAGAAACTCATTGAGGTTCAGGGCAATGTACTCGAAGATCGAAGCAAGACAGATCCGACCGGAAACCGTTCGACGCGCTCTGGCCACCTCTTGCATAACACAATGTCCGTCGCGAGCAAAGCCATTTTGGACGTTCGGAGGCGTGTCTGAAACAGAAAGTAGTAAGTGATCCCCCGGCTACGGTACCTGTCTTCCATCCTCGAGTCGACGTGAGACGAGAATCTCTTCGGTTTTTCGATAAGTATTTGGTATTTTGTGAAAATAATTAGTTGTACCACCGCGCAGTTCACTTCTTGAATTCCAGAAGTTTGCCTCCCTTCCATCCATCTCAACCTGCGCCAGTCGATTAATTATTCTATTGTCGGGGGACAAAAAAGAAGAGGAGGTGTCCGTCCACAAAACACAATCAATTATTCTCGTGGCCGACTGACGATACCTAGTGTGTCTCCGTGAGTTTCGCCCCAAAAAACAACTCTCTCCGCAGTATCTGTTTTGTTTTTTTTCGGTTGTAAAATGAAAAACTGCTGCGCTTTACAGAAGGTGTGTTTGTCGAACTGATTCATCATTCGCTCGTTAAGTACAACTTGTTATTGTTTGCCCAGCAGTTGCTCATTCCCTGCAACTGCCCGTTTCCATCCGACTACACAGCGGTGCAAAGTCTCTTCGACATCTTCTTCTTCTTCTTCCTCTTCTTCTTCCTCCCCCACGTCTTCTTTCTTAGTTTCGACGTCTCCAGAAGACTCTTCATTTCGGTCTCCAGGGACCGATAGTCGGCCCATCAGGCGCTCTTTGAACCGCCCCGGAAAGCGTGAAAAGCGAGCTGTTTCGCGCCCTTTCGCTCCCCGTTTTAGATGCATTTCCAACCGAAACATATCCTCGCCCTTCTTCTTCTTCTTCTTTTTCTCCTTCTTCAGCTTTCTTTTGCTCCCTTTCCGATGGTGCTCTTCTCCATTTATTTCCGGCGTCGTGCACACACATGCACACTGCCTCTTCTCTTTTTTCATTTTATTTAAAACTGAAGTCACTTTGATGCTGATGATGATGATGATGATGACTTGTTTGGTTTGTTTTCAACGAGCCGAAGAATTCGCATGCCAATTCATTAGCAACTGGAAAAGAAGGGCGGTCCCGGCGGTTGAGAGCCTCACGCGGAAGGGCGGGCGCGCGCTGATCATTGAAACCGTCTGATTGATAGGCTTTCAGTTTTCAGTACAATTTCCGTTGGCACACCATCCCTTTCCGTTTTTTTTTTCTCTTCTTTTTCTCGCCAGCCGCAATCCTATCAAGTCTCATAATCCCCCCGGCGTGCTCCATATGGGCTCGAGAGAGTGAGCAAATCAAATCTCCACTTCGCCTTTCGGGGCCCGTCCACTTTCCAATCTTTTCCCCGCTCAAAACCTTGTACATACATGTTAGTAGAAGAGAATGAGAGAAAGAGAGACGCTCTCTTCCAGATCACGGCCCAAATCCGCGTTAATCCAGTGATATGAGTTTGGTCGGATTAAGGTCTCGCAGCGTTTCCACCTCGATCCGCCTTCGCCCGTCCTCGTTATCGTTCTGATAACACTCCTTCTTTCCTCTTCCCGATCCGGTTTTCAATAATGTTTTTCTCACCTGGGTCGTGTTGCGTTTGCTGTCTAAATTATTCATTTTTCTTGATGCAAAAACTCTCATTTGACTCAGGAATTGATTAAAAATTCATGAGCTTCCGGGCCAGAACTGCACACTTTCATACTTTTTGTGTGAGAGTGTGACAATCCCGTAGAAAACTGTATGCAAGCACAGTGACGCCAAAACGCAGAAAACTCAGATTATTAAACTTTCGATGCCATTTTTTATTTCGTATGTCAAATTTTCATGTCTGAAATAAATTGTTGATAACAAAAAAAATGTGTTGTTTCGATATTTGAGTAATTTTGAACTGCAAAAAATGTAGACAACGCATAAAGAGTTCAATAATCTGAGTTTTCTGCATTTGGCGTCTCTGTGCTTGCATACAGTTTTTCTACGGGTTTTGTATTTTATTACGGTGATTGACTCCACAAGTATTGTATCTAATCTACGGGTTTCGAATTTTCCACGGGTTCACGGCCCGGCTTTTCATACATAGGACTTTCGGTTTTTTCAATATATCTCCAGAAATCTAACATAGGGACCTCTGATTTTTTTATAAGAGTTCAATTTTACTGAGTTCTTCAAAATGAGCCAGGTCAGAGGTAAATGTAAGGTTTCTAAGAGAAGTTATAGCTTCACAATTTCCACTCCTCCGTATGCTTTGCCGGCCCGTGGGGTTTGTCACACTCGAGCACTCTCTTTTGTGTGAAGAGTGGAATACGGTAGATTCTGTTCTCTGCAATCACCGCGACGCGCAACCACAGGTGCCTTTTCAAATTTAAATTACATTTTTTTGAAATTCAAATTGGCTCGAGCGCTAGCGTTCGAAATTTTTATTTTGCCCGTCTTTTTGATATATATAACTAGCGATCAGAAAATTAATGAAGCGTGCGAAAGTGAAAATTAGAAAAGCGGGATTTGATGCGAATTCATCGTCGATTTTATGACATAATTTAGTGCTTTGACTAACTGACGGGCCGAGCTCGCGTTTCGGACAAGAAAGAGACACCCGGAGCGGCCCCAACACAGCAGTAAACACACATAGACACTCTTTCTCTCACAAAATAGTTGTTGAAATGCGTCGGGGGCCGGAGGGGGCCGCGTCTCCCTCTAGATGGTCACCGAATAGCGCACAAAATGTGGAGACAGAGAGAAGCGCGCTCCGATTTGTCTGTGTGTGGTGTCTGTGCTACTGCCGCCAGTGCTGCTGCTGCTGCGTTCAAGAAGGAGGAGGAGGAGGGGGAGCGCGTTTCGCCGGAGGCGGGCAGCCAGGCCAGCGGCGCGGCTCGCGTCGCGGTTTCTTGCTTTTTTGAATGCGTTCCGCTTTTTCAGCTTCTCCCTCGTTCTCTCATTCTTGCAAGCGGTGTCCTTTTTCGCCCGCGCTCCTCTTCATGATGAGTATTTTCGAAAAAAGCGAGCGCGAGAGACGGCCGCCTAGAGGCGAGACGCCGAGAAACCAGATGTTTGGATGAGTTTATGGGGAATTGGAGGAGCTCCAGACACCGCTGAAATCCTGAGGCAGCGTTTCCTTTTCATGGTCTCAAATTTCGCATCAAAACAGTTGAGATTCGATTTTTAGCGCATTTCTATCTCGCTTTTCTATACGACGCCCCCACTATTATTTTTTGTCAATCACATAGCCCATTTATGTGTCAACCTTATTTCCGACAAAGTAGGAATAGGTAAACACACGCGTTTTGCGCCGTGAAAAACATCATAAACTCCGAATTTCCATTTCTTCTCGCAGTTCCCCCTTTGAAATTCAAAGATCACATTGCTCACCCTCCTGATCCGTCTCTTTTGTTCCTGAAGAGGTTCGCCCATTCACACGACGATTAGGAAAAGTGTTCCTGTCAACAATCTGACCGGAAGCGGTATGGCAATTGCGCTCCGTCTGCTTACGACTATTATCCAACTTTTCCAGACTCATTTCTCGACCTTTTTCAAAAGAAAAGCGAATCATTCTTTGGTTGCTAGACAAACTCTTTCCTTTGACAAAAGGTACAGTAAGAGTTTGTGCTCAAATGTGTGAACTGGATGTGTGTCCCGAGTTGCCGAATGACGAGTCGTCCGTCGCTTTTTCAAGTGGTCTCATCCCTCATTTCCTCTCTTTGCGCACACCCGCTCCTCGCCACGTTTATTTGCCGGGAGCTGCAGTAGAAGCAAGATGACGAACATTTTCATATGAAAAAATACTACCTACTGACAAATTTTCACTTCGAGACCTAATCAATGGGTCACACGATCGTTGATCGCGCCTTTTTATCGCCTTCCGCCGAGCAGAACATGTCTCGCCTCGCTATCTTTTCTTTTTCTTCCGCCACACTGAGCACCAGAGTTCGACATTATTCGCGCCACGGGCTCTCGACTCACCTAACTCAAAAATCACTTTTTGTTCGAAAATTCTCAGAAAATTGCATATTCTGAGCCAGTATCCCACGAAAATCTTCTCTTTTTACCTTTTCTTTTCCTTCTTTTTTCTTTTGTGTCACACTCGCACCCAGATTATCTTCGAAAACTCACCTCTTTCTCCTATCGCTTACCGTCTTTTCCCATTTTCTGTGCATCCCCCGTTTTCCCTTCATGTTTCTACCGTTATTGCTCAAAACAGGAGTCTCCGCCGATGGTCCGTTGAAGAGCCGCCGGGCAGCTCCGAACCACCCACTATGATTCTTCTTAGAATGGATAACAACAAAAGCCGCGAGTCGTCGTCGGATAGGTCTCCGTTTTGAAAGAAATTGTTCGCAACAAAGAATATTTTCGCGGCGAACAATCTCTTCGGAAATCTGTACAAAATATTTCAAAGCGAACTGTGTGGTTTTTGTTTTTGTTTTGACTGCCTTCCCGGCTTCTGCTGCTTCTGCATCGCTCCGCTCGGCTACTGCTGTTATCTGCTGAACGGAGGAATGACTCATATCGTAGTCTCCGCCCTTCCGCCGCTCTTTCTCGCCCTCTGGCCTTGGCTGATGTCGTCCTTTTTTTGATTAATTTGGTGTTTTGTGTGCCTCGAGAAAGTGGCTTCATCTCCGTCGTCGACGCCTTCTTTTCCGCACCTCCTTCTCCAATCGCCATCATCCTCATTTCAACGCGCGTTGTCCGGACGGAAGGCTCGGGAGAGTGCGGAGACGCAGACACGCTTTGAACCGCCACCGCACTACCCGACCGACCACACCGCGACTATTGATTTTCAATTTGGTCTCTGTGCCACATTCTCTCGTCCTACCTCCTTTTTTCCGACTGCTTTTCCTTTCGGTCCCAATCGTTTGTGTGCGTGTGTGTGTTCGTATTCCCGTTTTTTCGTCTCTTTCGCCTCCCTCGTCTCGATTTCTATTCTTTTCACTGCAAACAGTCCCGAATCTGCCGATCGATCAGGGTCTTGCGGTTCACTCTGTCTGAAAGTTGGCCTGGAATCTATTCGGATTAGCGAGCAGTAGCTAATCTGCTAGAGAAAACGACTAGCAAACTAGCGGACAAGAATTTGATGTTTTCTAGCCTGAAGACTCCATAAAAACCTTTGTCGAATGGCACATCCATTTCATTCCCACTAAACTGAATTATCCACATAATGGATATTTGAAATGCAAATTAGTTGATTCATGTCTGGCAAAATGAACAAATACTCATTCGTGTCAATCAATCAAACGAAAAGAATACTTTTAGAAACATAGATAATTCTCAACTTTTTGATAAATCGGACATGTTTTCTTGATACTATGTGTATTATTTGCGGGTCTTTTTCGAGTTGATCCATTCTCGTTATCGCTCTGCTTTAGTGATGACTCGTTGTCCCGAGCAAATACGGAGCAACGCCCCGTTTCCCAAAGATGACGGGGTTATACATTTGTGACGAGCTGCCAACTTTATCATGCTCCATGCATATTGATAGTGTCCCTTCCCGCCATGTGCTGCTGTCCCGTTTGGCCTGGGGGAGAGCACGACTCTCCCCTTGACGCCTCGTATCTTTTTTTCTGATAAGCGAGGAGACGCCGTCCTCTGTCCTTTCCACACCACTCTCGTTATATATTCGACCGATTTGTTGTCGGTCTCTCTCGCCCCCGCCCCCCAAAAAAATGAACGAGAGCGAATGACACAAAAAGTATGAATAATAGAATGAACGATGTCGATCTCTTCCTCCTTTCGACTGCAGGACAGTCTGGACAGACCCATTGATTGAATCGTTGGGTTTTGTACTGATACCTCTTCCGGTTCTCGTCCTTTCTTCACACATCACAATGCGTGACAGCTTCATTCGTCCTTTGTCCTGTTTGATATATCGTATGGTCCAACTTGTGATCGACTGATAACGTCCTCAGTTTCGACTTTTGTCTCGTCCCCCGCCGCCGCCGCTTTTTGAATCGTGTTGAATAATCAGTCGCGTGTTGATCATTTTGCCATCCGGATCAGTCGTGTGTTCCCTAGAATAAACTGTCATTTTCAGACGGGTGTCGACGTCGACGCGGCCTCGTCAGGCAATCCTATCTGGCCTCTCACACTGGGCACCTTCCGCAATGACGAACGCGCGCGGGAGCAATTCGGCCGCCTCTGCGAGTACGACCAACTCGCAGGGCGTACTCATGGTCGGCCCCAATTTCAAGGTGAGTTTTTGATAAAGTTTTCATAAAATCTCACAGATCTAATACAAAAATTGTCCTTTTTTCCTAAGCGTTCTGGTCAGATTTTACCAGAATTCAACGGAATGCTCTTTTTATGTAGTAAATAAGCTATATCTAGTCTAGACTATCAAGTTGCTTTATGGTCGTTTTGAGTCCAAGCGCATTGGTGAAAAATACAGAGATATATTATCTTTTCGTTCTGAAAAATGAGCTCCAATGACGTTGTTCCATACTTATTTTTCTCGAAATAGTTCCTGTTTTCAGCTCAAAATAGTTTTGACCTATTGTATTTGTCCGTACTTTCCCTAGATCTATGCGGGGGCAATCTGCTCCATTTGCTCAACGGAAATTCGTCAAAAGACACAACGTTATGATGGAGAAATGATGATTGAATTAGCCCTTTCCCTCCCTCTCTCCTTTTCAGGGCTTCTGACATGATGAGTGAGAAACATGGATCAATTTTTGAGGGGGGAGGTTGTTTATAACGTCTGAGGCGGTCCGTCTTCGCTCACCTTGTTTTCTTGTTGTTAGGAATCTGACTGCATAACATGCATTCAGATGCAATTTTTGATGTCGGCCGGATGTATTTTAGGGCCTAAACATTTGACGTATCTAATCGGGAAAAGTAATCAATGATAATTGATTTAAAGGTCGGAAAAAAGATTGGATGCGGAAATTTTGGCGAACTTCGACTCGGAAAAAACCTATATAACAATGAACACGTGGCAATCAAACTGGAACCGATGAAAAGTAAAGCACCACAATTGCACCTCGAATACAGATTTTACAAATTACTCGGACAAGCAGGTATTCAACGAATGAGCGGCAGAAAGCGTTACGCTGATAGATTCTCTTCCAGAGGGACTCCCACAAGTGCACTATTTTGGTCCCTGTGGCAAATACAATGCACTTGTCATGGAGCTACTCGGTCACTCACTCGAAGATCTTTTCGATTTGTGCGATAGGCACTTTTCTCTCAAAACAGTGGCAATGGTTGCCATGCAGTTGGTGAGTCGATTTTGATTGCGTTGAGCCGAATTTTATCATGTTTTGTGTTTCAGATCAGGAGAATCGAATATGTGCACACAAAGCATCTAATCTACCGTGACGTGAAGCCAGAGAACTTCTTGATCGGTCGCTATTCGACCCGCAAACAGCACGTCCTTCACATCATTGACTTTGGACTCGCCAAGGAGTACATCGACTGCGATACCGGTTTGTTTTTGCTCGTTCTTGATGATAATCTGTTTATGAACTCTTCCAGGAAAACACATCGCATACAGGGAACACAAGTCGCTGACGGGTACTGCTCGCTACATGTCGATCAATACACATCTCGGAAAGGAACAATCGAGACGCGACGATCTAGAGGCTCTCGGACACATGTTCATGTACTTCTTGAGAGGAAGTCTGCCCTGGCAGGGATTGAAGGCCGACACTTTGAAGGAAAGATATCAGAAGATCGGGGACACGAAACGGCAAACGGCTGTCGAGGTCCTCTGTGAGGGATTCCCCGACGAGTTTGCCCAATACTTGCGTTACGCCAGACGTCTCGACTTCTTCGAGACCCCAGACTACGACTTCTGCTATAATCTGTTCAAGGCGGTGCTCGACCGACTAGGCGCCACGTATGACTACGAGTTCGATTGGACGCCAAAGTTGAACAATGTGGTTAGTGCTCCAAAAATTTTGCATTTTTCAAATTTTCTTTCCAGTCGACGCCATCTGGATCATTACACACATCGGAATCGAAGGATGTGAAAAGAACTGGTAAGAGTAAATACGTGAAAACAAATTCATTGTAGTTAACAACCTTGCAGATCGCGGAGAGTTGAAGGTCAGCCAGACTGCCGCCCACGCACAGTTTGGATCTACTCAGGTGAGCGTTTCGGTCTCAATATTTTATATTTGTTCACCAAAACGTTTTCTAGGTGATAAACTCGAATGCGGGAGAAGCCGTCGAGGAGGGCCGGAACACGGAAGGTCGGACGGCTGCCGGAGACAATTTGAGTGGAGAGGTGAAGTGCTGCTGCTTCAGGAGACGTCGGAGGAAGCAGAACAACACGTCGACAATGGTGTCGAACAAATAACACAGCGGGTCAATCAGCCTTCTCTGGCCTTCCATTCCGTCCTCTTTTATATGTATCCGCCTATCCATTTCATCGTTTTCTTTTACTTTCCCCGTCATCATTCAAGTGTCTGTGATGATTCTGCGCGCACACCGACGACTCTTTCTACATCTTCATTATATTCTACTCTTTGCATTGTTCATCCTCTCAACATGGTTCTCTCCAGGTACACACTTCTTTTTTGTCTCTGATATTCTCTAATTGCTCACCCAGACATTCGTTTTTCAACTTTCCCCGAGTTCACCAAAAACCTCCCAAATTTTAAGACAAACGGAGAAAGAAAAGAAACACTATTAAGTGAAAAGAAGCAAGTTTACGAAACATTTTTCCGTTTTCGATAAGTGACGGGCTCTCGGGTCCGTAGTTGTAGTGTTAGCGAGACTGTCGAAAGCCGGAATTCCGTCACTTCTTTTCCCGTCAATTTTTTGCATATATCCTATCCCGCTCGCCTTCCTATCAGAATGTTTTCCAAAGAAAAAAAATCGAAACCGATGTATGTTCTCCTTCCTTGTTTATCCACCACACCCAATCGTTTTACCGCCCGTCTATTCCGAATTCTCCAGAAACAGTTTAATCCGATCCCTTCCCTCAATTCTCTTAATCACTCCATCGTCCCAAAAAACGCCTCGACTTCCCTCAAAAACCTTCAATTCTCAACCAAATTAGCGTGGTGAAAAACTTGTGATTTTGCATTATTCAACGTTTTGCTCTCTCTTTCTTTCCTTCCCTCTCGCTCCCTCTCTCTCTCTCTCTCTCTCTCTCTCTCTCTCTTTTCAAATCAGACAATAAGTTTCCATCAAGAATATTCTATTGACCCTTTCCTTGTGTAGCTTCCGCTCCAGCCATCCCAAAAGCACCGTCCACCCCCCTGAAGAGTTTCTCCACATGATTCATAATTTACTGGATTTTTATCGACTTCTTATGGTTTTTCCCTCTCTCTCCGCTCCCCCCATCTCTTTATGACTATCATTATGATTATTTTATTATTATATATTTTTATATTATTTATGTGACAAAAAGAATGAATTCCATCCATGTGACCCCTAAAACACTATCTGCTGATTTGCGGAAGGGGCGTGGCCACCACTTTCCTCTCACGTTCTTCTCTTTCTTTCTCGTTGTGTCTGTGTACGTGACTCATCGAAACCGTCTTATCTTCATTCACTTCCTAACTGTTTTCCACCTTCCCGGAAATCTATAATGCCCTCCTCAAGCAGTGGTCCGATGTCGTTCCACACTCCGCTCAAGGAGCTCCAACCGGTGGACACTTCCCTCCCCGAGCACATGATCAAGGGCGCCGTCGTCATCGACAAAGAGTTTTCCGCGTGGAATCGGCGCGCCGTGCTCCCGTCCACCGTCCTCCACACCGTCTTCATCACCATAAACCGACTCGAGCAGAAGCAGGAGGACGTCGTGCGGAACGCCGCGCACGAAATGCATCTGCCGGAGGAGGAGATGTACGGACTGATGGCCGACGGACCGAAGCGGTTTATCACGGACGAGAATCTGAGTCAGCTGGAGAGCGGGTTCATTCTGACGCTCTGCGCTTCGCCCGATCATTACGTGAAACGAATCACCGAAATTTTGACGGAGGGAAATAATATTTCACAGATGGAGAATGCAGTCAAGACTCTCGATGAGTTCTCGCTGGTTCGTCTCTTTTCTGCAAGACTTTTGAGCCAGTTTCTATCCAAAAGGTTTTATGGCCTGAACTTTGATTCAGTTGCACTTTTCCAATCGGACCAAGACTTTTGAAGTATCGGGCCCACGTTTCCGACCGATTGGATTATAATTTGCGTATTAAACGTCGGAAAAGCGGCTGTTTTCGTAAAAACTCGGGATTTTCGACCTCCCATCCACACTCCCAAGTATTGATGCAGAACAGGCGCAGGCGCCTAAAATCGCCTGTTCTGCATCCTTACTTCCAAGTCTAAGAAGCCCGCAAATCTTGGTTCCGATCAGATTATTGCAACAGTGTCAAAAGTTTAGGCTTCATAAATCCTAGGCCGGCCTTTGCCCAGCCCTGATGAAAATCGAGCAACGATGGGCCCGATTGAATAATTGATCTTTAAAAAAAATCACTCTCACTTCCAGGATTCAGCTCTCATCGAAGCCTTCTACCGCTGCTCCTCGCTCGAACTCCTCTTCAGTCTCATCCGGGACGACCGCGTCTGCATGAGCTCCACGCTTCTCTCCACGTGTCTTCGTGCTCTTTCCAGTATGCTCGAGCTCGCCGTCGAAGATGTCACTTGGAAATCGGTGCCGCGCGACGTCGTTGTTTCCGTCGGTTCGCTGGTGACCGGACGGGCGAAAAGGGAAGAGGTGAACACGCTTCTGGCAGCACTGCAGATGATCGAGCAACTCGTTGTTGGGTGAGAAAGGGACTTCAGGCTTTGTGATTGGACGGATCCGTTTTCAGAGACGACACGACGCGGGACTGGATTCTGGAGGAGGTTCCCATTGAAACGCTCATTCGGCACGTGGAGAAGTCTGATGAACGAATTGCCCTTTCCGCATTGTCCCTTATGAATTCGATGATCAGAAGATGTCCGGAAGACGAAAAGCGCTTCGAACTGATCAAGGCTCTGGAGGTCGTTCCTTTCCGAAACGCCGTTCACAGCTCTTTGCTCCGTCTCGGCGCCGCCCGTGATCCGAAGGCGCTGGAACAACTAGTTGAAGTGCAAAGAAGTCTGATCAGTGCCTACGATACTGCACCCCCAACTGACACGGAGATTCAAAAGATTCTGGACATTGAGTCATCGGAAGACGTGCCCGAAGAGACGATCGATACGTGGCGAACCCAAATCGGAGAGCATCGATGCGGCCGTCTTGCCACGTTCGCGATGGCCCAGTTCGCTGAAAAGAGCCCACAAGACCTTAGAATGCTCATCTCGGAGAACACGATGCGCATCGAAGGGGGCAAATGGCAGCTGATCCCGATGTGTCTCCGGTGCTGTGACATTGTTGCCGAGCTCTTCGGACTCATTCCGGAACGCGATGAGCTCGAGCGTCTCATCGCGGTGCTTTTCTCCGCGGAAGCCCCGTTCGCGGCCGTCTTTGCCTGCACCGTCCATCTTTTCCATCGAACGTGGCGAGAAATGCAGGCGAAGGGCGGAGAAATGGAAAAAGTGGCGAATGTTGTGTCGGAGCAGTTGAGGCATGTGCTGAAACGGAAAGAGATGCAAGACGTCGAGATGCTCGCAGAAGATCTTGAGACGTTCTCGTACAAGTCGATGCAGGAGATCTGGAGAGAAGAGCAGTTGGGCAAGGAGAACGATCAGCTGCACAGCCAGGCGGTCATCCAGCTGGCGGGAAAGCTCCGTCCTAAACTGGAAGAACTAGTGAGAATCAATCATCTGAATTACTTGAAGCACGGCGCCGTTTTTCGAAAACCAGCGAAAGGAAAGTCGCTGGCAAAGACGGCCTTCTGGCACTGGAAGCTCGATTCATCGGAGAAAATGCTAACGATCACAATGTGCGACGGAGAGAATTATGTCGAAGGAGGGCAGAAGGAGGAGACGAGGCAAGTGTGGCTGAAGGATGTTGCGGACGTGACGAACAACGACGAGATCGATCGGAAGGCCAGCTCATCCCGATTCGCATCCTCGCCGTCCACGCTGATGTTGAGAGGAGTCAGAGTTCAATTGAAGGAAGGAGAAGTGCTGATGGCGTTGACGGCGGACGAAGGACAGGCGGCCATTTGGCAAGAGGGACTGTCCCAGCTCATCGGCAATCACGAGATCCGCAGGTTATAGGGAGAAGAGTTCATAAATAAAATTGTTGGGTTTTTCAGTCAAACCCACGCGATGGTCGAGAGAATGCTCAAAATGGAACTGCGAGTTCGTCTGCTCAACGTGAAGCTTTCCAACAGAGACGAACGCCCTGAGATTCCACCGATTCCTGCAGACTTTTCCAGCATTATCACCAATTTCTGAGTTTTCTTTGCTTTATATATTGTACATCCATCCCATATTGCTTTATCGAACTGATTTAATAATTTCCCATCGCTTTAAACCACCCTTCTTGTGAATATTCCAACGAGTTGCAATCTTTTTCACTTTGCATTTTCAGCATAATAAGAAATTTCGAACTGGTCTACTTAATTGTGATGATATCTCTAGGATAGCCATTATGCACAGGCTGCTCTCAGTTTTTTGAAGAAAATAAAAGTGCTCCAGTGAGAGCTTCTCCAATTCCAGATGAGTCGGATAAAGGAGGTGAAATCGGAGCTCCGTCAGTTCATGAAACAGTTTCTGGAGAAGGTGACTCCGGAAGAAACGAACAGACAAAGCGAGGCGGTCTCTCGCAAGGTTTTGGACTCAAAATGGTTCCAAGAGAGCAAAAGAGTGTCCGTCTACGTGAGCACCACCGGAGAGATCCAGACGGATTCGATCATCCGGGCGGCTCTCGAAACGGGAAAGGATGTGTTCATTCCACAGGTGGGAAAGTGCGCTCTAATGAGAGAAATATTCAATGGGCGTTGCAGTTCGTCAGAGGTTCGACGGCGATGCAAATGGTTCGGGTGCCAGATCAGTCAGCGTTCTCTGCCCTTCCGACCACGCTCTGGGGTATTCGACAGCCGAGTCCCAAGTGGGAATGGGACGGTTTTCAGCGGACAGGTGAAGTCAATCTTTCCGGAAAGCATCTTCGAGAAACCCTCATCTGATTGAATTTAGTCAAATTTAGCCTGTAGAAATGGAGCTTCCACTGAGGGTTTCTCATGTTTCACAGGTCTGAGAAAGACCACCTTCCGTGTTCATTCCCCAATCTCTAATGGTGCTCCTTCCAGGCCCTCTGGATCTGATCCTAACTCCTGGCGTCGCATTCACTCCCTCGGGGCTCAGATGCGGACACGGAAAGGGCTATTACGACCGCTTCTTCTCCAACCATTTCTCCTATTTCCCTGAAAGAATCCCTCGCAAAGTGGGATTGGCTCTGCGCGAACAAATCGTCCAAAGTGTGCCAGTTTCGGAGAGCGACGTTCAGTTGGACGAAGTCGTTTACGAAGGAGACGTCATTCGATCGGACCAGGTGTAGTGGGGCAGCGAGTATCTAGATGATGGCATTGATATACATTCCACTCCTTCTGTGATTTAATTCAGAATTCTTCTGTTATGTTATTTAATAAAGTGTTACTTGTAAATGACTTGAAATCCGGCGGTCAGCGTGAATTGGAAATCTGAAACTCCAGAGAAAGTCTTTTTTTCTGATTTATCGAGTTTCAGCAATCCTTGGAGTACTCGTTTAGAATCAAGAACTTCCGAACTAATTGGTCGAAATGTTGAACAAGATCTTTCAGAAAGAATGTGAAGGTTGCGTCGGTTCATGAACAGTCTTGTACAAACAAAGATCTTGAGAGAGTTGCCGCTCATTTCGAAACTTGTCTAATCTTTATTTAATTGTAGATGAGTAGGTTAGGATTTACTTTTTGGAGTATCTCCAATAACGAGAGAAAGAGATGGAACACTTGAAGTTTCATTTCCACAGGAAGAACAGTTTTATAGTGTGGGCTAGCCAACTTACCAACTCATATCTAGAACTACAAGTTCCAAGACGTAAAACCAATGATTAATCATCATGGGCATCATATCAGTGGTATTCTGAAAAAGATAAGTTCCGTGCAAGTGCACACTCTCATTCTCAATCTCTCTCTCTCTCTCTCTTTGCGTATTTCCGTTTCCTTTCTCACCTTCGCTCCATATGTCGTCTCTTTTCTCAAATATCTTTCCTCTCAGAGAGAGAGAGACCATATGCGACATCTCATTCCGCCTTTTCTTTCTCTCGTCCCCCAACAATAATAATACGGTTCCCCCATTCTCCGATCTCGTGTTTGGTGGCGAACGAGGTACTGGACAAACAGACGGAGGACCCTCTCTCTCTCTCTCTCTCTCTCTCTCTCTCTCTTGCTTCCATCATCATCTTCATCCTCGTCGTCGCCGCCGCCGCCGCCGAGAAGAATATCGATTGGCGACAGTGTGGCGAATCGAGAGGCGCAGACACGTGCATCGCGTGTTGTAGAGATAGCACGGCGTCCCGAGAGACACATCCCGGGCGCATTCTCTCTAAATATTTTTTCGCTCTAACTCTCTCGTCTCCCTCGCTCGTCTTGAGCCCTCATCATTTGCATAATTGTGTTAATTAATTCCGAGTCTTCGCCCCAATATTTAATTGGGCATAATTTGTTTTTAGCTTCTAGCTTTTCGCTTTTGACCCCACTTCCCTCCTCATTCATTCATTCATTTTTCAGAAATGGCTCAAGACGTCTTCATGGATCCTTGGCAATCGGCGACCAGGTTCGTTTTTTTAAATTGGGCCCAGCAATAATTGGATATGAAATGGACGCCGTTTGATTAGTTCCTATAGGCTATAGCCGGAGAGACCGACCCCCAAATATATCACATTTCCAGTCTTACACTGACTTTTCGTCGCGACGACGTTGAAAAAGAAACGTCCATCACTTTTTGTGTGATGACGTCATAGTGATAAGCGACGCGCTTGTTATCAGTCAAGTGTTTCAGTTTTTCGATGGAAGACGAAGAGATGGGAATGCCGTCCGGCAAGTACGCCAGAATGGACGACGAGATGGGCGAGAATAAGGAGCGATTCGCGAGGGAAAACCATTCCGAGGTGGGCACGGATTTCTATACGTTCAGTTTTCTTCTTATTGCGATATGGTGTTCGCACACTCCTGTTGTCAACCGTAACCGTTGGCTTCTCGAAGTTTACGATTTTGAGCCATTTTTACTGATTCTCCACCCGATTCCTACAAAAAGTGGTGTTTTCAAGCGCCAGTCATTCATATTTGTCGGAATTCTGTGGGAAATTAGTGAAAATAGCAACAAAAAAAATCGGGTATTCGGCCAAAGTGGCGGTTACGGTTGACAACATGAGTCTGCAAACGCGACACCGCTAGAAAATACGACACCGTACCAAGAAGCCTCTTAAATCGTCTTGCTCTTCTTCAGATCGAACGGCGGCGCCGCAACAAAATGACGCATTACATAAACGAACTGGCCGAGATGGTTCCGCAGTGCGCTTCGCTCGGCCGGAAGCCCGATAAACTGACGATTCTGCGGATGGCGGTGGCCCATATGAGGGGCATTCGGGGACACGCCGCACAGGATGAGACCTCCTACAAACCCTCTTTCCTCACCGATCAAGAACTGAAACATTTGATTCTGGAAGCGGCCAACGGATTCCTGTTCGTCGTCTGTTGTCAGACCGGAAAAGTGCTCTACGTGGCCGATTCGATCACACCGGTGCTCAATTTGAAACAAGAGGACTGGCTTCAGCGGAATTTGAACGAGTTGATCCATCCGGACGATCAGGATAAGATTAGAGACCAATTATGTGGGAGCGAGGTGGCCGTAAACAAAGTGCTCGACCTGAAGAACGGATCGGTGAAGCGAGAGGGGGCCTCGACGCGAGTGCACATGTCCTGTCGACGTGGATTCATCTGCCGTATGCGTGTCGGCGCACTCGAGCCCCTCCATCGGCTCCGAAACCGTCGGCCGCTCTTCCAGCACGCCGGCCAGAACTACGTAGTCATGCACTGCACCGGCTACATCAAAAATGCGCCGCCACAGGGAATCAACGCGCCCGCTTCTTCTTGTTTGGTGGCAATTGCCAGGCTTCAAGTCGCCTCGATGCCCGTCTGTGCGGACCCTTCCTCCACCAACCAGTTCTCGGTCCGAGTCGCCGAAGACGGAAAGATGACGTTCATTGACTCGAGAGTCAGTGATCTGATCGGATTGACCAATGACCAGCTGATCGGACGGTACTGGTGGGCCCTCGCGCATCCGGCCGATGAGAAGACCCTGCAAGACGCGTTCGTCGCACTTTTAGCGTACGTTGCTCACAATTCCGATTACCCTACCTTCTATATTTTAGAGATCAGCCAATGCGGATCAATATCCGAGTGCGGACAAGCACCGATTACGTCCCTTGCACAGTTTCCGCATACAAGTTCATGAATCCTTACTCGGAACAGTTCGAGTACGTCGTCGCCACGCATCAGATCGCTCCACAGGAAGACATAAACAATTGGGTCGCCGCCGCGCCGCCAGCACAACCGGCAGCCTTCGAAGCAGCTGGAAACGCGGATTATGGAGCGTCGGGGAGCGGATGGAGGCCTGAAGGTCCGCAGCAAGCACCGCCTGCTCAATGGCAGTGGGATCCTATGAATGGCTACAACCAATGATTCCTTACTTAACTTTTTCGGCCTATTCTATATGATTCTCACTCTCCCTACTTCTACTCTAGACAGTTTTACTTCCCCCCTCCCTTTCCCTCTACCTATTCTTACCCAGTATTTTCTGTTCTGTGTGGACCAATGAGCTATTTGAAATGTTTGAAAATTGTACATTATCCGATCACTAAACCGCTTTTATCATCATCATCATCGAAAACAACGAAAGAAATAAACTATAACAAAAATAAAATCTGAAAAACCACTCATTTTGGTTGATTCTGAAGAATGTAGTCTGTGGCCGAAGTTTCCGTCGATTTGTGCTCTGAGAAGTGTTTCTTTGGCAACTCTTCCGTGTTCATCGCCGTCGGAAGCCACGTGATCGGTGTCCACTGTCCTTGAACCGATGGGACCAAGGCGGACTGTCTGCTCTCGAGCTTGACCACCGGCTCGCCGCTCCTCGAAAAAAGCAAATGCACATCTTTGCTCACTTCCGACTCGCTCATATTCTTCGCATTGATCTGCAATGTCCGTCCGTTTCCGTATTCCGCCCGGATTGATGGGTTCGAATTGCGCACTGGCTGCGCGTAAATTACAACTGACGGGTTCTGTCGGCCTGAAAATTACAGATGTTTATGAATTCTGGTGCTAAAAATTTACAAGCTTACCAATTTCAACAAGTTGATTCTCGATAAAATTTCGGACGCCCACACTCGATTCGCTCTGTTTGCAAAATCGAACGGTGACGCGATGCAGCTGATTTGTGTAGCGGGAGATGCCGTTGTACGCCGGGATTTTCAGAAAATCCGAGAATCTCCAACCAAAATTGAGTGCCTTGGCGGCTGTGTAAATGGGCTTGAGACGATCGACGCGTGGAACGGATGGCATCTGTAAATAAAAATAACTAACTAAAATGAAATGAACGATATCAAAACCTATTTGTTCGAAAATAAAAAGTTAAGAAAAGAGGAAAGAAAGAGAGCAATGAAAATTAAGTTATTCGGGCGAGGAGTGATGCAAGTGCGCTCTAATGCACGGATTTCTTTCGGCGGGTTTTCAAACGCTATATTTTCATGAAAGCGACCTGATTTTCGAATTTTTGTGGCATCAATAATAGCCTCACGTGATAGACCGCAAAATTTTTGTGTTTTGGCGCAATCACTAAAAAATCCACAAAATAAAAATACAAAAGTTAACAATAACATACTCCTGAAAAATACATTTTATTGATTTTGATACGATTCGGAAAGATTAGTTTCAATTGTTTCTTTTTTGTGATTTACTTGTTAAAACTATGTTAAAATATTCCAAAAACATAAAAAAAACAGAGACCAAAAAGCTTATTCCCTGTGTATTTCACGTGAAAAAGTCTGCGGATTGGTCGTTCTTTTCTCTCCCGTCTGTACCTTGTTCCAATAACTTGTAGCCTGTTTCCAGATGGCATTGGCAACGATACAATCGACAATAACTACTGCGTAAGTTTTTTCGTTTGAATGCGCTTTCGAAACGACTTTCAGAGCGAATTGGATGAGTCTCACAGACGAAAGCCTGGAAAGGTTAAAACGGGTCGAAGCACGCATTCTGAAGTCTTCTGATGTAAATTATGAATCGCAGTTTGTGCAGGTGAATTACACTATTGAATTTCAAGCGAAATAACCTTTTTCCTTCAGGTCCGGTTCAAAAAAGGCGAGGTTTACACTGTGAGCGTTAAACCACGGGACACGAAAGAAACGAACGGCGACGCGATTGTTCTGATTCCCGGATTGGCCGCCGGAGTCGCCATGTTCACTGCGAACTTCAACGAATGCGCCAAGAATCATTTCGTTCACTCTTTCGATCCACTCGGATTCGGCAGGTCCTCGCGGCCTCGTTTCAGCGGAGACAATGCGATTTCCGAGTTGGAAATGGTGGAGGCGATGGAAGATTGGCGGAAAGCGATGGGAATCGAGCGGATGTACATGGTCGGACACGGACTGGGCGGCTATCTGGCCAGTGCGTACGCCCTCGAACATCCGTCCCGCGTCGCCCATCTCATTCTCGCCGATCCGTGGGGATTCGCGGAGAAAGTGGAACCAAACGAGAAATTGGTGGGCACAAAGACGATCCTGGATGATAAAACCTCTCGCCAAGTGATTTCAGATAAAACCGTACGCGTGGATGTCGTTCCTCGGCGGAGTCGCCGGTTACTTCAACCCCTACATGCCGCTGCGGCTGATGGGACCGTACGCGCCGGCGATCGTCAGGAAACTGCGACCAGATCTGGCCATTCGATTCCCCGGAATGCGCGACAACGACATCTACAAGTACGTGTACTACCTGAACCTGCCGGATCCCACCGGAGAAACCGCCTTCCACAATATGACACTTCCCGTCGGATGGGCCAAGCGGCCCATGATAAAAAGGTAATTATCGGGCATTGTTGGGCGAAAAATATTCACATTTCAATTTCAGATTTAATGGAATAGACAAAAGCGTCGGTGTGACGTTCGTGTACGGAAGCAAGAGCTGGATTGATCCGGGACCGGCGATGGACATTCAGCAGGCGAGAGAAGACTCCTACGTGGACATCAAAATCATTCGAGGAGCTGGCCATCACGTTTACGCAGACGATCCCGACGCATTCAACTCCATCGTCTTGGATATTGTCGAAGGAAGGCTGGCGGTGCCAGTGGATAGTATCGAACTCGAGGAACCATTCCAATCTGACTAGCTCTATGTAAATATCACAGAAATCTATCTATTTGCACCCTTTCCTAAGTCACACTCAGTGTTGTTCGAGTTTTACCATTTTTTGTTAAATTTTTGAGAATAAAAATGTTAAGTTTACCTTCTTTTATATGTTTTTCCTCGTTGTTTTCAATAAATTTCAATGGAGTTTCATTCACCGACACAACGTTTTGCCAAGTTTGCGCCTTTTATTACAAACGAGGCTGTACCGTTTGGGGAGAAACGAGAAAACGAAAAGGCGAGAAAGGGGCGGAGCTTCAAGAATGTTCAAGAAAAAATACAGCATCCGATCAACTGAAACCAAAATGGGTCTTAGAAGCATCTTAGACCTAGAAACGCTCGAGTGGCAGTGTTTGAGACGACATCAGCTGTACATGCAAAGAGAAATCTTTTCCTTTGCCTTTGCGATTTCTGAGGATCCCATTGCTTCCGAATGGGATCCAGTGATGCTAACATACTCATTCAGTTGTGTTTCATCAGATTGTTTCATCAGGACCGCAAAAATTTTAAATAGGGCCAGGCAGATGTACTATGGTACTCGTGTAAAACAAGTGTCCACCAGAAAAATAAAATAATAAAAATGAATAAGAAAATAAGGTCCCTCTCAGACCTCCAGGAAAAACATGGGCCCCCTAAAATAAAGAAGGGTCCCCTCAGAAAAACAATGGTTCCTGGTCGGACTTTTTGAGAATGGATGATAAAAACCGCTCTAAACTAGTCTGAGAAGTGTCTGTACTTCTGTCCAATTTACAATATTCCGATCGGACCCAAACTTTGCAGGCTTCTTGGACTTGAAGTATTGAAGTATTTGGTAGGCATAATTTTGCAGTTTGGCCGCACGCAATTGAAGCTCCGCTCTTTTCTCGCCTTTTCGTTTTTCCCGTTGTCGCGGTTCCCCTTTTCGAATTTCCCCTTTTCGTTTCTCTCGTGTTCTCGTTTCTCCCCAAACTGTATGGCCTCATTCAAACTACCGCGCATTAGATTAAAGGCGCATACGCCGCGGCCGCCGGCGGGTCTCGCAGCGATTGTCGTTATCGTTCAATTTTCGTATTTTTTGCAATTTTTTTTGCTCAATCAAGAAAAAACGTTAATGAAAAATGATATTCTGCGATATTTTATTGACTTTTCGTCTAGAATTAAATTTTTCACTCTGGAATTATAAATTTTCCTTGATAATAACAGTAGAGCTATAATTCCGGTTGATTTATACTTTCGAAAATAATAATTCTGTTTAAAAACAAAGTTTTGAAATTTCAGGGTACCCCTGGGACGAAATGAGTTCCGATCTTTATGCAAATGCTATTCTCTACAGCGAAGTCTCTCGAAAGCACCCCGAGTTTGTGCCGAAAATGTTTAATGAAGCGACTAGAAAAAAATTAGACGCATTTGTGAGTTCTTCAAACGTCACGACATGTTTTAACTGAACTGTTCTAGTTGAAAGACAATGAAGCGCCGAAGCTGAAAGATATTGTCACCGACGGTATCTTCAAGAAGAGGAAGCGCACTGCTTCCACATCTGGCAACGAGCCGCCGTCCAAGAAAGTTGCCGCAAAGGAAGCACCGAGTTCAGATTCGTCGGATGATGGTGCCGTCAAAGTAAAAAAGGATTCAAGCAAGACCTCGGTTAAACGTATTTTTTTCAGAAGAATGGAACTCAGAAGCCAGTCAATGTCGCTGCCAAAAAATCCGCGACTCCAGCTCAAAAGAAGGCCGATTCGAGCAGCGACTCCGACAGCAGCGCTCTTGCCAAAAAGTTGACGTCTGCATCGAAACCAGCTCAAACTCCAGCTCAGAAGAAGGCTGCTTCTAGCTCGGATAGCGACAGTGAAGACGAGGCTCCAGTAAAGAAGGCCCCAGCTAAGCCAGTTGTTACTACTAAGGCTGCTCCGAAGAAGGCCGCCTCTTCCTCGTCTGACGACTCTTCTGACGATGATAAGAAGCCGTCTGCCTCCAAACCAACTCCAGCCAAGATTGCCACTCCTGCTTCTAAAAAGTCAGAGTCTTCATCTGACTCTTCTGAGGATGCGGCTCCAGCGAAGAAGACGCCTGCCAAGCCAACTCCTGCCAAGCCAACTCCTTCCAAGCCAGCTGCTGCTCCGAAGAAGGCCGCTTCCTCCTCTTCCGATGATTCCTCTGATGACGAAAAGAAGAAACCTGCTGCTAAATCAACACCTGCGAAGGCTGCTCCGAAGGTGGCTGCTAAGAAGGCCGAATCGTCGTCCAATGATTCTTCGGACGACCATAAGAAACCAGCTGCCAAGCCAACTCCTGCCAAGGCCGCCCCAGCAAAGCCTGCTTCGAAGAAGGCAGAGTCATCTTCTGACTCTTCTGAGGATGAAGCTCCAGCAAAGAAGGTCCCAGCTAAACCAGTTGTTACTCCAAAGGTTGCCCCAAAGAAGACCGCCTCTTCCTCGTCTGATTCTTCTGATGACGATAAGAAGAAGCCTGCCGCCAAGCCAGCCCCAGCTAAGGCCACTCCGAAACCAGCTGCTAAGAAGGCCGATTCCTCTTCGGATTCTTCTGACGACGAAGCTCCAGCCAAGAAGGTTGCTCCGGCCAAGCCAACCCCAGCTAAGCCGGTGATTTCTGCCAAGATGGCTGCATCCTCTTCCGATGATTCTTCGGATGATGACAAGAAGAAACCAGTTGCTAAGCCAACTCCTACCAAGGCTGCTACTCCAGCTAAGCCAGTCGCTAAGAAAGCTGATACCAGCGATTCGGACAGTGATAGCGATGACAGTGACGCTGGAAAGAACAAGAAGGCACCAGCCAAGGTTAGTTGTTTTTTTTCGTTTGATGCTCATTTAAATTTTTTAGGCTGCTCCAGTCGCTGTAAAGCCAGTCGCCAAGAAGGCTGCTTCTTCTGGTTCCTCAGATTCTGAAGACAACAAGAAAAAGCCTGTTGCTGCGCCCGCCAAACCAACTCCAGCTAAGAAGACTGTCTCCAGCTCTGACGACTCATCCGACGACGAAAAGAAACCTGCCGCAAAGCCAACTCCTGCGAAGGCAACCCCAAAGCCTGCTGCTAAGAAGGCCGAATCGTCATCGGATGATTCTTCGGACGACGGGAAGAAACCTGCTGCCAAGCCGACTCTTTCCAAGGCTGCTCCATCTAAGATAGTTGCGAAGAAAGCCGAGTCTTCCTCGGATTCTTCTGACGATGAAGCTCCTTCAAAAAAGGCCCCAGCTAAGCCGGTTGTGACACCGAAGGCTGCTCCAAAGAAGGCCGCTTCTTCCTCGGACGACTCTTCCGACGACGAGAAAAAGCCAGCTTCCAAGCCAACTCCAGCTAAGGCTACTCCCAAGCCTGCTGCCAAGAAAGCGGATTCTTCTTCGGATTCGTCTGACGATGAACCTCGAGCTAAGAAGACGCCTGCCAAGCCAACTCCAGTGGAGGCTGCCCTTAAAAAGGCCGCTTCTTCTTCTGATGACTCTTCGGACGACGACAAGAAAACCAAGAAGCCAGCTGTGATTCCGGCGAAGGCCACTCCAGGTAAGCCGGTTGCGAAGAAAGCTGAATCCTCTTCTGACTCTTCTGATGATGACGCTCCAGCAAAGAAGGCCCCGACGAAGCCAGTTGTGACGCCGAAAGCTGCTCCTAAAAAGGCCACCTCTTCCTCGTCTGATTCTTCCGATGACGAGAAGAAGAAGCCTGCCGTCAAGCCAACCCCAGCTAAGGCCACTCCGAAACCAGCTGCTAAGAAGGCCGATTCCTCTTCTGATTCTTCTGACGACGAAGCTCCGGCCAAGAAGGTTGCTCCGGCCAAGCCAACCCCAGCTAAGGCCACTCCGAAACCAGCTGCTAAGAAGGCCGATTCCTCTTCGGATTCTTCGGACGACAAAGCTCCAGCCAAAAAGGTTGCTCCGGCCAAGCCAACCCCAGCTAAGGCCACTCCGAAACCAGCTGCTAAGAAGGCCGATTCCTCTTCGGATTCTTCTGACGACGAAGCTCCAGCCAAGAAGGTTGCTCCGGCCAAGCCAACCCCAGCTAAGGCCACTCCGAAACCAGCTGCTAAGAAGGCCGATTCCTCTTCCGATTCTGACGACGACGAAGCTCCAGCCAAGAAGGTTGCCCCGGCCAAGAATACTCCAGCTAAGGCCACTCCGAAACCAGCTGCTAAGAAGGCCGATTCCTCTTCCGATTCTTCTGACGACGAAGCTCCAGCCAAGAAGGTTGCTCCGGCCAAGAATACTCCAGCGAAGGCTGCTCCAAAAAAGGCCGATTCGTCTTCTGACGATTCCTCCGATGACGAGAAGACTTCGAAGCCGGTTGCCACACCATCCAAGGCGACACCAAAGGCTGCTCCAAAAAAGGCTGAGTCTTCGGATTCTTCCGATGACGATGAAGATATGCCAAAACCGTCGAAACCCACTACAAGACAAGTTGTTCGAGCCGCTTCCGAAGAGTCCGCCGAAACCGAAGAGAGCACTTCAAGAACTCCATCTCTGAAGGCTAAGCCATTGGCGACGTCGACGGAAAAACCAGGTCACGAGAATCGCAAACGGAAGTCGTCCCCTTTCCGCCGTGTTCAACTGACAAAAGATAGCGTTTCTGAAAAGTTCAGAAATAACCAACATGACTCGGTGAGAATGATTCTCACGTTGTTTCGCTAATAATTTTTACTTTTCAGCAATTCGATCAGTGGGGTCAGCGTGCCAATGAGAGCCTCGGGAAAGTTGTCGGCAAGGCTTTCCGTCACGAGAAGACAAAGAAGAAGAAGGGAAGCTACGGAGGTGGTCCGATCAATCAATCCATCAACTCAATCAAGTTTTCCGACTCGGATAACTAATTCAACTTCTCGATTTTTAATGTTTTACTTTTAACCTTGTTCTGCTGTTTTCCCTCAAAACCGTTGTCTGTTGTTTTATTATTTTTCGTCCCTTCAGTAAACCGTTATGCCGCGTCCAATGTCTCGGAAAAACCGTAAAAACCGCAGATTTGTCCAAAGTCGGCCGAAATTTGCGTGAAAAACGGGGGTGTGCACAGCTCAATGAGTGTAACCGTACCCCTAAAACTACGGTATTTTTTGAAAATTTGTTAGTTTATTGAGGTTATTTGAAAATATTCAAATTTCTTGCGCAAATTTTCAAAAAATACCGTAGTTTTTTTCGGCCGACTTTGGACAGAAAAACCTGCGGTTTTTCCGAGACATTGGACGCGGCATTATGAATTGTTGTTTTTGTATACTGCTGTTACCGCTTTCGTTCTTCATCCTGTCCAATGCCTCCTTTGAAGTCCGCAATGTTGCCCAATTGTTTTGATTTCTGATTCATATCGTCAATTAGTGTTTATTGGCATTTTGGCCGCAAAATAGATAATGATAATTGGATGAATAAATGAAAGAATGGAAATATTCGTGATGGTCAGTGACCATTGGTCACTGTTCGCGTGCCTCGTACTTTTGCATGTCTCTGAAGTTGCTGACGAATCCAGAGAATAAATGGCCGATTTTGGAGTCGGCGAACTCGCTCGGGGTGATCGGCTTCGTCAGCTGCAGAAGATCCCTCATTTCGCAGTCGATGACGTCAGGATCGAAGTTCAGCGGCTCTTCGGTTTGCGTCACGTATGCCTGCAGGATGGTCTGCAAAAGGAATTCGCATGAGAATCTCCAGGATTCGCTCCCACCATCGTTCTGATTTCTTTGCCGTCGAGCAGTCCGTCGTCTTGCAAATCGAACGCTTCGAAGTGGTATTTGGCCGAAGCGCGCGTCTGAAATCACTTTCGTTCATTTTCCGTTCGGACCTTTTCAACTGACGTGACGGAAATCGACAGCACAAACGAGATCGACGAATCCTTTAAAATCGATGCAGTTTTCGTACGTTTGCGAGATTTGGAAGATTCTTTCAATGAAAACTTCGTTGAACAATCCACTGAAGCATTTTAAATGTTGAATTCGGTGGAAAATAGGGCTGGACGAACCCTCTGAAACGGAGCAATTCCTGCGGGGAAAGCACTCCATTTCGGTCCGTGTCGAGGTCTCGAAACTCGCAAATTGTCTCGCGGAACGCTTTTACAGTAAAACTAAACAAGAAATATTGGGACTTCGAAAGAAAGCGAGAACGAACATGTCGACGGCCGGTAACGGGAATCCGCCGTTCTCCGCTTGAATGCAATCCTCCAAACACAGTAGGAGAGTCGAAGCGAGAAGATCCTAAACATATTCTTATTAAGATTCAAATTTTGAATCTGAAGCCGAAACCTGGATAGAGATCAACTCTTTCTTTCGTGCTCCCAAAATAAAGAAGATTATTCCGGCGGCAAACGCGGCGTAGTACTCGGCATTCTGAAATAGAATGTGTTCACGAACTTTGCAAAGTATTCGGAATACCTCGACTTCTTCCACCATCGTTGGAATGTACTCGTTTTTGATATAAGTTTCAAGATTCTGTAAACATTTCATTATTCGATTTAAAAACAAACGATTGATAATCACTCGCCATGCATGAAATTTCGCGGCTGTTCTCTGAAAAGTCGAGCAATTTGATGTAGGTCCTTTCGGAGTGCTCGACAGTTCGCACCAAGTACTCTGGAATTGGTATTTGCAGTATTTTCCGGGCCAATTGACAAACCGATCAGCGCAATGTCAATGGTCATGTTGAAATTGGTCATTTTGACGAGTGCCGAGACGGTGCTGTGTGGCAAAAACTCCCTGATTGTTTCCGGCATCTTCGCCAGAATTTTCTGCAAAAGCGTTGACTTGACAATAGAATTTTCGATTTTTTTCACCACAAGTCTTGTCAGTGTCACATATCTTCTGTCCTGTTCGCCCATAATCGTTTCCGTTTTGATCATTCCGAGAAACCTTGCGAAATCTGCGAACATTTCAATTTTTATAATTTTTCATGCATTGTACCTTTAGATTGGTTCTCAAGTTTGTCGGATCGTTGTTTTGAGAACTTTTCGATCACTCGAATTACAAAATTTCCTGAAATTGCTAAATTTTTTCGATTTCCAAGGAGAACTTACTCTCGAGTTCATCCAAGGCATCATCGTTCCGCTTGGGCATTCGTGATGACGTAATCGTCGGAATGTCTGATTCTGAGGTTGCTGACGTAGAACCCGTTGTTTCCATGGTGACAGGAAAAGAGAAAAGGGAAAAGAACTGAAGAAATTCGAATTCTGAGCGTTCCCGGCAGCAGATGCCAGCAAACGCGCTCCAATGCGAATGTGCTCATTTCTTGGCGCCACGGTTATTGATGTAAAACTTGGAAGTGCAAATAGAAAGTATTCAGCAAAAACAATCATTTCGTCAAATTTTGTGAAAAATTAGCGTTCTCGTTCCTTCAATCCAGGACAGTTGAGCATAGAAACACTTCATTGAACATTGCAAACTTAACTTTGAATAACCAAGCAATAATTGTACAAAGACAGACCCAAACCCAGAGGGAGAAGCAAGCGCAAATAGTAAAACTATCCAAAAAAACCCGCAAAAGTGTAAATTGAAATGGGTCAGAAACTGATGAGAAGAACCGATTTAGGAGGTAAGGTCACGTGGGAATGTTTTATGTCCTCTTCATTTTCCGTCGTTACGTCTCCTTGTCTTCTGGCTCGGCGGCCACTGGCTCGGGTTCCGGCTCTTCCTGCTGGTTCTCAGGCTCTTTCTCTTCGAGATTTCCAACCGGATTCTGAGTGGACGAAGGCGTTGTGGTAGATGGCTGAACAGCTTCTTTGGCAACTTCCTGAGCCTTTTCATGGGTTTGAGTCGTAGTTTCTTCTTGCTTCTTTTCCTCGGGCTTCTCAGTTTTCGGAGAGAGGTTCGCTGCGTTTTTTAGTTCTTCCTTCTCGAATTTGATGCTGAAAGTTTGGAGGTGATTTTGTAGGTTCGAAAGCTCAATTCTTACATTCCAATCGTCTGATTCAGCTGAGTAATGAGTTGGTCCTGCGTGGAAACAAGCGAATTGAGCGCCGTGTTATTTCTCTGAAGCTCTTCGGATTTCACTTTGAGAGCTGCCAATTCTTCTTGCAATTTTGTGTAGTTGTCGGAGTTTGACTTGGTGTCCTTCTCAAGAGTGTCCACTCGGAGCTTCGTATTTCGCAGAGAGACCATGCACTCCTCGCTTTTCTTGCTCACGTCTTCCAATTGCGTCGTCAACGACTTCTTTTCGCTACTACTCGTTTCCAGATCCGCCAAACTTCCTGTAAAAAATTACATGACGTGGAATTCGATTTCAGTTCCTCACCGACGAGCTTTCCTTTTGTCAAACTCAACTGCGCCGAGAGTTGTCTGACTTCTTCGTTAGCCAGAGACAACGTGGCACCTTGTGCTTGATAAACGTAGAAAATGTAGAAGAAGAGCACCTGAATACAGGGAACCAATTGCTTTCAATCAGCCAAGGAGCTAGCTGTTTACCAGGCACATGAGAAAAACGAAAAGCGGCCAGTTCCTCATGGTTGTCGGTCGATCAGAATGCGAACTGTTCCTGCAAAATAAAGAAGATTAAGCAAATCAAACTTGCAAAAGAGAGTAGAGCTTCTGTTTGCTTTTTACAAAATGTATGGATATTTAATGCCTCGGCCAGCGAAAGCCACGTTTTGGGAGCGAATCGGGACAGAAATGTATTGAATCGACGACGTGGCGGACGAGGGAAAAGGATGTTGTGGTGTTGAAAAGCAAGCGCGGACGGGGGTAGATTTCGGAAGGATTAGCCTATGATCTCGAACCTTTGCACGATCATTTTCGGTTTTGGCATCTATCATTTGGCATTGGGAACTTCGGAAGAATGTTCTTTATAGAAACAGAAACTTCTAAATTCGAAACTCTACACGATCGTCGAGAAACTTACAAGAAATGTCTGCGATTCTGCGACCAGAACGGCCTTCTTCTTCTGCCCAGCAAAACAGAATACCACATCACTAAAAGTATTGGAACGCTCGATTCTCATTTTTCTGTTGTTTTCGTTCTCGCTTTTCTTTCAAAAAACGATAAAAACCGAGTATCGAACCGGAGCGCCGGTACGCACTAAACTCGTAAAACTCCGGAAAAATGAGCCATAAAACCGAGAAAATATGTGCGGTTTTACAGTTTTTGTACTTTTTCTTTGCACTTTGAACTGTTTTTTCTAGACAAGGCTTCTGGGGAAATTCAATTTTCCGAGTGCTCTCGGAGCAGGACTGTTTTTGTTTTTGATTTTTGTGCTGCTCCGCGGAACTCCGATGGCATTTTCAGAGCGATATTTTTGCGAAGAGAACTTACCGTATGAGCGGCTTTCTGCTGGATGACATGGCCGAAGGGATGTCTTTTGTGATGATGGGCGATGATGATACGGGCGAACCGAGCGACGGCAACGAGATTCCCGAGACGCAGACGCCCGAAATGCGTTGGAAACCGCGGCGGACGCAGAGAGTGGTGGCGGCGCGGAAGGGGCAGAGAGCGAAGGGAATGCGGGGCCGCCTCTCTCGGCGGACAGGACACTCACCGACGCTCACAGACACTCACACAGCACGTTGTATCGCTGCCTCTCATCTTCTTCGTTTCTCCTCCGTCTGTTTGTCAGTGTTCGCATTGTATTCCCCTGGAATGCGACCTGTTGTCGCTGCTTCCACGTCTGCTGGTACTGATCAGAGACAACGTGGCAGTGCTGCCGCTCCTGCTCCGGCACCGCCTCAGCCATCGTCCGCAGATGTGCACCACAGTTCGGTAGGTGGACCATCCTGAAGAAAAGACGCAGAGAGAAGGAGGGGGAGAAAGAGCGAGTGATAGGATCATCGAGTGATTATTGATTTGATGGATAAGTTTTGAGATTTCTCGAAGTGAAATTTTGGTTTTTTTAATTTAATAGTGTCGAAGATCAGGTGATTGTTTGAAACGTCAAGTTAGTCTGGCAGTAAAAAGTTTTTAAATTATTCACGCATCGAACTAAAATAGATTTTTGCTATTGAAATTTACCATTTCTCCCCGAACCTCTAATATCTGTTGCACACGTCAATAGAAAAGTTCATTGTTCCAAGTATCATATAGACCGTTTCGAGACGATTTGGAGCCAGTTATCAGTGAATGCTGAAAGCGAAAGTTTTCGAAAGAGTGGGAGACTACTGATAAGGGATGTTCACTATGCAAAGAATGAAATCATTAATAGAACCTGGAGAAGAACGTAGGAATTTATCGATTTCGAAATGGTGAATCATTAGATTAGAAGTCTTGGATGAGTCAGCATCATCAGATACTTTAATATCAAAAACCCGTTCACAGAACTTCCAGGACATCCGAGTGGGCCGTCATCGGGCAAAACTCGACGAGATCCGTGCTTCCCTGAAAGCGTACGAGCACGAGGCAGGACCTTCTTCGAATCACCACGCGGCCCTCGGTTCGCAGGCGCTCACGCCTTCCTCCTCGATCAGCGTCAGCCATTCGGACATCACAAATGACAACGCGGAAGTGCCGTCTGCCACCTCGTCGTCGACCGTTTCGAATGCCACTGCCGCAGTCGTTTCGCACTCGAATTCTTTTCGCGTGAGTCATTATTTCTCTTCAAAAGGTCCCATATCAATGAGAGAATTGGGCTGATGTCACAATCAAACTTTGCGGTTTTCAGACGGAAGGAGGACCAAAGATGCGAATTGCTCCGATGCCACAAAGGCATTTGATGGATACGGGGACGGAGATGGTGTACAGAACGGGCAAAGAGATGCCGAGGAATGGGAATGTTGCCGAAGAGGCCATTCGGATACACCCATCCGGGTACAGATACGAAATGCCAACTCCCACGTATCACATGAACAACAACGCGCCTCAGTACTCTCCCGGATATGTAAGACCTTCTTCCGCTTCTAAATTCATAATATCTCTTCTTTTCAGTCCCGACCTCCACCTCCGGCATACGATGCGCCTCCGATGAACACGAGAATGACTCCGGTCGCCGCGGACAACTACCGTACTCATCTGCATATAAAAACACAACCGATTCCGAAGCTCACGAATACGACTCATCTGCTGCATCATAATAAGAATATGGCTCCGCCGCCGCCTGGAAAATCCACAATTTCCATTGAGACCATGTAAGTTTTCGAATGATTATGATGAAATGGAACTGTTATTCTTCAGGAGCGAAGAACGGAAAGCTGACAATATTCAGAGGTTGTATCACACTTCGATGGACAGAAAGACGGCGAGTAGTGTGGTTAGTATCAACGTGGCATCACCGCATACGGTAACAATCAGACGTTGTACTTGTCTACTCAATTAAGATTTTTTTTCAGACAAAAGTGAACGTTGGCGACAGTCCGATACCCACAAAATCATTTATAATCGGTCCGAGGATTCATGCAAATGACCTGGACCGAAAGACATTTGTGAACTACACGGACGAACTGCGTCAGGATCCGAGAATGATCCCCTCCACGTCGGATGCGAATCACGAAGACTTCCGACCGATTCTCTTCAAACCGTCCAACCTCGATATCACTTTCAAATCCCGTCCACAAGCGCCGCCCCCGCAGTACAGTCAACCAAGTGAACCGCCTCCGAAAAGAGTGAGCTCGCCGATCGATAAAGCGCTCCTGGATCCGTACCTCAAGAATATGAGAAGAGTGCAGCCGTGCAAACCGAACATGCTCCGATTCTACATGGAACAACACGTGGAACGCCTACTTCAGCAGTACAGAGAACGGGAAAAGCGGATGAGACAGCTGGAGAAGGAGATGAATGCGGCACAGTTGCCGGACATGATGAGGGAGAAGATGTTGGGCATTCTGCAGCAGAAGGAATCACGATACACGAGACTGCGGAGACAGAAGATGAGCAAGAACCACTTCAACGTCATCTCGCACATCGGATTGGGAGCATTCGGAAAAGTTTCACTGGTCAGGAAGAAGGATACCGGAAAGGTGTATGCGATGAAAAGTTTGGAGAAGGCCGATGTGATTATGAAGCAACAGGTCAAGATAATTATCAAACATTCTCTTAATAATTTTTCAATTTCAGGCCGCCCATGTGAAAGCAGAAAGAGATATTCTCGCGGAAGCGGACTCTCCGTGGATCGTTCGTCTCTTCTTCTCCTTCCAAGACGAATCGTGCCTCTATTTCATTATGGAATACGTGCCAGGAGGGGATATGATGACGTTACTCATTCAGAAAGGAATATTCGAAGAGTCGCTCGCAAGGTAACTCTTTTTTCGAATCACATTCATCTCGTACGGTGTTCTGTTCAGATTTTACATTGCCGAGTTGACGTGTGCCATCGAATACGTGCATTCCGTCGGATTCATCCATCGAGATATCAAACCGGATAACATTCTCATCGACCAACACGGCCACATCAAACTGACCGATTTCGGACTGTGCACAGGATTACGGTGGACCCATGACAGAAGATTTTACGGTCCCGAAAACGAACATCAACGTGTGGATTCGTTTTCACTGCCTCCTGAAGTCGCTGCCATCGACAAAAGCGTCAAAGTGCTGAATGTCCGGCAGCAGACTCGACGCAAGTTTGCCCATTCGGTCGTCGGCACCGGAAACTACATGGCGCCAGAGGTAATAACCCGTTCGGGACACACTCAATCATGCGACTGGTGGTCGACCGGCGTCATTCTGTACGAGATGGTGTTCGGGAGAGTTCCATTCCACGCCGACAAGCCGGCCGAAACACAATATCGGATTGTCAACTGGAGACAATATCTGGATCTCTCCTACGGAACTCATCTCTCCAAGGAATGTCTAATGATGGTTCAGCAGCTCGTTTGCGATGTCTCCACCAGACTGGGATCCAGAGGAGGAGCCGCTCAGATCAAACAACACCCGTGGTTCAATGGAATAGACTGGGAGAATCTGCGCAAGTCGAGAGCCGAGTACATTCCGATGGTGACGCACGACGAGGACACCTCCAATTTTGATACCTTTCCGGTTAGTCCCAAATCCACATAGTTACCTTCTAAAGGAATATGTTTCAGGACAACGACCGAACCGACAAGCCGAACGTGCGCGGTCTGAACAATCCGGCGTTTTACGAGTTCACCTACCGTCACTTCTTCGACACGGATTCCGTCGGCTGCCCTTCTCTCCGTCCGGCACGTCGGAGGTCTCTGCGACCTCTTCTCGAGAACGGAATCTTCGATGATTCAGTGTCGGAGGACGATTCCTCCTCACACATCTGAACAATGAGCCTATCTTTTTTAGTAGTAGTGTCCACATCCCTTACTCACTTTTCTTTCTCTTTTAAATCTCTCTTTCTCACTCTCACTGTGATGATCTCGCTACGGTTCGAGAACTTTTCCCTTTTCAACTTTTCACATCTTTTGCTCAATCATGTTGTTTCCCCTTGTTTCAATTCTCTTTCGGTAATAAACGGAGGTTATCAGCTGGGCAGTGAGTCACGTGCAACTGTCGGCGAACACATGATAAACAATGAAACACATGGCACACTTATTTCGGTCTTTCAGTAGTTTGACCACCGAGACCAGCTATCATCCACTTTCTTTTCAGTATTAGTATCGAAATGTCAACGGACCCCTACACACCAGGAGGTTCATTTTTCCACTCACCTCCGTCTCTCTCTCTCTCTCTCTCTCTCTCTCTCTCTCTCTCTCTCTCTCTCGGCTTCTCCCAGCCAATTCATCCGGAAACTAACAAATCACAGCGCCACGTCATTTGCAGAGCCATGTGGTGTGGCGTGGCATCATCAAAAAACACATGTCCTCGGGCCACTTTCTCTCTCTCTCTCTCTCTCTCTCTCTCTCTCCCTCTCTCTCTCCGTTTCACTTCTCCCCCTTCATCTTGTCTTGTTTTTTCAACTGGAAAAGTGTCGGTGAATTCCCGACACTCCTCCAATTGCCTTTGCTTATCTTCCACGAGTTTGCGTGTCGCCTGACCCCCTTTACAGTTTCTATTGACACATTCCTGCCTACTTTATCAATTATCCGTGTCCTTTTTTCTTTCTTCTCCTCTTTTTTCTTCCGACGACAACCAACCGAACAGTTTGTGTGTGTGCCCCACGAATCATGTTGACATTCCGTCCCTACCATCTCAAACATTTTCAATGCCACGAAAAAAGCTTTTCTTTTCCGCTATTCTTGTTACATTTTTCAATCGGGTAAAGTTGATTTTTGCAAGGATTACTGTAAACACTGTCGTAGAAGGGCACCCCAATACCGTTTGTTCTAGACTATGTATCTCGGCTACCGGCAAAGATATCAGAAAGTAGTAAACTGATAAAGTGTAGACAATGAGTTTATAAACATTTTTGTAGTTGACAACGCTTTGCTATCTTCTCGGGCAGCTGAGATATGTTGTCCTGAAGGAACAATATTGGGGTACCCTTCTATCCTACTTAAGTTTTCATTAATGGTGGTAATGGTGTTCACAATGAAAGTTCAATTATAAGAGTCCTGAACTATTCAGGCGATAGCGTATTCATAAGCAAACTTCAAGAATACTGTAGCTCCTGAAAGCGGTTTGCATGCTAGCTACAGTAATCCTTGGAGTACAAAATGTTCGCAACTTTCAGAACAAAATTAGCCTAGGAATTATATTTTCAGGTGAAACACTACTCTTTTGAAACCAATGCTTGGCGCCGTCCTACGCGTGTTCGAGCTAATCCATCATAAGCTCATCGGAAATGCATGTCTCCTCGTTCCTATCACTCCCTCTTTTTCTCTCTTTTCCGAACCCGCAAAAATAGCTGCGAGAAAGTGAAACAGGTGAGATTCGTCTGCCAAATCGGTTTATCTCTTCGCTCATTTCCCTCTCCTGCCCCACATTTATATGAGTGCCAACACAAATGTAATCTGCCGTCATCATCTCGTTATACTTTTGGCACGAAACCCGAAACGAGCGAGTTTGTACACATTTTATGCCCGCTTTCCTCGTTTCGATAGACAAAAGCGTTGTAGATCCGAAAAAAAGGGCTGTGAGTATCTATGACATATGAATGCAAAGTATTCCCACGCAAAACGAGCTATCGCGATGCCTAACTATAATCTGAAACCTTCTATCTCTCTCTCTCTCTCTGTCTTCTGACAATTTCCAATTTCTTTGGCGGAACTGACTCATCCGTCCCATCCTTTTCTTTTTTTATTGTTACAATATTTTGTACACACATACACACCATTGTACTACGTTTTATTGGATTTTATTAGTTTTTTGCTCATCTAATCAGGAACAAAAGTGGGCGTGGCCTGCACCTGAACGCATTTGATGTTTCCAACATGAATTGTGTCTCATAGTTTTCTCCGTGTGCGTGTGTGCAAATCAAATCCAATCAAATATTTACTCTTCATTTCCTTCGTATCACTAACCGACCGATTACTTAATTTCCTCCTCTTCTTCCGATCTCTAATTCGATCCATTATCCATCCGACAGGTAGGTTGCGTTTGCCACGTCACTTCGAAATTGTAGGGTAAGCGAGAAAATTGGTTTTTTTTTGAAAATGCGTTCGAACAGTGTCACGGAATGTTGCGTGCCGTCCGAGAATGCGATACTCTGCGAGGGAAATCCGTTCGGTCCCTTTGATCTCAGCGAGAGACCTAGTGGTTGGTTTCTCCTGCCTACCTAATAAACTTTCCTCATTTCATGACTCATTTCTTATCCCATTTCATAACTTCTTCGGCAATCTCTGCGTCTCCTCCTCTCCCTCACTATTCTTCCGTTCCGTACGGCCACGCCAATCATCCGAACACGCATCATCCGAAGCCTGGTATATTTTTTCTCGTAAATGGAATTACATAGAATCTAGTTTTGTGTAAGCCGCTAAAGTTTTTGAAAAAATCGGATAGTAATACAGAGGTGCGACGCTTCCGTTTCGTTCCAAAACTTTCTGTTTGGAAGAGAAAAGTGACCCGGGGCGGACGGGCGGTTTGTTGTCTTCCGCGGACGTTTTCTATCATCTTTTCCGTCTAAACAAGACTTCGACGCCTTCTATGGCAACTCGCCCGCCTTCTCGGCCGCCCTCCGATTCGTTTTCTTATCTTCTCTTCTCCTCCTTCAATTTTTTCTCTTCTCGCGCGGTTTCTGCTGCTGCTGCAGCGACATCATCTCGTTTTGTTTCAATTCCAATTCGATTTGACACTTTGTATACCACCATGCCCTGCCCAATTACCCCCTCAACTTCACCGTTTTTTGGGAGGCATCATTTGAAAAGTTGATACGATAGGCGCCCTTCTTTTTATCACCTACTTCTCTCCAATTTCCACTTTTATTTGTTTGCTTCTCTCCGTTATCTCTCTCCCGTTTACCCAGGTGATAGGAAAAAGAGCAATGAGCCGGGGGCGTTCGGAAATGGGTTCGGGTCGGACACTTGATGTGGCATGACTCTAAAACTAATTCACATGGATGTTAATATGATAATAGGTCAAGCATGACCATCGCATTAGGCGTCGGATAGCCTTGAGATGACCGTGATATTTGAAAACCAAAACGTGTGCTTTCCGAAAGCAAACAAGAATCTCTGAATGCCACTATTGACGTTGTTTACCAGAAACTCATAGTGCAAAATTTTTGCAAAAGTGATTTGGAATCTTGAAGATGCCATCTTCTGCCTCTGGGCCAATCTCTTCTTCTTCTTCTCAATTTACGTATTTGTGCCCAACGCTTCTTCTGCTGTTCTCCAATCGTCCTCGTCCATTTTCCCATTTCCTTCATTACATTTTTTGATGCGCATTGCTCGGCTCGGCTCCATTCCATTCTCATTCGCTTTGAAATGAAATAGATTGCAGCGGCAGGGGACGGACTAATCAGGTTCCCAATTTCCCCGATCCATCATTTTTTGGGAGCACCACCCCACACCCTTTTCGGCACGTTCAGTGAGTTGTCGCAGAAGAGAGAGAGAGAGAGAATCTGAAAAAATGGTGGACCGAGAAGTATTTGCCATTTTGTCCAACTAACCGCCTTTCCTTTGAGCACGCCTCTCGGTATTCGCGGCGCCTTTGTGCAAAACGGCGAAATGTTCGTCGATACGCTGAAAATTTGCGCTTTGTATTTCGAAGATAGCAGGTAATTATTTGTTTTTACTAATTCAAACAGGAACAGAGACTATAGTCAATTAAAGAAGAGCGAACGGCAAAAAATTGATAACAATTGTGTTGTTGGAAAAAATAGCGGAGAAAAACTCGGACTTAGGCCACGGCCATCTCTGTCAAAATCCATTTCGAGGCGCTTGCTTCTCATCCAACAGCAAAAATAGAATTTTCACAAGAGGGAATTTTGATCGTCAACATATTTCAAAGCATTCAACGTTTTTCATTTCAAAATTTAGTCTGGAAAAATGGAAAATTTACATTAAAATGATGGTGTCTTGAGTGTGAGTCGCCGCAACACCAAAATGTGAAATCTATGGTTAAGAAATGTTAAACTTCGGACTGGAATTTCAGCATCTCAGAGGTCTCATAAGCAGCGTTTGAAACCTGGAATATAGGGTTTCAAAGTCTCCTTTTCGAACTGTGTCGTTAGTTTGTGCAGGAGATAACAACCACTTAAAAGGTTCCCTTGTCAGTCATGATTTCCTTGGTGCAATCACAGTCGGCGTCGTCACCGTTTCGACGCCCTATTGTCGCCTGCAGCGCCTTTTCGATTTTAGGTGCTTCTCTTAACTTCGGAACTTCGGAAAAGGAGCCGTGCCGAATTTGCGCTGTTTTGGCGCCGAGAGTCACCGACAACGCCTTTTCGTTTTTCGACGCCTTTATTTCTCTTACCTAGGTATTTACTCTTTGTTACTTCTCGAATTCTCGCCGCCTCCCGCCGGTTCTTGCCCTCTCCGAACGGTCGGGTTCTCCCCCTTCCGAACCCGATTCCGATTCGTTTTTGCATCCTGCGTCTTTTCAATCTCTCATGCTCTCTCATTTTCGCAAAAACTTTTCAACCGTTTCGAAATGTTCTATCCTATTGCTGCGCGGAAATTGCAAAGAAGTTCTCGTGATGGGCAAAAAGTTTCGAATTACTAAACTGCGCAGAACTACGGTTCATTAGCCACATCGTTTATCTTTTTCGTTTTCAGGTTTTCAGGTATTCAACTTTCAGCTGTGAAGTGAACAAAATTTGAAGCTACTGCCTATTCTGTCTATCTATTTTTATCTCTGCCAGTTTGTAGCTAACCTATGCCTTCTCGCTCTCTTCCTCTTCATCTCTTTTTGTTTATCGCGTGCTTCCCCCTTCTCGTCTTAC